CTAGTTTTGTGTCTATTCTACTATTTTTTTAACTCATAAAGAAGAAAAAAACAATAAATAATTGGAAAACGTTAAAAGAGCTCTCTAACAAGTCGCTGGCGGTTGAATCGGACTCGTGACGAGAGTCGCGAACGCACATGCTACGCGTCCCGCCCCTCGCCCCGCTTCCAAAATGTATCTTGAAGAGTGATAAAGGTCCCTTTTTGCTGTCTCTTTGCGCCATTTCATCGGCTATCATGCACCATTGTTGCTCCCTCTCGAAAAGACTCGATAAAGAGATTCTTTTTGCTGCCTTTCTGCTGCATTTTTCCCGCCTTTTGTTTGCCCTTATGCGGCCTTTTTTGTGCCTATCCCTTTCGCGGCCATTATCCACCATTCTGACTTTGCTCGAGAATGATAGAAACACTTGCAATTAAATTAACGAAAAAATGAAAAAAGATAAAGTTTAGAACAACCATTTCGCTAGTAATTATTTTGAAGTTTGTTCTAAGAAGCTCAAGATCTTAAGAATCTTAAAATGAAGCCTGATTGACTTGAAAATAAATTGATTCAGCAGGTACTCGACGACCTCGATGAAGACTTGGCGGAATTTGAAGAATTCGACGATTCGGATGAAACGTCATCTTCCCGGGTAATTTTCTCGGCTATGCTTAGAGACCGCAGAGCCACGCCCCTTTTTGCGATGGTGAAATGCACTGGTTTTTTAGATTTCGTGTTTGATGTTTTCGTAAAAGCGCAATACTGAATCAAACACAGAGAAATTTGGTGGAAACATAGAGAAAACCTTCCTCTTCAATCTCATATACTTTTCATCCGATTTTCAAAGCGTTTTAGCGGAGCGTCGTACAAAAAAACCAAAACTACTTTTTTTCTTCGGGTTTTTTTAACCTAGTTCCATGTCGTTGGCGCCTTTTTTTATTTTTCGAATTCGATTCTTAAGTGAAAAAAACAAATCTTTTTAAGACAAAAAAATTAAAAATTTTTTTACGGTGCCTAATCTTCGTGAGGCCGCGCAAAGTTGAAAATGTTGTACTCGCTTTCGAGAGCGTGTAAGTAAACAATTTTTTTATTTTTAACTTGTGGATTAAATTGTAACTAAAATTTTATTAATATAAAACTTATTCCGAAAAACTTTGTTTTTCTGAGAAAAAAAGACAGTGAAAATTTCGAAATTCATTTTTAACATGGTCAGATGTCGTTGGCGCCTTTTTTTATTTCTTAAATATTAGCGTATTTCAATTTTTCAATCAATTAAAAAAATAAAATAAAAAAATTTTTAGCGGTGCCTAAAAAGTTTAATCAGTGTTAGTTTGAAGCCAACGTTAAAATAAGAAAAAAACACCGAAAACGGAAGCATTTTGAACTGAATCTCTATGAATAAATTATTTTTAGGTGCTCCGAACACACGTGACTAATAATTGTTCAACTATCATAACTTTTTTTAAAAACAAAACAGACGGTAAATGCTGTACTTTGAGGTGAAGTGGTGTATAGCGCAAACGCCTCCCATCCCCGAGGGATGGACGTGGAGCAGCGCAAGTGCCCTTGCATACAGTTTTTGATATCGCGAGTTCAATCCTCGCAGCGGCCATTTTTTTATTTTTTTCAAGAAAAAAATAGCTTTTTCTTTTTCAAACTTGTGGTTTTATACTGTTTTTAATGACTTATTACGACTTTGAAAACCAAACTAAACTACTAAAAAAAATTTAAATCCGATATGAAAAACAAAATGAACCACCAAAAAGTGTAAAAATCTAAACTTTCAGTACTAAATTTCGCGACTTTTTTTCACTACTGTTTTTGACCATAACTTTTTTTCTCAACCTTTTTTCGAAAAAAACTAAACTGTTTTTGAATAGTAAATTAGAGCAGCTATCCAACCATAGTAATATTGAAGTTCGAAAAATTTTTTGAAAATTCGTCTGCGGTCCCTAGCTATGCTTTATGAATTTATCAGTGGATTCACTTGACTGTGAAATACAAGCTATTTCCTTGAACCACTCGTTAAGATACCTGTGGAACTTCCTGAGTCTTCATTTTTGCCGTGTTTTGAAAACCTCCGAAATTTTGAGGAAATGGAAGTTTTTAATATCTGAACAGGGAATGGTCTCAACTCACAGCTGGGCTTCTGAATTAGACCATGTTTTCTAGATATAGATTTAAGCTGACATTAAATCGATCTCAAAAGCTGCCACATAGGTCTGTGCAAAATTTTATGGACCCACCCTAAAAAACTACCTCTAGAAAACATGGTCTCAATAGAAGTCCCACTTTGAGCTGAGATAATTCCCTGCTGAGCTCCTATAGGAGAGAATTAATCAATTCTGATGAACTGTAGAAATATTTTCTAATATTTTCCATAATATTTGATTTACCTGACTTGAAGCTACTCACGGCGTTCCCAAACGGGTTGAGTCACCGCCAAAAAAATTTTGGCGCGAAAATTCGAATCTCGAGTAAGCAGCAAAAAAACAGACGTTAATAACGCTGAATACTCAGTATAATTTGTGACGTAGAATGACGTAATTCCATCCGGAGGGCGCAATTACCTATTTTTAAAGATTAATAAACTTCTCCCATTAGGAATGCCGTGTGAGATGATAAAAGCTGGGAATTTTTTCCTGAAAAAAACGAATTCAAATCAATCGGTTCCAACGAAAGGAGAACGAAAGGTGGTATTAAAAACTCATTTTTGAAGATTTATCAAATTTTCTTATGACTTTTCACTTTATTATGAAGTAACTGAAAATGAATAAAATACAAGAAAGTCATATTTAATTTCAAAAAGGGTGTTCTTACCTAGGTTTTTCTCTTTTTATTCATTGAAAAGGAAATTTTTAAGGCAACGGACGAGCTCGTGGCGGACATCCGCCTCTTGTTCGAACTGGAGGCGGACGAGGAGTTCGACGTGGAGGACGAGGAAGACTCCGAGGTCGGTTTTTCGAATCCTTTTCCTTTTGTCTTTTAGCTACCCGAAAAAGAAAACGTTCCCTAGTTAGAAAATTTCATCTCTAAAATCTAAACAGAATTTCCAAGAAAAAATTCATTCAGGACGAGTCCGAGGACTCTTTCTTCTTCAGCGAAAGGAGGTGCCGCTGAGTCGAGGCCGTAGCGCTTGAACGAGTGTAGGAGCTTAACTTAAAAATCTTCTTAGATGCTTTCTCTTTTTCAAGTGGCAAAAAGAACTGTTTCAGCGCTTCCAGGGGGGCTCCCCAGCGCAGTTCCCGGCGCCTCCGCAAGCTCCCCGTTCCCCCGAAATCTCCGAAGCAGTTGCCGAACTTTCACCACCAGACTCCGGCAACGCTTCTGCAAAAAATCAGGGGCGAGAAAAAGAAATTAAACAAATGATTTTCGTTCGTAAAAAGTTCGTTCAAAAAATGATTGTTCACTTGTCATTTTAAAAAAGTTCGTTTAAAACATGAACGTTCATTTTTTGAACGAAGTTTTTACGAACTAAAAATGAACATAAAATGTTTCAAATGGACAGGAGAAAGTTGGGTCCTACGGGGATAAGTCGGCTCGAAAGAATTGATGGAAACATCTTCATACCGAAATCAATCACTGTTCATAACTTGAAAAGGGCAAATAATAGAGATTATTATCAGCGTCGGGTAGATCAACGAGGATCTCTGGCAGGTATCCTCAACAACCGGAAAGCTTAGTTTTCGATTCTTGAAATAATCGATTTTTCTCACTAGAATTTCGGAATAGGTAGGAAAAAATGGAAACTTCTCGGATAACTTGGTGAGAGGGGCCTTGTGGAAGCCTATCCTTGAGCAGATTGATAGACCATCCCCTTAGACTACACTAAGAATAACTGACGAGATAAACGCGAGCTCGGTGGCGGTACATTGACTAACTCGCAAAAATGTCGCTTTTTTCTAGGCGCGATCACGCATTTCTCTCGGCGCGACCTCGCATTTTTCTCGGCGCCATCTCGCATTTATCTTGCATTTTGGAAATTTTCAAATTGCGAGAGAAATGCGAGCTCGCGCCTAGAAAAGTGCGAGCTGGCGCCCAGAAAAATGCGAGACCGGCGCGAGAAAAAAAGCGAGATGTTTGCGAGCTCGTCAATGTACCGCCAGTGTCTCGCGTTTATCTCGGCAGTTATTCTTAGTGTAAGAGAGAATTCGATAATTGCTAAGAAGAAACAACGAGAGGGCTACTTGATGCGCTCTTTTTTCAATCTTCCCGATGCTCCTGAGGCCACGAAGTCATGTAAGTTTTTTCTAAAGATTCATCGAAGATGTAGAAATTCCAGTCCAAGGCGGTCGTTTCAATGCCAAGAGTTTTTCGACGTGAAAGGTGGCTCCCGTTCTTTGGGAGGATAAGAAGCTTTCGTACCCATGGCGTATGTTTTCAACTTTGCTACCGACTATTCTTTTTTTTTCAGGTCCATGAAAACTTTGAGTGAGTCGATGGACTCAAATTCATTTAGCACATTTGATCCACGAAATGGTGGTCAACGAAGAAAGACTGGCGGAATCGGTGTTTGTGGCCGATGGAAAAAAAAGGGTTTGAAAAAAATGTGCTATTTTGTAAAGCCCTTCATTGTCTTTCGAACGCTGTACTTGAAAATGTACACAAGTTTCGGTGAAAACGTTATTCAAAGTCAGAGAGAAAAAAAAATTTTGAACTCCCGCCGTAAGGGCGTTAAAGGTGCTCCATGGACAACACATATCGCCATTTTTCGCATTTTCGCTTTTTTCTTCGTTTTTTTCAATTTACAATTTTTTCTGTTTTCAACAAAGTTATTTTCGTCACAGAAAACTTCTATTCGTGTATAATTTGCTAAATTTGATTGCAAAATGCTTCTTTGTAGAAGAATGACGATTTTATACAGCTTTCGGTTACTGATATTTTGCGTTTCTTTTATGCCGTGTTCAAAGTGATTCCGCGAAATTCAAAATAGCCGTCAGAGAAAGAGAAAGATAACTAAATTTTGGAGGGTCAGAGACCATTTTGCATTTCGCGGAAATTACTTTGAACACGGCATTACTATCCGTGTCTTTTACTATTTTTTTACTGTCTTTAAAAAGGCGTGCTCGCTAAAAAGGATGTTTGTACAGCTTGCCTCACCACGCCTGTTTATGGCGGCCGGTCGGATTACGGTAGTCAGGATAGGTTTTTCGGTATTAAAATGAAAGAGAATGTTTTTTTTTTGTGATGTACCTTATCATTTAACCTCAGGAAATAGGCCCTTAACAAAATGCGAAAAAGAAAAAACATCGAGAAAACTTCCTGGCTTCGGAACTGACGGCGCAAAATTGACCGGCCGCCAGCCGCCGTAGCACTGTCTTAAACATGCGTGATCACGTAATTTGACAAGAGATTTATCATCGGGGCGCTCTTTTTCACACCGCTTTGATTAGTTTATATTTTTCTTTCTAGGCTATTGATAACGCAAAACGGACGTGCTGCGGGCGTTTCTGAGCAATTCTAAGGGTCATTTAGGAATGCTGACGATACTAAAGTGGTCACTAGAAGAAATATCCCAACGCGTCCGGTTCACTTTATAGGCCATTCCGCGCGAGCTTGACACTTTTTTCTTTCTGCCAAAAGGCCAGGTCAAATTTGAACAACTTCGCTTCAAGACCTTTGTTTCTTGCCGTTATAAAAGCAGGAATTTGATCTAATTTGGTATACGGTCTTTTTGGCGGAAAGAAAAACGTGACAAGCTGGCGCGGAATAAGCTATACCAATGTCCGATTTTTCTCTTCTTTTTGAGAGTTTTTCATGCCCAGTGATCCCGCGAAATTCAAAATATCGTTCAAACAATTTGTGGAAACTATTTTAAACACGGCGGTATCTTCTTTTGCCATATTTCATTCCTTTTCAATTTTTCTTTCAATTCTTGAAATCTTGTGAGTTCAAGAATAAGACAGGATAAAACGTTCGGACGGGTTGAAGCATCCCAGAATTACTCAAAAACGTTCAGAGCGCTTTCAGTTTTCTTTACCGAGTTCTTAGACTTTATGCGAGGGCCGGATCGTCAGCCTAACGGTTCAATCATTGTCTGTGGCCGGGCCAGGCTGAGCGAAGCTTCAAGCATAAACAAGCCCAAAAAGGTCAAGAATTTTCCAAGTCAAACATCAGCTTTTTTTTTACAAAAAGTTATAAAATGTCTCTGGTAATTTTTTATACTTGAAATTCAACAGAAACAAGTAATCGAAAATATGCTTTTTTTTTGTGAGAAATTTGAGTCTGGATACAATTTTTACATAATGAAATTTAATTTTTTTTTTTTAAGCCTGGCCTGACTAAAAAAAAACTCGCGAAGTTTTTCCGAGCCAAACGCATAAGCCCGGACATCGGTACCGCAAAACGTAAGCGCCCCGGAGCCTAAGAAACGTCCGGGACGAGTTCGATTAGCGTTACCGAGGTCCGAGTAATTGAAGGCCAAAGCAGTTAAGCTTGCGCGGGCTCGGATCAAGCCAGGCTCCGAACAAAGTTTTTAAACTTCATCAGAATTATTTTCATCCTATCTCAAAAAAATTTTTACCAAAAAAAAATTACTTATCACTTGTTTCATTAAAGTCTATCAAAAGTTATGGAATGTATTGAGGGCGATAGGTTGACAATCTGAACCTCGCACAAGCCTGCTTTAAACAATTATTTCCATGCCTTTGAGCCATTGTGAATTCACTGTTATTCATTTTCTCCTTTGCAATTCAACACGGAATAAAAAAACCCTTAGCTGCTTTTAAGAGCATTGGGCTGGTACCTGTTTTCGTTCAACACGCCTCCCAGTTGATCGACTACCGTCCGCCATGGATCGAGTTTGAAACCGTCGTCGCCACTTCGAGCAAGGAAGGCGGATTTCTCGTCATCGCTTTTGACTGAATCTTTGAAAATAAAAGACTTTCAAATGCGCAAAAAGTGGATACAGTGGGGAAAATGGGTGAGTATTTTTTGGTTTTCATCCGTAACTTTGTCAAAAACAATCATTTTGACCTGAAATTTCGATGTTTATGACGTTATTGATGATTTGAATTAGAGTTTTGAACCGGTTCCAAAAAAATAACTCCGAAAAGATTCTTTTTTTGAATATTCATCAAAAGGCAAAAAAAAAGATTGGATTTGAAAACAGCCCTGCATCTTCGGGACATTGACTCGACAAGTTTGTCCAACACGCTCATTAGGATCTTCTCTCAACTTCTTCGTTTTACTTTTCGAAAATCTCAGGCTCAGAAAATCGCTTTTAACAAAAAACTTATTCAAATTTTCACGCTAACCAGGGAATGGTCTCCGGTCGCAGTGGGATCTCTCAATGAGACCAATTTTTCCAGATGTAGTTTTTCACGCTGATCTCAAATCTGGTCTCAAAAACTGCCGAAGAGCTCTGTGAAAAAAGTTATGGACCCTCAAAAGTCGAAAATTTCAGTGTCCCCGATTGAGCTCATTTTTTGAGGGTATATAGACCATGTCCCTCTGGTCAAGAAAAAAACCATTGAAGTTTTTCACAAAAAAATTTCGGAGCCCAGATATGATCTTTCAAAGCCTCGCCTCACACAAGAGCTTGCGAGCGCGGTGTCCTATTGCGATCCGGCGACCATCGAAGCAACGGCAGCAAGGAGCAGTGGTAAGGCGGCAGACTGGGAATCACGAGGTCATAGGTTCGGTGCCCACTCTGTGCAAACTTTTTTTGCAGTTTTTTTCTATTTTTTTCATGATTTCGTTTTAAGGGCTCCTATTTTTGAGTTTTTGAGGCGTATAAACATGAAAAAAATCTTCGTTTTTAGCCTATTCGAACATCTAGAATTATTTTTTTCTTGGAATTTTTTTCGAGATTTTTTTCATGTATATGAGCATGGGCTGGAGTGAGAAAAATTTTTCAGAAAAAAATTTTTTTGTTTTTCCATTTTTTTGTTTCTAAAAGATTTATAAGTTTAATTAGTTATAGATACGCCGACATATCCCACAGAAAAATTTTTTTCCTGGCTTTTTTAGACCTCACCGTTCAACTACGTCTGATGGAAGTTTCGGAAAATTTTTGCTTAAGTGCTCTTTTTCGAGTTTTGAAGCGTTAAATTGTGAAAGTTCTCCGTTTTGAAACTATTCAATCACCTGGACCTTTTTTTGTCAAAAAAATTTCTTCATATAATTTTTTTCGTTATTTTTCCATGTGTATGAGTATGAGCATGGGCTGGAGTGAGAAAATTTTCAGAAAAATTTTTTTGTTTTTTTTTCCATTTTTTTGTTCTTAAAAGAATTATAAGTTTAAATAGTCATAAATACGCCGACATATCCCACAGAAAAAAATTTTTTTCCTGGCTTTCTAGACCTCACCGTTCAACTACGACTTCATAAGAAAAAATAAATCCGCATTTTTTTCAAATTTTTTTGCTGAAACTTTCAAAGAAATCCCTTCTGATTGATAGATAACACAATTGGGACCAAAATCCCCCAAATAATTCGTTCTAATGGAACTTGTGAAAGTTCACAGCCCAGTCAGACTTTTTTTCGAGAGAAAATTTCGAGGAAAGAAACGAAATTTTTTTATTCAACAATAAATTTTGTTTTTTTGCGCACTCTCATTTTTTTCTACTTCGGGAAAATCGCGTAAAAAACTTTTTCAGGCATAAGGTGATGATCATAGGTAAATCACTGCAACTCTCAAAGAAGTTTTTGGAAGGAAAAAAATTACTGTGGTTTTTGGTGTATCAATAAATAAATGGACTAAAAAAACTTTAAATAAAATTTAAAAAAAGAAAAAAAGAACCAAAAAAATTTTTTTGAAAAATTTTTCTCACTCCAGCCCATGCTCATACTCATACACATGGAAAATAACGAAAAATTATATGAAGAAATTTTTGACAAAAAAAGGTCCAGGTGATTGAATAGTTTCAAAACGGAGAACTTTCACAATTTAACGCTTCAAAACTCGAAAAAGAGCACTTAAGCAAAAATTTTCCGAAACTTCCATCAGACGTAGTTGAACGGTGAGGTCTAAAAAAGCCAGGAAAAAAATTTTTCTGTGGGATATGTCGGCGTATCTATAACTAATTAAACTTATAAATCTTTTAGAAACAAAAAAATGGAAAAAAAAACAAAAAAATTTTTCTGAAAATTTTCTCACTCCAGCCCATGCTCATATACATGAAAAATCTCGAAAAATTCCAAGAAAAAAATAATTCTAGATGTTCGAATAGGCTAAAAACGAAGATTTTTCATGTTTATACGCCTCAAAACTCAAAATAGGAGCCCTTAAACGAAATCATGAAAAATAGAAAAAACTGCAAAAAAGTTTGCACAGAGTGGGCACCGAACCTATGACCTCGTGATTCCCAGTCGGCCGCCTTACCACTGCTCCTTGCTGCCGTTGCTTCGATGGTCGCCGGATCGCAATAGGACACCGCGCTCGCAAGCTCTTGTGTGAGGCGAGGCTTTGAAAGATCATATCTGGGCTCCGAAATTTTTTTGTGAAAACTTCAATGGTTTTTCTTGACCAGAGGGACATGGCCTATATACCCTCAAAAAATGAGCTCAATCGGGGACACTGAAATTTTCGACTTTTGAGGGTCCATAACTTTTTTCACAGAGCTCTTCGGCAGTTTTTGAGACCAGATTTGAGATCAGCGTGAAAAACTACATCTGGAAAAATTGGTCTCATTGAGAGATCCCACTGCGACCGGAGACCATTCCCTGGTAAGAATAACTGACGAGATAAACGCGAGGTCGGTGGCGGTACATTGACGAACTCGCAAACGTCGCTTTTTTCTAGGCGCGATATCGCATTTCTCTCGGCGCGACCTCGCATTTTTCTTGGCGCCATCTCGCATTTATCTCGCATTTCGGAAATTTTCAAATTGCGAGAGAAATGCGAGCTCGCGCCTAGAAAAATGCGAGCTCGCGCCCAGAAAAATGCGAGACCGGCGCGAGAAAAAAAAAGCGAGATGTTTGCGAGTTCGTCAATGTACCGCCAGTGTCTCGCGTTTATCTCGGCAGTTATTCTTAGTGCAGGCGAAAACTATAATTTTCAACAAAGTTATGACCGAAAAACCGAAAAAAAAAAACATAATCACCCATTTTTGCTACTGTAAATACAAAAGTTGAATTAAAAAGAGCTGCTCGTATAGACGATTCACGGCAAGCTTGGGACGCAAAAAGGCATAGCCTGTCTGCATTATCCACCAAATATCTTCGTGGCAGGACCCTCTTTAAGATGGTTCAAGCCAGCCGTGAATCAGCTATAAAGTTAAATTATTTTAGCCGCAGCCAGAGTGTCTGCGGCCTTGTATCTTAATCGATAATTCATCGCGTTCGCGAAAAAAAATAGTAAAAAAGTGTACGAACTAAATAAAACGCTCGTTTGGCCTAAGTGTTTCTAATAACCTCATTTTTCATAAATGTTCATATATCTCGGGCAAAGTCGAAATGGTGGATAATGGCCGCTAAGAAGGAAAGGCTCAAAAAAGACCGTAAACGGGCAGAAAAAGAATCCTTTTATCGCGCCTTCCACTTTTTCTGCGATTTTGAAAGCTCAAGAAATGGTTGAAAAAGGGAGAGACAGCAAAAATGGTGCATAAAAGTCGATAAAACGGCGCAAAAACAGCAAAAAAGGAGCCTTTGAGACCCTAAAAGGATCATTTTCATGGATCCTTTCCGACTTTGTCTATGATATCGGATCAAGGTTTTTTCTGGCATTAATTCAGTGTTCATAATGTCAAGCCCTTTTTTTTATAAAATTTTTAAAACATTCAAACCTCGCGTCAATTGTTCCATTAGTAGTTGCTAGATTCATTTTCGAATTTTTAGTGGTAAGCTCTAGATGTTTTTCTGAATAAAAAAAGTGATTAAAAAGTATATTGTTTAAATATCAAACTGCACTATTTGAAGTTGTCGTTGAGCCTCCATGGACAGAAGAGAACAAGTTCGTTGTAAGAATCTGCAATAAGTTCAAGATTGAAAAAAACAAGTCGATTGCATCATTGGAATCACAATTTTTTCTGATTAGCCATGAAAATTCTTAAGTCAGTTAGAAAAGCTTTATCGAGTTAGAAGAACTAACTAGGCGGTGCGCTAGAGCTCCGCTCGGCCTTGTTAGAACTAATCCTAGACGCCGAAGGCCGTGACGGCATTTTCCGCGGGGGTCCCATCATCGCTTTGTCAGTATCGCGCTGCCAACAGTTTCTGCTTCGGCCACAGGAATGGGCTTCAGCTTGACTTTGCGTATCCAATTCGCAAGCGAAAAGGATCGGCACTCCGGGAGTCCCGCGGGCCTAATCTACTAGCGCTTATAGCTCAGAAAACTATTTTGGCTGTTAGAACTTTTAAAGTGGATCAAAACTTATCTTGACGTTGAAGAAGCGAGACGGAGTCGTGAGGAAAGAAGAAATGATGATTGAACCCTGGTCATAAAATAAGAAATGACACGTTGCCACGTGGTTTTTTGTGGATTTTATTTTTTCGGTATCAAGAAAATGGGGTTCACGTTTTTGCAGAGAATTAAGTTTTTATTTTAAATAAAAGTTCTGGGTTGTAAGACGTGAAAGGTAGAGCTAGTGGTGACACTAAAAAAAACTTTTTAAAGTTCAAAGTTTTTTTAATTTTTTTGGGCTCTCTGGTTTTTTCCCGCAGTTTTTTTAAAAAAATTTTTCTGTCTTATTGTAGAAAAAAATAATTCGCATAAACTGGTTTGAAATTTTTTTATATAAACAATGTGAATTACTTTATTTTTCCTAGTTTTTTTGATGGTTTCCCGAATTTAATTAAACAAACAGCCATACAAGGTTTTTTTATTCCTGCTTTCTATCTGTCAATTATTTTTATATTTATGAAAACTTATTAGATGGCAGGTAATTTACCTATATAATATGTTTTTAGATTGTGTAATAAGTAAATTAGAGTTTTTTTTTTCAATTTCAAGATCGCTCCGAAATTCTTTCTAGCCTAATTGTATGTTTTTTCATATCATATTCTTGAAAATGACAAAATTTCAAACAGTTTGAGGAACTATTATGTAAAAATGCAATGAATAATAAGAAAAGAAGGTAACGCCTTGTTTAAAGTGACTTTCACGAAATTTAATTTCATTTATTTGACTCTCTAAGATTGAGTTATTTTTCACTGTCTGACCGTGAATTTTGCGGAATCACTTCGAAAAGGCCATGAAAAACTCCGACAAAAAAGGAAAAACTTGGACATTTGAAACGCCAAACGGACGTTCCGAGGCATTTCTAGTGACCACTTTTACTAGCGCCAGCATTCTTAAGTGATCCTTAGAATCGCTCAGAAAAGTCCGGAGGCTTGTGCGATGGCCGGCCCGTCAGCCTCTCGGTCCCACGGCCATTTTTTAAGCCCGGCTCTAACATGGTTAGAGGGGACACACAATGTCCAGGAAGTTAAAAGAAAAAAAAAGAATCAAAAAGGTGTGAAAAAGCGCGCCTCAATGATAAATCTCTTGTCATTTTACGTGAGGCAAACTGTACAAATACCGGAGGCTTTGTAGACTTCTTCCGGACCAACTTATCAATTTGAACAACCAAGACTTGTTAGATTACCTATTAATCTGGGTCGTATCACCTAACTCTTTCTTTTCTCGTTTTTCCTAGCGCCACGGTTCGAAATCGGGTTCGACCTTGCAAATTTTTATCGCTCTAATTAATCAAGCGCATAGTTAGAAGTTGTCAAACCATATTATGGGAACCCGTGTTCGAGGTCGCATAGTTAGTAGTTACCTGGAACACCCACAAAAACTTCATTTTGATCGGAAAAATGTCGCTCGACAACCAAGGCTCCTCCAAGGGTTCGTAATCGTTTTTTTTTCCTTTTTTTTTTCAAAAATTCGCGTTTATTGGCACGAAGCGCGGGGTTTCACAGAAGCATATTAAACTCCGCGCAAGTCGTTTAAGGTCCGGCGCATATTTCAGTCATTTCAAGTGCGCGTATGGGCTTCTAACTTGATATTTATTGAATTTTTTTTTCAGAGTTGGCTTCATATAACTTACAAGGCTTGAAAATCTTACTTTACAGATGAGAAGAACATGAACGTTTTCCTCCAAATCACCAACGATAATCGAGCTCTCATTGAAGAAATTCGGGACAGAGTCATTGCATCGGAATTGGCTCTCGATGTAGGTTTTGTTTTAATTGAAAAGTTTAAAATTCGTCGCATTTGTTCGAAAATGTCGTTCTCAAGGCTTTCTCAACATAGAGCAAGGTGGTATTGAAATGAGAGCGTATCCAGTTGTTCTCATGATTTTTAAAAAATATTTGAGATCTTCTAAAAAAAAGGCTGGACTTTGAAGAGATCTAGCTACAGTAATCGATCAGAGGCCATTCCTAAAAAAACGTTTGGTGCCGCTTTTGAATAATTTTGGATCTGGTTTTCAAACCTTCACTCTAAAGGCTTTAAGACAAGGAGAATTTTCAAAGATTCTTCTAAACATTAAAAGGAAGTTTTCACAGGACCCACCACCACACAAGTCAAAGTCCAGCTCCAAAGGAACCAAGGCTTCTCCCTTATCAGTTCAAGAGCTTCTCCGCTCCTCCATGTCCAACTCCAATGGCCCGTCCACATCTCAAATGAATCAGTTCCCCGCACCAAACATCGCCGGTCTGAATCCATTCCAATTGGCGCTGTGCCAATCGCTCGCCGCCTTTCCCAACGCCTTCGCCGCTTCGCCGATCCTCCCAATGTTCGTCCCTCAAGTGACCATTCCGGCGCCGAACCTCTTTGACGCCAATGAAGCTCTGAAGATCCTCCAGAACTACTGGGCGGCTCAGCAGGCCAACTCCGGACAGCAGTGATATGGTTGAAATGAAGGAAAAATTGTACAAATTCAGATTTTCTCAACTTTTATATTATTGAATAAATTATTTTCATGGAAAATGGTTCAGAATCTTCTTCGAAGAATAAAAAAGGCAGTAGGAATTTTATTTCTCTTCATCGTGTCAGGACCCTTATATTTAATTGGCAGATACTTCCTTTTTCAGTAAGAATTGCTCGAAAAATAAGTTTATTGCACAAAAATAAATGAATGAAAAGTGTAACATTTCAATTCACTGGTTCAAAATCAGGGCAACTTGTTGTAAATTATCGCAAAAAGATTTTTCAAACTGTTCAGAAAGCTTATGATCACAAAAATGGCGATCTTTTCAATTTTCTCAAAATTAATCAAAGAGGGTACAAAGACTCAAGCACGACCATATCCAGTTGAGTTCCGGGACAATTTTCCAGTGTCTTTGGAGATCATTTCGCCAAATCCACCGCTGCCGGACGCCTTGGTCGTCGGGGCTCTGTAGGAGTTGTTCGCCACGTCGTTTTTTGCCCCGATCAGCCAATATGTCTTGCACATTCCTTTTCCCTGAAAAAAAAAGAGGCTTTTTCGAGTTTTGAACATCGAGTTCTGTTATTTTTTCCTGGGAAAAAGAGACTTGTTCGGTTTGGATAGTCCATTCACAGCTTGCTTGGCACGGCGTTCCCAAACGGGTTGGGGAGACGTCTCGCATGCTGATCAGGTGTCTCAACGGGTGTATTAAACCCGTATTTCTGAGGTTATTTTAGTCTCAGTTGGGCTAAAACGGGGGAACAACGGGTGTAAGAAAAATATGTAACCCAGCTGTGCTAAAGCGGGGTCTCAGTTGGGCTAAAAATTGCCAAAAGTTCTATCAGCTGGGCTTTTACGGGTTTTATACGGGGGCACCCGCTGAGACCCCGTGTTAGCACGGCGGGGTTACCCTGCTCAGCATGCGAGGTCAAAAAAAAAAACTGGCGCGAAAATTCAAATCTGAAGTGTGCAGCCAAAGGCGATCGTAATTTTATCCGGAGCGCGCACTTACTTTTTTTGTGAATTCAGAAACTTTGACGCCTCGCTCTTCCCTCACCCCATTAGGAATGCCATGCTTGGGAAAAAAAATGAGCCATCAATTTTTTTTTTTCGTTTTGTTCTCCAAGTTCAAATCAAAGCAAATTCCTTGAAGTTCCCTCAAAAATACTGAAAAAGACATTTCTCAATGAAGCTCTCGTGTTTACGTGCTTTGTTCCTCTTTCTAAAACCTCTCGAGTGAAAGAAAAGAGAGCGCAGACAAGTCAGAGTGTTTCAGGTCCAACGAAAAGCTCATAAGTTTATGTTGAGTCATCGATAAGTAAAAAATCTAGATATCCCACCTTGATGGGGATTTCTCCGCGTTCTTCAGTGATATAATCCGGATATTCGTCCAATAACAAGCGATTCGCGGCTTCAGAAATTTGTGTTTTTCCGGCTTCTCCGTTGCTTTCCATCCTTGACGACATGTTCACCTAGAAATAAGCTTTTAAAATAGAAAAAGAATATTTAATGGGAAAAGAATCATTTTATAACTCCTAAGTTTGTAAATTTGCAAAAAAAAAATATATCAAATTTAATTTCACTCGTCTTCATCTTCACTCAAAATTTGTTCATCCGTGTAGGAGATTCCTTTTTTCGGATTAAAAAAATCTTACCGTATCACCAAAAAGACAGTATCTCGGTGCGTTCAAGCCAACGACCGCCGCAGCTACTGGGCCTGAAAAAGTTTTTTTTTTTGGATTTTCTCCTAAATTATCATTTTTCAAGTGCTTGTGCAAAATATTTATGCTGTTAACTTATCACAAAAATTTCAAAAACTACAGTAAGAACTTCAGAAATCAACTCAGGACCTATTTCTGGACAATCGTGAAAAAATGAACGTGAAAAATAAAATAATTCCTTTTTTTGCAATATTTTTTTTTCTGTAGCCAAGTTACTGAACGTTAAAAAATAGTTATACCTGAAAAAACTCGAAAAAGTACGCTTATCTAAAGTTTCAGAATCCATGAGTCCATCTGATTTTTAAAATATTAATTTGGAAGCCTTGAACCCTAATAATTTGTTCTTTTTTGATCTTTTCCTCTTCAATATTCATCATTCTCGTATTATCTCGTAAAAACTCTACCTGTATGGAAACCAAGACGACACTGCACCCGGAGATTCTTCTGATGCGGCACTTGATAATCAGAGAGGAACTGAAAACATGTAAATCAATTATAAAAGCTATAAATCCTCCTCTACTTTGTGAACATCGATGGCGATCCTCGCAATCTCGTTGATGTGTCGATGGCCGTTCTCTTCGGGAACCCCGGAGACGACCATGTAGGCGTCGCCGATCGTCTCGACCTTGTAGGCGTCGTTTCTGGCGATGAACTGGTCGAAGCCGTCGAAGACGCCGTTCAGCACCGTCACCACTTCGACTGGCGTAGCGTTTTGGCACATTTCCGTGAAGCCGACGATGTCGCTGAAGGTTTCAGCTAGGAACAAAGTTCTTGTGTAATTTCTCATTTGTTGATTTCTCAGGAACAGTTTTTTTCTTGTGAACTGAATGAATACTTGTCATCATTATTATGAAAAGAAGTATAGAAAGTTAGAAAATCAGGAAATAAATAAGGTTTTTTTGTAATTATACTTGCATTTCGTTCGCTTTTCTTTGCCTTTTTTTTCAAATAATTAATATCTCGGCGCAGGGCGTCGTCAAACAAAAAAAAAACGCCCATATTTTTTCCGTAAAGTGTAGTGTGTCGTGTGCATGCACTGCGGCGCTCTCGCACGTGCCGTGTTCAAAGTAATTTTCGCGAAATTGAAAATGATCCGAAATTCTTACTAGCAAAAACGCCGTGAATCAAGATAGAAAAAAAGTTCTGAAAAGTTAGAAAATACCATCAATGTTTCAAGACTTTCAAAGTTTACCCGTAAATATATCAAAAATAGCATTTTTCTGCCGATTTTTTTGAAGAAGACTAAATTTAGCTTTTTTTCCTTTTTGAGACCCAAAGAAGGCTTGTTTTTAACAGAACACTCTGTAGTCTTTTTTCTGAGGAATTTTAGTTTCTTCTTTAAAAAAAACGGAAGAGACGCCAGAGAAGTGATAGAACCCCCTCCTTCTCTGTCGTCTCTTTAAATCAAGCCTACCTGAACAAAACCGTCGCTGAGGTGAAGGTCTTTGGCGGAACCGGTCTACCTAATTTCAGTTCATTTGCGACGTAACTGAAGAAAAAGATTATATGTTTTCTATCGGTTAATCTTACGCAGGCAAAAGCTGGCTGAGGAGCTTATCGGCTCGGACATTGGCCTCCTCTAACATTCCAGTTCGTTCGGCGACGAGTTTCTCGAGGTTATTCGCATATTGTTCCATCATCCTCATCATCTGGTCCACCAGAGAGCCTTTCCTAGAAGAAAACGAGACTTTTTCCGGGGATTTTCAAAGGGATAAATACACATTCAAGTAGCTGTCGATATTAAGCTTGATCCTTCTCAAAGACGGCCTCATCTCGGGGGTCGAATGCCAGCAATCGCTGATCAACGCCGTCAGGTCCATGTTCAGCACTTTGTTCGTCGGAATCGATGGTTTCACTGTCCTGCTACCGTCTTTGATCGCTTCGATCACTTCTGGAACGCTTTTTGATAGTCAATCTTTTTTTCTGTGGTTTTTTTCAAATACTTGTTTCTAAGTAACTTTTTCCCAAATTTTTTGAAATAGACGAGTCTAAAATTGGGCCTGAAATATGCCGAAAAACTAACCAGAAATGTTGGTCCCTTCAGGATAAGGCAGGGAACGGAACACGATTTCATACATGATCATTCCGAAGGCGTAAATGTCACCGAGTTGTCGTCGGGTCTGAGAAAGATCACTTCATTTATCACAAGCTCAAAGTTAAAATTCTGACTGTCTGCACTCTCTTCATATTTCCTCGAAAGGGATGTAGAGAGAACAAGAGAGCGCAGACAGGCGACAGTGCCCAATAACTAAAAAAACTTTTCAAAGGCCTAAAAATTGACTCAATACGAAGCAGTAACTTGGAATCCGACTTAAACCTACTTGCGCTAGTTGGCCTATTTCAGCCTGGGAAGCTCTTTAAAGAAACCGCGACATATTGAGCCATTCCAAATGCGGTCAAAAGTTTTACTTGAGTTTGCCGAGCCCAGTCTTGATCCACACGTCTCAGTCGATTTTTCTCTCGATTTTTGAGCAGCTCGGGAGCGTCATAAAGAGCGCCTAAACAATCTCGTTGTCATTTCTTATAATTTCTGAGTTTTTCAAACTGGTGGCCTGGAGCGATTGGGAGCGATCATCTTCGGATTGGAGGGCATCCCTAGTGATTGTCTGTTGCTTTTCCCAACGTTCCAGGGGGTCGGCGATACCTAGCGATTCAGGTTTCTCATATCTCGTCTCTTGTTTTCTCTACCATAATCAGTCAACTTGATCATCCAATTACGGTCAATGAGACAAGCCCAAGGGGTCAGAGAACCGTGGTAGCCGATTTGGGAAGCATGAAGATATTCAAGACCCGATAGAATGTCTCGGACGAAGGCGCCGTGGAACTTGGAGTCCAGGGCGATGTTCTCGTTGTAGACAACGTCTTGGAGGGTTCCTCTGAAGGGTTTGAGGTTGTTATTGTTTCAAGAACTGTTTGAAGGGTTTTTTAGGAATTTCTGGTCTTCTGAAAGCCTTGAAAAAGTTTTTAATGTGTTCAGCATAAAAAATAAATAAACTCTTCTTTCTTAAAATGAAGGTCTGTTAGTTTTTAATGAGGCTATTGATAATCTTTGTTCTTTGAAAAGAAGTTCAGAAAAGTAATCAATTAAATTGAGCTTTCAAAATATTAGAGTTCTAAAAATTCCCTCCGTATACAAAACTTATGAATAAAAAACCCTAAAATGGTCTTACAGTCCGCTTTTCGCGACTTAAAAAGGCGGGAATTCTCTGCGCTCTCTTTATCTCTCGACGTCTCTCTAATGTTTACGTGATATTTCCATGTTTCTCTGACCTCGTCGGTGAGGGAGCAGAGAGACGCAGACATGCGAAAACTGTCAAGTCGCGGTGAACGGACTATATCAGTTAAAAAAAACCAACCATATTTCAATTTACCTAAATTAAGCTACAAAATAGCTTCATACAACCCTGAAAAGTTGATATCCGGCTCCAAATTTATTCAAAAATACTTCTACTTGAAACCCCAAAGTCCCCACCTTGAACAAAACTTCCAAACCAAGAGCATCTCTTCTTTCTCGTTCCAAACCATTCCCAAGAACGGATTGATATTGTCATGAACGGCGGTTTTCATCTAAAGTATTTATTTCTTCAATTTTTGAAGCTATATTTCTTATGGACGCACGGAGAATGACTCGCGGTTACTTTGAAGCTTTTCCCGAACACAAATTACTTTTCAGTGCCATTAATTTTTATTGACTAAAACCGCGACCCTTCGAGCCTTAGGGACCGCAGACGAATTTTCAAAAAAATTTTTTCAGCATTGAGCTTTGTATGGTTCGATAGCTGTTTCGATTCAAAACTCAGAACCGTTTAGTTTTTCAAAAAAGATTGAGGATGAAAAAAGTTATGACGGAAAAGGTGGCGCGCCGCGCACCATGTTTTTAGTACTGAAAATTTGGTATTTCCATTTTTGACATTTTTTTCTCGATTTTTTTCTTCTAGAACAAGTTTTGATACTGGTCTATTATGATGTAACAAATCATAATAGAGTGCTGAAATGATGCTAATCAGCTAGTTTGCCGAAAAAAAGTCGGTATTTTTCCAGAAAACAAAAAAACTGGCGCTTGCGGGCATCGAACTCGCGACCTCAAAATGTAAAATCGGAGCGCACGCGTTGCGCCAAGCTGTTAGGTCCAACGCGGGGAGCTTCCATCCCCCATACCCTTGAGCCGTTTGAATAGCACAGATTGCCTATTTCAAAAAAATAAAAAAACTTGAAGTAATTTAGCTATTTTTTTATCAGAATATGTTCGCAAATCTTTACTCAAACGTTTCGTGGAAATTCACTTCGAAAAAACTGTTTTTTTAGTGCTTTTTGCCTCGTTTAACGATCGCTGCATTAAAAACGGCCCCGTAAATTTTTTTGGCAAAGACGAATTTTTTTATTTTATTCTTTTTAATTGAAAGATTTTTTTACTAATAAATGTATATAATCGTTTGAAAAAAACCTGCGTTCGACCGCTTTCTGTGTGATAAACGCCGCTAATTTTTTTCTCTAGTTTCAAGAGCATTTTTTTGCGTATTAAACAACTTTTTTTCAAGCACAGGTGCTGTGGAGAAAAAAATTTAAGTAAGACCATGGTCTAAATTTTTGAAAAAAACAAAAAAACTCGATTATATTCGCTTATTAACGATATTTTTGAATTATGACTTTCGGCGCTCCCTAAAATTTTTTTGGCAAAGACGAATTTTTTTATTTTATTGTTTTAAAATTACCGTTACTTGAATCAAAATCATTATTTTAAAAAAAGAAAGAGTGCGTTCGACCTAAAAAAACACATGAAAAAAAGCAAAAAAACGACAAAAATTTTTTTAGTTCCATTCACGTTTTTTTGTACGACATTCCGCGAGAACGCATCAAAAAAAGCGTGAAATATTTTTTTAAACGAAAGAGGAAGCTTTTTTCTGTACATGTGTGTCAAATTTTATTCGCCAGTTCCACATATTTTACAACTACAACAAAATGAAAGTTGAAAACCAAAAAAAAGCCACTTTTTCTATCGCGAAAAGGGGCGTGGCTTTGCGGTCCCTACCTTCGAGCCATTCTACATGCGGCCATATTTTTCTTTAATCTCACCAGTTGCAACAAGGTTTTATCAACACGATTGAACACGATCGGCCGTCGTTGATTGTATCTAAAGTTTTTTGAAATAGCCTTTTCAGCTTTTTTTTATTTCAGTACTTGTGATAGATGGCATGAGTATTGGTTCCAACAATCGCATGGTTCCTTGACCCGTAGTTCATGTTGCTCATTTTGGTCCTCGAACTTCCAAGGGACAGCTAAAAAACTTTTTCATGGACAAAACCGTGTGGAAATTTTAAAAAACCATGCTTTTCAACTGCTCCTCGTCGATAAATTGAACGTCGTCTCGGAAGATTCGGAATGGAAGCTTGTCCAAGGCTGCGTTTTCACTTCAATGAAAGTTTCAGGAGGTTTCTGATATTTCTAGAATCTTACCACATTTTTCTGCCAATGTAGGCAATAACAAAGGCGATGAAAAAAAGAACGACCAAAGCCACACCGATTATCAGCAGCGTATAATCACATTTTTCGTTGCGGAATCCACAGTCGGGCTCGTCCTAGAAATAGGAATAATATTCACGGCAAAAATATGGACTACCTTAGGAGCTTAGAGTGATCCTTATAGGGGCAACCTTAGGAGCGCTTGGAGGGTCCCCTCTAGGAACCATTTTGCCAGCCCCTATTTTTCATATTTCAACTGTTTCTAAGCCAGTCGATTACATAAGACCTAGTAATCGCGTGAAAAGTCTGATATTTTTTCCAAAAACAAAAAGTGGTCCCTAAAGGGGTTTCATTTAGTGGCCCCTAAAGGGGACATGCTAGCTGATGATTGTTATGAAATCTAAACGAAGAAGCATTTCTATAGGCAAAATCGAGCTTCATAACAGGAGTGACCAAAAAGCCGAAAAATGTTTTTTTTTTTTGGAGTGAGGACCATAAGAAGCTACTGGCATATTTTCAGGGATATGAAAAATCTCTCTAGACTTCTCGACAGACTATAACGCTATTTCTCAAAACCTTCGGCATTTTCCTGTCAGTAGACGGCCAGAAGTCTCGCAGAATGTCGGTCACGACAATGGAATAACAGCCCGATTTGTTGGCGAGTCCGTTGCAACCCTCGATCAACGTCGGCTGCATGTCCACCATGGGCATGACCGTGTCCGAGTTTGGAGAGACGAAAAATCCGCGATAAACAGGCGCCCTTTCAGCCCTGTCGTCCATCAAAATTTGGCCAGAAGAAATTCCACTGGAGCCCAACATTCCTGAAAAATAGTTTTTTTTTGAGTTAATTTTTTGCGAATACCTTCGAACTGCATCCGCCGCATGCTGTTCCACATCATCCGGCCATTGAGTAAGTTTTCGGGGACGCCAGTTTCGTTCAATACCGCCCTGGCGGCCAGGGCGTACAGCTTCAGGGCGTCGAAAAGGTACAGGTAACCGTAAATGTTGGCCTGAATGTAGATTTTTGATAAATATTTTATTTTATACAGGATCAACAAGTTTCCTTAAATGTCTATCTTTAGAAAAGTAACTAACAATATCGACATCGGCTTCAGTAAGTCCGACGCCCTTGATTCGTTCAATAAATGGTGCAATGATTGTGTTGTCGAAGCTGTTGACGTCGTCAATCTGAAATTTTAGTTCAGGAAAAACGGTCAGAGATTTTAAATATTAATTTTAAAGAAATTAGATTTTTTTCGGCTTATTGCATAACAGCTCTCACACCAGTCGTTATTCTTAATTTGACCTGAAAATTTGGGTTTGAAAAACTGAAAAACCGGACTTTCAACTTCAAGAAATTATTTAGTTTTTTCATGCTGTTGATTTCAGACATAGGCTAATCCGGAAAGGGTGGAAAAAAGCTTCATAGAAATGTTTCTTTTAGGGTGACAAAGGCTCCTTTTTTGAGCCTCTCCCTTTCAGCGGCCATTATTCACCATTCCGACTTTCTCTTCGGAACTCACTATAATTGAATTCGCGTATTGATCCTTGACTTTTTGCATCATTTCGCCCTCGGCACCGCTCCATGGACTCACGTCCTTTCCTCCATCCTGGACCTCGAATTTTTAATTGTACACACTCATTTTCAAATATTTAATAACCTGCAGCCATGGGAAAACGTAGGCGAACTCATTGACACTCATTCCTTGTTCATTTGCAGCAGTCAGAAACTCCCGCGAAGTTTCTTTAGTGTTCGAGAACAAGCAGATGATGACTTAAATGTTGGATTTTTGAATTTTTGTTGAAATTCCAACTTCTAGCCGAGTTCTTCAACTCGTTCAGCAGTCCGGAGTTGATCATCGATTTCTTGTCAGCAAACTCGTCAAACATCACCTGGTTATCAATTTTTATGGAACTCTTTTTGATTCTTGAAACCTTCTTCACCACAGTTATCCCACGAAGATGGAAAACTTCTTCGAAAGCGTAAACTCTATCGTAAGCCAAGTTTCCGCTGTTGGTTACGATGGCAACTTTGTACCAGCCGTAGTGGGCAAGAAGCGCGCAAGTCGCTTCGGCTATCGAGTTCGTACTTCTCATCTACAAAACCTATTTTATCGAAATTTCGTTCTTTCTCGATTTTATAGGCTTCAAGAATGCCTCAATGCCTGGTTTTCACAATGAAAAGCTAAATACTTCTAGAAATATGATGAAAGTAACTCTCATCCTTGTTTTCCCTGCAGATAAGTTGGATTTAGATTATTTTCAAAAGATCCAAAATAAGCCCAGACGTTGAAGAAGTGATCGAGACGTATGGCCTGATACTTTTTCATTCGTTCTAAGACTTGGTAAACAACTCTGGAAGGATTTAATGATGAGTAACTCGAATGTTTCTTCAGTTTGTGAAATATAAAACCTTAAACTGCTTGAACTATATTCTTACTATATACTAACACCATTCAAAACTTGCATATTCTTGAAAATTTCCTATTTTTGAGCCCGTTGTTGGGCTGTTAGATCTTCAATGGTCTACAAAAAAAAAATTAGTCGTAGCTTTTTTCCTAAAACGTTCTTTCTATGAAAGTTTTCTACTATTGAACAGTACAAAAATAACAGGCACACCGAAATTCTCGCCAAAGTCGGATAGGCATTTTTATCAGCCAACGCGTTGGAAGCCGCCATGTAGCCGATGATTGGAATGTTCCAAAATGCAGCCATTCTTGCCACAGCGTCCATTTCTGAATTTCCCTCCATTTTTTATTAACTCTGTCCAATTAGAACTGACCGGCATTACAATAAGGTCCAATAAAAGCCCTAACTTTCTGCAAATGGTACATGTCGGCAGCCACCGCCACTCCTTCATAAGATTCTCCGCAGCCGTTTTGAGAGGTAATGCTTGAATTTTGTTTTTCTAATTGATTTAGCTTATATTTTGACTAACTCCACATCGAAATCGTCGCCGAGGATGCCTTCAGCTCGAAGAGAATTGTGAGAAATTTCCAGGATTTTTACGTCGTTCCGAAGAGCGTTCATAGCACCGATATGACCAAGTTTTAGCCGAATTCTTCCTGAACTCATCGTTTTTTTTCTATATTCGAAGAAAAAACCTTGTGAATCATAGAGGCCACTGCTTGAATTGGCGAGCTGTAGAGGGTTAACTTTTGGGGTTGACAGATTTTCAGAAGAAGTTGAAGACGGAGGCGATTCGCTGGTTTGACACCAGGCTGTGCTGAAGAACAGCAAGACGAGAAATGTTGGAAACATCTACCCAGTCTGAAAATTTCAACGTCAAGCAATTGCGAGCAAAAGTTTAATCATGTATAAGAATACTAAAATTTCTTCAATTGAAGCTAGAGCTGAAAAACCAAACAAGAAATTCAAGGATCTGAAGCTGGAGAAGGAAAAGCCGATCCAGATAAATGATAAATAAGGAAGGCGTAACTCCTTTTCGATGAGAGTAGTGGTATTAAAAGTCAGCCGATAAGCGGATTTTCGAATATAATCCCGAATTTTCGGCTACAAAAGGATCATCATGTGCCCAATTCGTTAGAGTGCTTTTGGTAGAAGGATCATCCTCAATCTCAGCCTCCATGTACGCTTATCCCACATTTTTTTTTCATAAGAATGTTATAATGTTCTTTGTTACGCGAAGTTTAATTTAAAGATATATCTTTCAGAGGAAGTGTTACTTTTATTAGGAGAGACTTCGAATCTCACCAGGGAACATTTTCTTCTTCTTGAGCTTGAGACTTCAGGGCCTGCGATATACCTCAAAGGGTCTCGCGATACCCCTTCTCGATTCACCTATGTTTAAATGATGATTAAAAATTCAAACCTTCAATTTTAAACCTTTTTTTTTCCACATCAGGAAAAAAAAAGAGTAACCTAAGCCAATCATCTCTCATATTCAGAGAACTGTCCATCTTTTTCTCAATTAACTTGAATGAAAGATTAAGTCAACCTGGGATAGGGAGAAGATTTTGCCATGGCAGTTTACACCGACCCTCCAGAACGAGTTTCATGGTCGCAAACACCATCATTTGACGTTTTCGATGCGCCACCTAATCACTGTGCTTCTTCTTTTTGTACTAATTGATGCCCTATCCTACAACGAGCACTTGCAATTCAAACAACTTCAACACACGACATATACTCAGTATTTACGAGCCTTGGCGCAAAGAAAACGCCGGTTCCAGATCTATAAGTCGGCTCTCGCTGTCAATGTTCGTTACTTTAAATTATAACATTCTGAAAAATTTTTCTAGCCGCAACCGGTGTTGAAAATCCTGTTCTTTGACAACGACACGAAGATTGGTGACACTCCTGCGCAAGCCGGAGCCAACTTCGTCGGAATAGAACAGGCCTCGACTCGTCCAGTCACTGTCGACGACGAGATTGGATTGCCTTTGAACCAGCCACTTGGAGATAAATCTCAGAAAACGCAGTTTTACAATTGGGCACAGCTTTACAATAATTATTATAATAGCCATCCAAACTATTATGGCAATGGTCGATGAATAAATTATTTCTGTGGAAAGTTTGTGATTTGAGTGATCACTGGAAAAACTTTTTAAAAAATCTTATTTTCTATCCATAAATACATGATTTCTATTATTTTTCTCTTTTTTTGAATGAAAATCGCAGAGAAAGCCAATTTTCGAGGTCTGCTATTAAAGGCACAGGCGGCCGCGCGGCCGCTGTCACTCGCCGCATGCCTTCTGCATACGGTACCCTCAGGCGCCCTGCATTCATCCCCCAAATTTTTTTGTTGTATTTTTTTCTAATTTTAATGATTAAAACGCTCGATTTTTATATTAAGATAATAAAATTAGAAGATATAAGTTTTTTCTCAGCCATATTTTGTTATGTTTCTCTTTAATTTTTGTCTCAAAATTTCTGTCGTCGATTTTTTTTTACGATGGGAAAGCTTATTCATCGCTTTTCATTGTTCGATTGGTTCTGTTTATCGTTGAAATAACGAATTTTTAGTACTTGAGGTACACAAAATGGCTGATAGAGGAGGATTCCGTGGTGGATTCGGTAGCGAACGCGGACGCGGCGGTGCTGGCCGTGGAGGCGAACGTGGCGGCCGTGGTGGCCGTGGAGGTCGTGGTGGCCGCGGTGGACGCGGTGGAAGGTATTTTTCATATGAATAGTTCAGTTTTTTTTTTAAATAAGGATCTTGAGACTCAACTTCTAAAACTTCATAATAAATGTCATTTTTTAAATATACACTATTCAAAAATCTTAAATACTAGTTGGAACATAATTCCGTTTATTATTGTTAGAAAGAACGAATTTTAAATTTTCTCGATGGAAAAAAATCTTTCTATAATGCAAACGTCTAAAAAAAAGGAGTTTCTTAATCTTTCGTGACCCACTATTTTTTTAGACCTGGACGTGGAGGTGAGAAGGAGTCCGAATGGACCCCAGTGACCAAGCTCGGACGTCTCGTCAAGGACCGCAAGATCACCACTCTTGAGGAGATCTATCTCAACTCTCTTCCCATCAAGGTTTTTTTCTCTTCATTTTTTATTTCGAATTTTTTTTCACAGGAGTTCGAGATAATCGACACTTTGTGCTCGAACCTCAAGGACGAAGTCTTGAAGATCTCTCCCGTCCAGAAGCAGACCACGTATGAATTTATTATATTTTTTAACCTTTTATTCGAATTGAAACTTCGCCATCTGAAGGGATTTTTGTTTACTTTTTATTAAACGGCGTGTTCGTTGAACAGAACGAAATTGTTTCGAAACGCAAGAAAATTGCTCTAAAACAAAAATTAGTACTGTTTTGGATCACTTTGGCGCGCCGATGAACGCTTTTGCGTTTTGAAACATGTTCCGTTTGTCCTATGAATACGCCAAAAATTTCGAGATTTTTGATGAAAAAATTATTAAAAGTAGTATTTGAAGAGCAATTTTTTGGGTAGGAATAAGAACAAGTCAATAAGTTATAAGAAAAGTGCGATTTTTTTTGTTAACTACTTTTCTTATTCTTCAACCTAAAAAAAAAATATATTTTTGCCTCATCTGAATGATATAATTACTGTGACAAGAATTTATATCTCGATTACTTTTTTTCCTTCATATTTTTCTAGTATTTTTTTCCTGAAAAAAATTATAATAAAAATTTTTGGAGTTTATTATCTCAAACAATTTGTGATGCGAATTTTTTTTTCTTCATTTATAGCCTGGCTCAGTCCAACTTCATTTAAAAATTGACAGGAAAAATTTTTGATTTTAATAAAACTGGTAGAAATTGATCGATCTTTTATCCACTGGTTTTTCAGCGCCGGTCAGCGTACCCGTTTCAAGGCTTTCGTCGCCATCGGTGACCACAATGGCCACGTCGGTCTTGGAGTGAAGTGCTCCAAGGAAGTCGCCACCGCCATTCGCGGAGCCATCGTTGCCGCCAAGCTTGCCGTCATCCCTGTCCGACGAGGATACTGGGGCAACAAGCTCGGAGAGCCTCACACCGTTCCCTGCAAAGTCACTGGAAAGTGCGCTTCCGTCATGGTCCGATTGATCCCTGCCCCCCGTGGTACCGGTATTGTGTCCGCTCCTGTCCCCAAGAAGCTTTTGCAAATGGCCGGTATCGAGGATTGCTACACCTCTGCCACCGGACAGACCGCCACCCTTGGTAACTTCGCGAAGGCCACCTACGCTGCCCTCCAACGGACCTACTCCTACCTTACCCCCGACCTCTGGAAGGAGGAAGCCTTGGAGAAGTCTCCCTACCAACGGTACCACGACTTCCTTGCTCGTAATTAATTAACCTTTTTTTTCTGTACGGCGACGAATCGTCGGAATTGTTATGCTACAATAAATGTTGTTCATTTTATTTTCAAACATTTAATGTAAATAAAAAGTTGTCCAGCAGGATCTAAAACAATGTGTGAAGATTATAAGTCGAAGAGTGGAAGATGAGGAACGTTATGATGATAAGTGAAGTCGTCGCAATTAAAATTGCCGTGTTTTAAAAAAATTCGTATTGTCTCATCGCTGAAAATAATTTACATTTGCTTTTTAATATAAATATGATTTTTTTGAAAAGAGTTTGGATTGAATTTGCGAGTTTCGCGAAATGGAGTGAAATAGAGTGTCCGGATTGGTTTATTTCTTCAATAGTTCGGCTTCAAATGATATTACCAATGTATAAAAGTGGTCTTTGAACATGCCAGAGTGGCTAACTGAAGATTGTCGAGCGCAACGCGGTCGCGTCACGGCTCTGACGCGCGAATGAAAATATTTTGAATTTTTCCCTTTTCTACATAACGAATTCTGCTTTTAAATTCGCTTACAGTCTCATTTCTATCGTCTCTTTTCGCCTTGTTGGTCTGTCTCATTAGATGTTTGGTTACTCGTAGAAATAGTTCAAAAAAAAGATATGTTGAGTGGCGCAAAATTTTCTACTTTGACAAATACACGGGTCTTCATCGAAAGACCATATGAAATCGGACTTTTCCTTCAAAGCATTATTGGAAGCCTGAAAAAAATTCAGGCTTTCAATTACCCTAGCAAGTTGTTACAGTGGTTTTTTCTTTATTTTATGATTCTGATCAGCTTTCGTCTAAGGACAGTGGTGAATGAACTATTTTTATGCGATTTCTTCGGTAGAATCACTCCTAAAATTTTTTTGACTATCCATATATCACAATTGTTTAATCGTTTCATATTTTCTTAAAACGAGTGATAGAAACGGCCTTCTTTCGAGGTCTAGCTTGGAGCTCTGTACCACCTTCTCGTAATGAATTTCTTTAGGCCATATAAAGCATTATAAAGGTGGCCTAGATGCTTTTCAAAGATTGAAATAATGTTTCGACTAATGACTTGATTTTAGGTGTTCGCTATGGCGAAGCAAACACCCACAACCCAGATAAATATGGAAGCTTCGAGGGATCTATTTAAAATGTTAATAAAATCACAACAACCGCGGCTTGATCTGGCCGACTTAGGTTTCATTGTGGTCGTCTTGTTTTTTAATTTTATTTTTGAAGGTGTTTTTCAATTGATTGATGAACTCGAGCGTGTTCGGCAGCTATGGAAACACGCCGAGGAAGGCAAAATAGGAGCGAATGAGGAGCTTCTTCGGACAGAAAAGCTTTTAGAGTTTGTTTGGTGAAGTAGTTAATAAAAGGATGGTTTTTGTAGCGAAACGAAGAAGAAGTGCACAGCATTGGAGATGGAAATAAAAGAGATGCGAACGCATATGCGATTGCTAATGGAGGAAAACAAAGCGTTCAAATTGGACCTCAACGTTTATGAAACTCGGGAGCGTCAGTTGAAAGACGCGATGAAGGTTTGAAAGTTTATTCTCAATTTCTGAGATTATTTAAAAAAAAAAAATTGAAATTTCTTTTCAAATAAGTTTCAAACGTTTCTAAAGTTTCTCAAAGTATAATTTTTCATGCACCGGAAGAATGGGGCTTGAATTCTTTGTTTATGGAACATTTTTTTAGTCTTCTTTTTTTATCTGTGTGAGGTTTTTCATTGTTATTTCGTATTCAACGACTTTTTTTCAGTAGAATGATCTGAAATTTTTTTCAAAAAAATCGAAAAGGGAGAAATTTTTGTTTGACGTCACAATTCTTACTTCCATTAGTGAAAAAGATATTATTTTTTTCCTTTATTTTTCAATCTTCACTATTCAAAATCGATTTTTAGAATTCTCGTCGTGCTCTAAGTGATACATTTCTGTTCAGAATGGTGCTTTCGATACAATGACAAAGGAGGATCGGGAAACTTTTGCTTTTCTCCGCGAACCTTTGGTCCGCACTTACTCCAAACGACTAGCCGAACGAAACCCGAATTTTGTTCTTGAGGTTTTGTGAAAAAGTTTTGTGGAAAATAATCACGGTTTAATTCAGGAAGAAGAAGAAGACAGCGAGAATATTGATTATGATCAGACCGGGGACAGCATCGATGACGAGGAAATTGAGGAAGTGATCCATCTTAGGTGATTAGAATAGTTATCGAAAAGGAAAAAAATTTATTTGGGCAAGTTCAAATTGAAAAAATCCTGTTGTATCTATGTGTTTCTGTAAAAAAAAGTTATTTGTAGTAAAGGAAAATTTACGAAAATAAAATGGTTTTTTAAAACAGTTGATAGCTTTTTACGGCACAAAATTATTCTCTATTTTTAGTTCGAACTCCAAGAATATGTTCAGAAATGGCCGAGAGTACAGAAGATCTTCGACGAACCTAAAAAATCGCCGATCTTCATCTGCCCATCCACATGTTCCCACGGGAATTTCCAACAAAAGAAGCAGAAGTCGAGCTCTCGCCACGGTTACCACGACTATTGAGGAAGAGCCAGTGGGGAAAAGTGCTATAAAAAGGAAATTTGAATAGTTTTTTAGGTGGAAGGAACGCCGCCAAAACGCTCACGAGACGCTTCGCGGAAACTGAAGGAAGAAGTCACGACGACTACGACCACCACGACCACCACCATGGCTTCGGCGGTCCCATCGAGCAGCCGCGGCCGCGAAACCAACCAGCGAAGTGTCCACAGGAGTATGACGCGAAGGAGCATGAGCGTCGACAGTGTCCCGGCAGTCAAGGTGTGGAATTGGGTGAAAAATGGCGGATATAATAGCTCGGATAAATTCCGTTCAGATACACTTCCCTAAGTGACTTTCCTAGAGAGGCGGTTAAGGTGTAGCATTGGGCCAAAAATAAGGGGGATGTATTGGAAAGGCTAACTCAGAGCATTTCTGTTCAGATAGAATTTTTCAAGAAAATCTCATGAGAGGCTGTTAAGGTGTGGATTTTGCAAAAATTAGCCTGTCAAAATTTGAAAAAGAGCTCAATAATTAATAAGAAAGGAAAGGTCAGAAGAAGACTTTCTTTTCAGCGCTATGAAAGCGCTAAATAATTAGTTATTGCGTTAAATTTTGCCTTATTAGCGCATTTGAACATGAGCAAGTTTTCAAAGATTTTCCATCAATCAGCTTGAAAAAATTAGTTGAAAAGAGTCCATCAATAATGAATGATGAAAAAGAAACCAGAAAAGATGATTTTTCTGTTTAGCGCCATGAAAAAGCTGAAGAATTTTTCAATGAATTGATTCTTAGAATTCTTTTAAAGCGCTTTTCAAGTTCTTTTTAATTGCAAATAGTTTTTTCTTGACAAATTTGAAATGGATCTGTTTTTTGAATCATTTTTTTGGAAATTCAGCTTTTATGAAGATCTTTTAAGGAAGGAAAAAATACGTTCAAATGGGCTTGAAAAGGTACAGAAAGCTTTTCTTGTCAAATGTACTGCGTAGATTTTTTTTTCTATGGGAAAAGGAAGAAAAAATATGGTTTAAAAAAATTCGTAGTTAGCAGGTGCTGGAGACTTTTTTTTAAATCACTGTTTTGCGAGATTTTCAGTCACTCTATTTTGTGAAAGTTGGTTTTTCAACAGTACTTTCCACTATCCAGAAGCCTCAATGAGAAAAATTGTTTTTCCTTTAATGTCCAGAATCGAAACAAATTTTTTTCAATTTTCAGCCAGCAGTAACCCCAGCGTACGGCCTCAACAATCAGTTCACGAAAAGCACACTGGATATGCGCTCCTCGAGAACTCCGATGGCCCCTTCGTGGACTACTGACGTCACCAACGACGCTCCTTTCCGCCGCCATGCCTTTGTTGATGCTGGAATTGTAATTTCCCTATATTCCTTGCTGTATTTTGGATTTTTTGTTCTTTAGCGCGTTACCAAGTGCGACGAGTGCCACACAACTATCACTCTGTTCTCCGGAAAAGCCCTGCGATGCAAAGATTGCCATCAGGAGGTCCACAAGAACTGCGCTACGTAGGTTTTTCCGTGAATAATGAGAGGAAAATCGATGAATGAAAATTGTAATGGAAATTGGTGTAGATAACTTCTACCTAGACAGGGGAAACTTGGGAGAACATAGAATATTTTCAGATTGACAGGAGAATTTTAGAGTTGTTATTTTGCTCAGGAATGTTCTTATATGAGAGGAATTGAGCTAGTGACTAATTTCTTAAATGATTTAATAATTTTGAATACAGCAAAAAAACTGGTCGCATTCAATAAATTTTCCAAAATTTCCGTTACCAATTGAATAGTTTGAGTTGATTTTTGGTTTTTGTGGAATTGAAACTGTTTTCTATCTGTATTTTTTTTTAGCAAATTTTTGATCTAAAACTAAAATGAGACCGATTTTTTTCGTTTTTTATTCTATTTTTGCTTTTTTGAAAAATATATTTTTTTTTCTTTGAAACTACGGGAGAAGCAAATAATATCTACTGAACTTTGGAGTTTTTTTCACTTTTTTCTAAGCTACTCATTGATCAAAACTGACGTTAGAAGATGAAAAAAATGTCAAAATTCGAATATTCCGCTAAACCGTATTTTAGGGATCCAAATTGAATTTTCCTGGGGGGGTTTTTTTTTACTTTTTTTTCTTCCTTAACGCCCAGAGAAATTTTTTGAATTTTTTTTTGTCAATTTGATCACAGGAAAAACTAGGAATTTAATTTATTTATTTTAAACAAAGCATAAAACTTCCTTTTCCAGCCGCTTGCCTTTGCCATGTATTCCTCGCCAAAAATGCATTGCGACGCCGAAAAGCGCTGGCCGAACCAACAAACGTGTTTACCGTCTTCAGGTTATCATTATTTTTCCCATTAATTTAATGTTCATTATTTTCTAGGACTTCTGCACTCAATCCAAACCCATGATTCCCTTCCCAGTTGTCCATTGCGTCATCGCCCTGGAACGCAAAGGACTGCACGTCGAGGGACTCTACCGAGTGCCTGGATCCAAAACTGCTGTAAATTTATCCCATTGCGAAAAGTGAACACAAGAATTCGAATCAAGGTCCTCATGCTGCTGAACGAACTGCGCACTTCGAGGAGTGTGCCGAGATTGCATCTGCAAGACCCCGAAGTCATTACGGAGACGCTGAAGCGCTTCTTGGATGGGCTCTTGGTGAGAGTTTTTTTTATTGGAAAGTTTGAGAAATGAAATGCTAGAGACTGTAACTAGAAAATGGATTCAAAGCTGGATGAATCGGATAAGAGTTGAAAATACGAAAAATTGTTACGTCCATTTCTTTTTTCGTGTATGGTCTCTTTTTGAGCTTCGATCATTTTCATGAATTTTTTTAAAAGAATTTTGATCAGTTTTAAAAATTGTGAGACCATGTAGCTCTCGCTGTTTGTGAATTTTTTTGAGATACTCGAAAAGCGAGATTTTTTTAAGGAAAGGAAAACATTAACCTTTTCGTCTTAATATCAACCAAGAAAGGTGTTTCAATTCTGAAATAAAAGACCAGAAACGACGCATTCTTTGTTTGGGGGGCTATTTTTCCGAGCAACTTGAAAGTTTATCGACCACAAAGAGAAAATTGATAAAATAAAATATTCCGATTTTTAATCATATTGAAAATTTTGTACCCAAGTGAACTTCAACTTTTAGGACCCCCTGGTGCCAAGAACTTCGCGAGACGAGTTCATCACCGCCGCCGCGCTCTACACTTCGGATCCGGACGCCGGAATGCGTGCCCTGAACAAGGCGATCTGCGAGCTTCCGCAGCCCCACCGCGACACCATGGCCTATTTGTTTGTTCACTGGGAAAAGGTGAACTTTTCAAGATTTTCAAGCAAAATTCTGTGTTTTAAGGTTGTCGCTTCGGCCGACATGAACAAGATGCCGGCGAGGAACATGGCCCGCGTCTTGGCGCCCTGTGTGATGGGCCAGCCCGCCCACAAGCTGGAGACGATGAGGACCGCGACGCAAGACGCCGCCGACTGTGAGAACGCCATGATGGCCCTCTTCGCCTTCGATTCGGTGCGATTTTCGAGTTTCATGAGTAAAAATTGAACAGAAAAAAAAACCTTAAGCTAAGATTTTTTTTTATCGCACTAGTTTAATAAGCCGTGGTCCGCCCGCGGAATGACTTATGGAATGTAGTGGGTTACGGCAGACTCTTAAGGTGAACCGCGACGCATTTAGCCATTCCAAATGCGAACAGAAGGTTCGCGTATCGAATTCAGTGTGTTTAATCAGTATGAAGGGTGAGAAAGTAAATATGAAGAGGACATTATTATGACAAGATTTATTGAAAGTTATACTGAAAGTTTACTGAAAGTTAGAAAAGCCTTTTTTGAAAAATCATTGTTTTTCTTCACTTTGAACATATTAGAAGTTGAGAGCTTGGGTTTTTAGATATTTTATAAGAATCTGTTTTCATTTTTGCTTTTAAAACTTTAAACATTCCTGGATTTTAATAGTCAAGAAAACAAAAAATAAACCTCACTGAAAACCCTATTTTTCAGACCTACTGGCGCCGCTTCCTGAGCACCATCAATGATCGCGTGGAAGTGACTCGGAACGACCGAACGCCCAACGCCTTGGACCGCAGCATCCTGGGACCCGTGAGCCATTCTCCGGCTTCCGAAACCCCGATTCTTTCCCAGCGACGACGCCCGACTCATCATCTCCTCGGCGGGCTCTGAGCCGTGTACAGTACTAGTACTTGCAATATTTTCTAGCCCTTCTTCCATGGATCCCTCTAATAAAGGCGTGGTGCTTTCAACTCATGAAATCTCAATTTTTCGTATTATTTATCTTATTTTCGCTTCTTCCTTATTGCTTTTGTTCTTCCCCCACAATCCGTGAAAAGTTAATTGATGTGACGTATTATATTTGTTTGTTCAGTAAAGTTTGCTGCAACGTTTCTTTTTTTGGTTCTCGCCCATGATCGTTTTTCGTAAATGAATATTTTTAAAGGATGTTAGTTTCTTGGGTTGGAAAAAGGTTTCAAGTTTATGGAAGTTCTTGCTGTTGTATTTAAGGCGTCTGAGATTGTTTCACCATATTAACAAAGCAAATTGCTGTTATAGTGTTAGTTGCAGCTCGGAATTCTGCTTTTTTGAACAATTTAGCTGGGACTTTAAAACGGATTGCATTCGAAAAATAAAAAACGAAGAAGAGGCGGCCGAAGAACGCAGTGGTCGTGATTCCCAAATCGCATTTGTAAAATTAGGCCGCGGCCTTCGATACATATTTCGCAAAATTTTCCCCAAAATTTCAGTTATTTTTGTATTTAATCCTATTATTTAGAGTTTTCCAGATTTATAGAAGCTTGCTGGAATATTCAAAGGGTTTTTAAACACTTTACTTCATTCTCATTGCAGAAAACAACATTTTCGGTCTAAATTTAGGCCGTAAGTCTGTTTTTGCGCTTTTAGCCGCCCTGAAAAGCAGTTTTACGCAAATCAAAATGTGTTAAATTGTTGCTTTTCAGTGTTCAGAACGCTTATGAACTCATGCTTTCGAAATGTCGCCGATTTAGCAGCATTTTAAGGTTTTGAAGTAGAAATGATATTTCCGTTCATCGTCTTTTTGCAGGTCGTTTCATAGTTTTCCGAACTATATTTCCGATTTGCATAGCCGGGGTCTTCTAGAAAATTCTTATCCAACGGATATTAGAAATCAGTTCACGGAGGAGTTGAAGTGAGACAAGTTCATGAGCAGGGTTCCAAAGCCTTCGGTAAAGAAAAGTTTTTTGAAAAAATTTTTTTTTTCGAGTACAAAAAATCGTTCTATGCTAATTTCAGCTATTGCAAATTCATTTTTAATTATTTTTTATCGTTTTAAGTAGTCACTTTCCGACAAAAAACACATTCAAAAAGATATGAAGGACTCTTTGGACTTTGCCTGCTTGAAGTTTTCTCAAAAAGTAACCTTAGAATCGTTCAGATCCTTGCCGCCTTTTGCCTATGCCGGGTTCGATCCAACCGCAGAAAGTCTTCATATTGGGAATTTGATTATTCTGGTTAACTTATTACGTTGTTCTGAGCATCGAATCCAGCCAATTGTCCTCATTGGAGGTGCAACTTCGAAAATCGGTGATCCCAGTGGAAAAGATGAAGGTAATTTGACGGAAGTGATTCGTTTTATATTTTTAGGCTAATTGAGAAAGAGTTCTCATCGATGCGGACTATGTGGTGAACAATTCGAGGAAAATAACGGAGAAATGCGAGACGATTTGCGGAAGGAGTCCTGGGAAGCTCAAGCCGATCATTGTGAATAACGATGAGTGGATCGGCAAAGTTCGATTTTCCGCGTACTAGTATTGGAAAATTTTAGAAGATCATTATAAAATTAAAAAAAAAGAGAATTCAGTTCTTATTATTCTAGAAAAGTTTTTCCTAATTTCTTAGAGTTTTCGGCTTACAGCGAGTTTTCGAAGTGAGACAAAACCTAGTAAACTCAGATTTTATTTGAATTTTGTCCGTCTTTAAGGTGAACATTTTTTTCAGTTGACAATGAAAGAATATCGAAAGCACTGCGAATCCAATTCCTTCGGTAAAATGTTACGAATGCGGGCTATCAAATCTCGCCTGAATGATGATATTTCGTTCACGGAGTTCAGTTATCAAAACTTGCAAGCTTACGATTGGTTTTACCTGTCACAGAAATATGGCTGCAGGTTTCAGGTGAGATTATTCTTCGATGTTAATCATGAGGTTTTTTTTCAGATTGGCGGCTCCGATCAGTTGGGACATTTGGATTTCGGGGCGCATTATATCAAAAAGCGTTCCAATGAATTTGCTGCAGGTTTTTATTTTCTGAGAATTGCTGGCTTGGAAAGGAAAATATTGGAGAATAGTCTTTTAGCTCAATTTGAACTTATAACCGTTTATTTATTTGTTGAAAGTGCTTTTGTTTCTTTTTCTTATACTTTTTTTATGTTCCTTCATATGAACTTGAAAACATCACGAAAAAATAAAACTAGCTAAAAACTTGAATTGAAAATGAGCGTGGAAGAATTCCAAACAAGTATCTGGACAAAGATTCGTTCAATTTTTTTTTAAACTAACGTTTTTTTTTAAACTACAGGGTGGCCAATAAATATTGAAACGCGTTTGAAACGTTATAATTTTCTCAAAAGTCAATCAAACACCACCAAACTTGGAACAAATTTTATTCATACAATATAGAAACAAAATTCAAGAATAGTTTTCAAAACGTCCTCCTTTAGCTTTGATATCGGCCTTCAGTCTCTTTGGATACGCATCGATCACGGCACGAAGGTAGTCGTCGTCGATTTCGTCCCATTTCTTGATGAGCGCGGTCTTCAGGGCTTTGATACTTGGGTAGTTCTTAGAAGAGACCTTCTCGGTCAGATATATCTACACGGCAAAGTCCATCGGGTTGAGGTCGGGCGAGGAAGCAGGCCAATCAGAAGCCGAGATGAACTCGGAAAATTGGCGCGATACCACTGTTGAGTCCCTTTGGCGCGGGGGCGGGGGCGCCGTCCTGCTGGAAGGTCCATGATCGGTTTTTGTTGTGAGAATTGGCTCAGGGCAACACCCTCAACTTCAAAATCTACTCCCTGTAGTATACTTGGTTCACTTTGACTCCAGGATCCACAAAAATCAGCGGAGTTTTGCCGTCAGCGGTAATTCCGGCAAAAACCATCACGGAAGCCGGAGACGAAGTTTTATTCAGAATTTTTTCTTTTTCACAGGCACTCTGATAGTTAGTAGCGAGGATCGGATGGTTTCGGCCGTTCTTGTTCGCCTCCACAGTGAAGATTTTCTCGTCGGTAAATAGCGTCGTCAGATGCGAGCCATCTTTCGTGCCAGCGAGCAGCTTTCAAGCCTTTTTCATCCACAATGTCTTGTTTTTTTGACTGAGGAAGGCTCCTTTCTGCATACGGTAGGGAATCATCTTCAGCTTGTCCTTGACAATAGTACTTATCGATCCTTGACTAATTTCGTATTCTTTTGACATCTTTCTCATGCTTCTTTCCGGAGTGAGTCTGATTTACTCTCGAACGGCTTTGACGGCTTCTGGAGTCGTGACGGTGAATGGACATCCCCTCTTTGCATGTCATCTGAAGTATCGAGACGCCGATAGCGTTGTGCAGTTCGAAAAACGAGAACACGAGACACTTTCAGCTTTTTAACGATCTCTGAGTTTGTCATTCCGCTTTTGACACAATCAATGATTGCGGTACGGTAGGGAGATGGGGCCACCATTACCTGAATACTGAAAAGTATGAGCTGTAACTTCACACACATGATAAGTGAGCATGAATGAACAAAATAAACAAAAAAAATCCGTGGCAGTCCTTTGTGCAAAAAGCAGCGATCAAACAAAAAACGGTTTCAATATTTATTGGCCACCCTGTAACCCTACTAAATTTTCAAAAATTTCGAGGAAAAATCAAGTAACAAGTTGTGCACAGTCTGGAAATCACGTGAAACGGTTTTTTCTTCCTAAGTCAGCAACAAAAAAACTGGAATTTCAAAAATGGTTCAAATACCCGCTCTTTTCTAGGTGTCTGTTTACCTCTGCTAACGGATTCGAATGGTAAAAAGTTGGGAAAGTCCGAAGGCGGCGGAGCTCTCTGGCTGGATTCTAAAATGACAGAACCTTCCCGTTTCCATCAGTTCTTTTCGGAACTTTCAAATGAAGATGCACGGAAACTATTGCTCAAATTGAGGTTTTTAAGAAGTTTTGAAGGTTAACCAATTTTTTTCTCAGCTTACGCCCCTTGGATGATTTACGGAAGACCTTGGAAGAAAATGAACAAGAGAAAGGCGTACAGAAATTATTGGCCGATGAGTTGACGAGTCTTGTCCATGGATCCGATTGGGAAATTGTGAAATCTGTACAAAATATTGCTAGTTCAAAGGTACAGAGTATTGAAATTTTAAATCAAAGTTTACTCTGAAATTTTTTAGAAGAACCCAGTCAGAAGTGAAAAATCCACATCGAAATCATCTACTGATAGGTATGAATCGAACAAAAAATTTGAAAAACTACCTAAATCTTCAGGAAAACTGTCCCATTCGCTCGCTACCTTGACGATTTACAAAGAAGAGGATTGATTGATCATTCTCCTAATGAAAGGTTTGTTAATTTTCAAAAAAAATCATAATTTTTATTTTTTCAGCGAATTTCCTCCATTTGTCTACGCGGGATTCCCTTCATCTTCCAATAGTTTAAGCGTTTCCGATCTCTCGCTTATTGTCAATATATTACGTTGTTTGAAATTTGGACTCCGGCCAATTTTTCTAGTCGAAGATGGAACCTATGCAGAAGGTTTGAACGTATAATTTTGCTCAAAATCTATTTTTAAAAAAATTTCAGGTTCCAATACGAGTTCTGACAATATTCTGCGACAGTTAAAATCGATTTGTGACCGGTTTTTATCTTCTGAACAATCTGTTGAGCCTCCTATTATTCTCAACAATGATAGTTGGTATTCTGAGGTTAGTAAGAAGGGATTGGAAGACGTTGGTCGCATGGGTACCGGCTCAAGGCGGTGCGCTCGACCAAAAGCGGGTTTTGTTACGACTAATTTTATGGTGGCGCTTGCGGGATAATTCAGAATAGCTAAAGAGATCCCTAAAGTGGCGCGAATTTCACTTGAGCTATCAGTAAATTACTCAGAAACGCCGGAAAATCTTGAAGGACACATGAAGCTTTTACCTGTACAAGAGAAGATTCAAATCCGATCGCAACATCAGAAGCTTTTTTAAAACGGCTATAGCGATTCTCTCTTTGAAGCAACTTCAGGGCGCTGACGTGTATTTTTCGCTTTTCGATACACTTTCCTCTCTTTTTTTTCCCATGAAATACGCTTCTGAAGTAAAAATTTAAACCGCATCGCTCTGAGCCATTCTAAATGCGACCAAAAGTCATTGCTGATGAATTTTTCCTCAATTGTAGCTTTTTAGATGTCCACCGTTGATTACCTGCGAAATTGCAAGCAAATGAAGCTGAAAAACATTTTAGAGATGTATTCTGAAGTCGACAGTGTTTCATATGGAAAATGCAGTGACGACACCGTGAATGCGTATGATTGGTTCATGGTCGCCAAGGAGTTTGGATGCGGTTTTCAGGTGCTTCAGTTCTTATAATGATCAAAAAAAATCTTAATGCGGAAGCTTTTGCTTTGAAAGTTGAACATTAAGCTCTGAAATTCAGTATTTTTCGCAGTGAAACTTTTTTTTCAAATTTTGGACAATTTTTACCTGAAAGTTCAAGTTGAATTTCTGGTAGTTGAACTTTTTCTTCAAATAAAGCTTTTTTGAAGTTTTATAACAGTATGACTTCTTCAGAGAATATATTTTTTTATTAATTTTTCTGATGCATCATTTTTTTCAAAAAGCTCACAAAACCATTTTTTTCAGATAGTTACTGCCGAAAAATGCTTCTCGCTTGACTTTTTGGTTCAAAATTCCTGAAACGACGCTTGAATATAAATTCTTCAGGTCTTTTAAATTTATTTTTTTGTTATCAAAATTGTTTTTTTCAGGAATCGTCTTGCCTCCATTCAAAGATGGAAATTCCATTTGGCTCAACGCCAAGTTGACCTCTCCTTATCATTTTTATCAATATTTCGCTCAACTCCCTGATTCTGAGGCTGAAAATCTAGTTTTGAAGTTGAGGTGCATAATATTTGCGTTAAAAACTCAATTCTTTTTTTTTCAGCCTTCAAGACACGGAAAAAATTGAGACAGTTCTAAAGGAACACCGAGAAAACCTTGGAAAGTGGATAATTCAGAGCTTTTTGGCCAAAGAAATGACGAAATTTGTTCATGGCCAAGAAGGACTGGAAATGGCTTTACGCTGTACAAAAGCATTATTTTGTAAGTTCATTTTCGATCGGATTATTTTTAAAATTTTGGTTTTCAGCTGCTAAAAGGCCTGACTTGTCTCATCTGTCTCGAGATGAAATACTGCAGGTTTTCGGAGATTGTACGGAAATTCGGAGAAACGAGGTACACATTTTTGAGAAAGAACCGTTTTCTGTTCGATCGAGTTCCAAGTGATTCCCTAAAAAGTTCCAAGTAAATTCGAAATTGAACCTCTAAACTTTCAAAAAGTTTTTTTCACTTTCTAATGGCAATTTTCTTGCTTTGCGGGATCACTGGGGACTCGACATTTTGGCCACTTTTTCTAATACATTTTGGTGAATTTGTGGAGTATTTTGATCAGTAGTACACCAAAATCTAAACATTTTTCATAATTGCAATCTTTATCTAAAGCTTTTGGTCTAGGTTATTATTGACAAATAATTTTAAACGCTTTATTTATTAATAAAAGGTACTCATGGAGGTCAATAGTTCTAAAATATCTTTGAAGAGGAAAAAATAAAACAGATAAATTTATATTATTGAAGATCGGTACGATGGGCCAATTGGCGGACAGGACACGGAAAGATAAAGTTCGAGGCAGCGTTTTGATGAAGAGAGGCGCTTTCAGCGTGAATAGCGTTAAGGTTGGTTTTTCAGTGATGAAGTATCGAAAATGTCGGACTTTTCCATTTTTTGAAATTTTATGCTTCTCGTCATGAGAGAGAATTGGTAAAAATCGGATTTTAAACTTCTTTACTTTTCATACGTTTTCTGAAGCTTGAAAACGAGCTCTAAAGAATTTCTAATATTTTGCACGATGCTCCTAGGATAAATAAATAGACGACGGCACTGCAAAAATAATCAGAAAGATCGTCATTTAAAAGCGTTCAATTTGTCTGGGAATCTCAAGCTTTATTGAAAAGTTGAATTTTTCAGGTCACTGATCCCGAAGAAACTTTCGACGTTTCCCAGGTGGTCCTGCCCAACGCCGATGATTTGACGCTTGTCTGCTGGGGAAAGCGAAAATATCAACTTGTTCGATGGCTTTAATAGTTCATTTTTCAAATAGTTCATTCACCGCCAACTTGGGACTTTATTTGATGACGATCCCGGCGAAAAAGAAGGCAAGAAATATTTCTAGAAGTTTCTACAGTATTTGTATCCAAGCTAGCGGAGAGTGCAATAAAAGTTTAGGATTTTGTGTATTATGTTGTTATTTCATTGTTATTTGCATAAATTTTTTCGAATTTTGGAATTTTCGTGAGTTTTGCCGGTGTTTCCTTGCGCCTTTGATACTTTTTTATTTGAACTTTTCTCGGTTCTTTTTGATTTTCTCTTGACTATGTTCTGGAGAGGGTGAGCGATTTCTTTTCTTCGAGATTGGTTTTTAAAAAAATTCATAAAATAGATCATTTTTTTAAGCACTGATCATTCGGAAGATAATTATTTGGAAAAATTCCGTTAATTTTTTTACTGTGGGACTATTTTTCTGAAAAAACTATGAAAGACGCAGAACTTTCGTTTTTTTGGGCATTTTTTTCGAGTGTTTCACTATTTCGTTATTTTTTTAAAAAAAGTCATAATTTGAAAGTGCCGACTTTTTCTGAGCGAAATCGGTTAAAAACAAAAAAATTTATTCAATTTTTTTAAAAAAATGTCTACACAACCTTGTAACGTGCTGAGAAAAAAATAAATGCTGTTTTAGAAAATTCGAAAAAAAGTTTATAACATTTTTTTCAAAAATAAATCAAGAGGAAAAGAAAAAAACGTAGGCGTGATGCGTACATTTCTCCCCCTCTCCAGAAAACTTTGCCTTTCACTGTTTCTGTTCTCATTCCCAGGTCCAATTGCGGATCATTTATGAGTGGTGGTGTGAAAAAGGCGCACAGCAAACTCCAATTGCTTGTCCTCTCGACGTATCGTGAATTTTTGCACGCGGCCAAAGGCCGAGATCCCAGCGTTCGTGAGCACATCCGCGACGGTTTCCGCAAATCCGCCAACAAATTCGAGACGTCAAACGTGCTCCAAATCGAGTGGCACCTCCGTCTAGCCAAGAGACAACTTCAGCAGTTGCAACAGGGTCAAATCACCAGCGCCACGACGTTCAGGGCCGCTCGCAAGGTAAAAATCGAATATTTGTGTGAGCTTTATGTGGCTCTTGTACTGTTCTTGTATCTGCTAATCTCGTTTTCCAGTTTTTTCTGAGTGGAAGTTGCATTTTTGTGTTTGATTTTCGCGCAAGACTGTATTTTTTTCCGCTAATTCAATTTTCTCATTATTTCTGACTGAAATATCTTTACTTCGTTTAATTCTTGCGCAGGCCTTCATGGCGTGTTCATCGGACAAAACTAAAGTTGTTCGGAAACGCAAGAAAATTGCTCCAAAAGAAAAGTTAGTATTGCTTTGGAGCAACTTTGGTGCGCGTGTTCTTGTGTGCACGAGTTTGCTGTTTTGCCGTTTTTTTTCACGCCACCCCAGAATCTCCTTCAAACTTCTCATAAAATCCATGCAATTTTTCTAGGATGGCTGATACCCGAGAGTTACCCGTTTTCGCTTTCATTTCCGAATGGCAGCAGCTCAAGGAGATCCGCGAGTTTTTGAACAAGAGCGGCAAAGTTAACTTGTCGGCCGAAGGTAGTTTTTGACGGTTTTCGTTAAAAAAAAAGAAGAAATTTTATGTTTTTTTAGCTTCTGGTGTCGTAAAAAGAAGTTTCTCTACCTTACTCACATAGAAAAAAATATATCGTTCTTCATATTTTTCCGTTAAGTTTGTTGAAGAACCATTTCAGAAAAAAAGGAAAATAATTTCCTCTTCATTTAGTACTGAATAAATCTTAATATTTTTATCAGAAAGCAAGAATAAATTTTTAACGTTTGAGGTCCCGAAGAGATTGCTGACAACTTGATTGAAATATGCAAGCAGCTGGCGTTCCTTGGCACTTGGCCAGCGTCTGGTGAAGTTTGTAGTTTTTATTTTATCAAAAAGGAGGGTTTTGAGGTGGATAGTGTGTTACGATCAGATTCTGCAATTTTACGAAAATTGGAAAACAAATTCAAGTCGAAAAAAAACTATTCTAGTCGTGATTTCATTAACTTTTTTTTTCAGTGTCCAGTTTATAATACCCTTGTTGCTCTCATAATGAATTTTTGAAGTTCATTCTGATTTTCCTTCAGGTCGAGCTGATCCTGAACTCGATTTGTTCTTTGATTGTCGTGGTCCCCGGCGACCGTTGCAACGCCGTCGTTTCCGAGTTCACCAACTCGGTTTCCCCCAAAAATTTCAAGGGAATCGGATGGGCCAGCAATGTAAAGCTATCATTTTCTAATAGTATCTATACATTTTCATATTCTAGGCCGGTCACGCCGTCAGAGTTTTATCGAATCTTTTCCGCGGATACCCGAATTATCCAGATATTCAGGTTTTTCATGTACATAGCAGTTTTTAGAAGTGTTCTTTAAAAGGTGGTAAAAAAATTTTGCTGCTGTTTTCCGCCATTTCCGCTTTTTTCCGACATACATTCAATAGCCTATATTGACCATTTTTGCTGATTTTTTTCTTCTTTCTCTGTTTCTGGAGCTTTTAGAATCGTCGCACAAGATTAAAACATAGCTCAAGGACGGAAAAAGGGATCCTTAATTTAGTTTTTAGCAACCATTTTTTGAGACGTTTTTGGACACTTAAGGGGCGAGAAAGTGGTAAACGCATTCACCGTAATCTATCAAGAATCGTGAAGTCCGCTTTCTAGAAGTATAAATGAGTTTTCCCCTTTACAGAACCTTGCATAGTTTTTTACACATGGTTACAAATGTTTTTAAAATTTCTGTAGAAGCAGTTTACCGGTTCTTGATAGACAATTTACCTCTTTCTTGCACACGACCTTGTTTTCGATAAAGTGAACAAAAAAGGATTTCATCCATAATTTTTCCAGCAAATGATCTACAAGTCCCTCGTTGGAATGTGCGCCGAATCGCGGCTCATCGGAGAGCTCGATTGCAACATCGAACACCTCAACCAGCAGTTCTCCCAGTGGAACATGCCGGTGGAAGGACAAAGAGAACTCCTTCGGATGGTCCACCATGCCTTGCTCATTGATGAACGCGCCGACCAGGCTGCCAAGGTGGAGAAACGGAGAAATATGGGGAAATTTGAGAGAGACTGGTTCGGAACAGATTATATAGGGAATCCCGTTTCAAATGCAGAAGAAAATAAGCTAAAACAGCTTTTTTTGCTCGTTGCTTTAGAAGTTGAAAAAAGACAGCAAAAAACAAAGGACAAAGGTCTGGTAGCGGAGTAGAATCAAGTTTAGTATACGGCTTTTTTTTTGGCGGAATGGGCTATACTTGATGTAAAACTGCTATCTGTACTTCTAAGAAAGATGTCTGATGATCTACTTAATCATGGAACAATTGAAGAGTTTGTCGGTTCTCGAAACCGCCGTTGATTAAGAACCGCGCGTAGAACATCTTGCCCTTTTTTTTGATGTAGTAGACGAGTTTTGAAAATTTTGACGACCTTTTTTGAAAAGATTCATGAATGTCTCGAGGTTATGAGGTGGGTAATTTTGTCCATAAACGAGTCATATATCCACTAGTTATCTGGTTTACGTTCAGCGATTGGCTACTTTTTTTTGATAAATATAATTTTATTCGTTATCCTTTTGGAAATATCAACAAACCAGCTCTTTATCAACCTACTGATTCCCTCCAGGTGATGGTCGTCCTCCTGGGAACCTACACCGACGCCGACGCGGCCACCGCCCGCGAAGACGCCACGGAATGCGTCAGAACCGCCGTCGTCGACCCCAAATCCTTCTCTTTTGATCATCTCCAGAGACTCAGCGCTGTTCAGGCCCTCCAGAAGGTTCTACTCATCTGGATTCTTGATTTATAACCATTTTTCAAGTCGGATTCTCTGATGTATTCCGCCCTCGAGCTTTTCATTTCTGGAACTCTGAAAGACTATCAGGTTGGTTTCGAAATGAGGTCAAAATAATGGGAGTTTCATTAGGCTTTCGTCAAGAAAAACCCGAATTTCGTCAAGGAATCGCTTCGCGTCGACGAGACCATCCTTCTGAAAAAAATCAGATTATTGACCCTGATGTCGGTCGCTGAGACCAAGAATGTAATGATTTTGATAGTTTGTTTAATTCAGAAAAAAAGAAAATATTTTTTTATTAACCTTTTTTTCAAATTTTTTTGCCTATTTTTTTGCGTTTGGAAGCTATAATTTAATGCTTTGTAGAAACTCGTCAAGTAGCGGAAAATATAAAGAGTTCAAAAAAATTTTTAAAAATTTACTTCTCTTTTGTATCGCCATCTCTATAATCCGTTGCAAAGCTCCAAAAAAATATTATTCGTTTCTCTCATTTTGTCATACTCATAGCCTTTTTCTAGGAAATAAGCCTGGATGAGTTGGCTGGACATTTGGATTTGCCGGCCGATGAGACGCTCGAGGAGTTTATCATTGACGCCATTCAAGTCAACGCTATTTCGGTATTGCAAAAATGAGAATTGTTTGCAAGTATTCTAATTTTTCAGGGTAAGATCAACGAAATGTCGAAAACTTTGCTCGTCAGCTCCTTCCAACATCGCATGTTCGGCAGAGAACAGTGGACCTCTTTACAGGTATCTCTGGGGAGAATGAGGCCGAAAATGTGTTGAAAAAAGGCAACCGCAACGCATTGAGCCATTCCAAGTGCGGTTATGCCGTTTTATTAGAGCTGATAAGTCTTAAAAATTTTCATAAAGCTTGGAATTATGGTTTTTCATGAAAAAGACATTAGAAATGCGGCTTTGGCTTTAGAATTTTCAATTTTTAAGATTTAGTTCTTGAGGAAAATCATTCTACCGGCTTAGGCATGTGAAATTCAATTCTAGAAGTAAAGAACCTCAGAAAATCTGTTGAAATAAAACATTTCCGTTTTCGGAGTGTGGCCGTCACGTTTTTGAGCCATTCCAAGTGCTGTTCTATTTTTATATCTAAAAAAATTAGCATGGATGGGTTGATAACATTTGAACTTTTAAAATCGAAGCTTAACGGCAGTGCATTTTGCCGTTCAAAGAGCGGTCATGAACTTTGAATTTCGATTTTTGAGAGTACAGTGGCTGAAAAATCAGTAATAAAATGTCGGCTTTAATTATAAATTTGAATTTCTGCAGCCTTTAGCCATTCCAAGTGCGGTCGTGACTTGGAAACTCTGCAATTTTTGAAGAACTGTTCTCGATTTCGTGAACATAGGCAAAGTTGGAAAGGGTGCAAAAAGATTCCATAGAAATGTCCCTTTCAGGGTGAAAAGGGCTATTTTTTGCTGCCTTTTTGCGCCTTTCATCGGCTTTCATGCACCATTTTTGCTGTTTCTCTCTTTTATACCATTTTTTGAGTCTTTAAAATCATAGAAAAAAAAAATGGAAGGATCGATAAAGAAACTCTTTTTGCTGCCTTTTTTGAGCCTCTCTTTTTTAGTGGTCATTATCCACCATTCCGACTTTGTCCAAAGTGATTTTCGCTAAAAAGTTTTCATAAATTTTTTTACTCTCAAACCGCATGATGATTCACTACAAACTCTGCGGAAAAACCCATCTTCCCTCTTCTTTTTTTTCTCACTAGATAAGCTCACCGTCATCACTATATTTACTGATCTCTCTCCAACCACAGTATTCCCCTCAAAAGTGTACGCAAATACCGAATTCTCGATTGCCTCCTTCTCTCTACAATCCCTACTACCTTGTTTTCGAAAACATCAAAAAACAGGGTAGATTTTGAGAGATAATAAGAAAAATACGGCAAAATGTCCTTTTTTGGGTTTGTGAACTTCTATTTATGTCAATTTTGGCAAAAAGGAGTTCGTAGCCCGCATTTATTAAAGTGAAAATTTTCCTTTTTTTTCCTTCAAAAAATCAAAAGACATGGAATCCGCTATAAATTCATAACTTTTGACTTTTTCTTGTGAAACGTTTTGTTAAATGGATCAGACAGGGGAGGACACGTTTCTGTGTGAAAAGAGTGGATTTTTCTCTATTTTCAGAAAAAAAAATTATGGAAATTAACTTCTCATTTCACTGTATACGGCCCCTATTTTGAAGAAAACCTTCAAGAAACTTGAAAAAATTATTTTTGAACGAATTTGAAAAGTTCTAGTGAAATCATGTAGTTTTTAATCAACTTTTTTGATAACTTCAGTTTATATTGTTATTTTTGAACGTCTAAATTTTCAGAAGCGCCTGCAAACGTTGATTTCGAACCTGAAGCAGTCGCACGAGAATATTTCCGGCGTTAATCAACAAATCGAGTCCTTGGCTTGAATTTAAATTCAAATTGTTCCCTCTTTTCTGTTTCTTTGGTTATTTTATCAATTTTCCTCTTTCTGGAATGATTTTATTGTTATGTGTGGAAGTTATCTATTGATTACTTCAAAAAAAGACGCCCTTGAAATCACTGTTGACTGTCTGTTTTTTTCTTGATTATTTTTCGAATTGGTTGAGTTGGAATAAAAAAATTTTTGTTGTTTTTTTGTGTTTTTTTGGATCGAAACGGTTGCGAAATCCGTATTATTTTTGTTTTTCACAGATTTCTTCTGTAGTTTTGTACTTCTGGCCTCGATTTATCATCATATTTCGTAATCAGGTTTTAGAAATGATGATTTTTCGAGACGTTTTTTTTCGTAACTCTTTTGAAGATTTCAATGTAAAGCGTAGTGTGAAATTTTAAGTCCCATTTTTTTGATAACAAAAATTGAAATTTGGTTTTTAGGTTAGGGCGTTTAAAGTCTTTTTTTCAGAATACATTTTTTTAATTTTTTTGCAATGTTCCTCAAAAACTTTAGAAAAGTGTTGGTTTTTAGGGATTACAGCCCTGTTTTTACCCCGTTTTTTTGAAAAATCCTTATAGGTACATAGACATGAGAAAGTCTCTTTGCCTCGATTCCTTCATTAATTTTTGCAAATGCTCCTTCAAAAAAACCCACGCAAGCTGCTATGAATCATGTATATTTTGCAAAAAGAAGTTAATCAACGGAAATGGAGAATTTTTTTGTTTGAAAAAATTAATGAGTACTACTTCATTTCGGATGAAGGGCTTCTCACATTTAGTTTCCTTTTGAGTAGTCCATTTAGCGTGAAAATGAGTCATATATGTTATTTCTTTCATGATTCATAGTATTCTGTCCATTTATCATTATTTTTCATCAAAAAATGGTTGAATAGAGCGTTTTGGGAAAGACATTTTGAAGAAATTTGACAGAAAAACATGTTTTTGAGTTAAGTTTTTGTTTTGCTGATTTTAAGGAGCTCTTGATGGCGCCTTTAAATTTTTTCAAAATTAAAAAAACAGGTGTTTGATTATTTTTCCAATATAAAAAGTGCTCTAGACTAATAATCTATTTTTTTAAAGGTGCACTTTCAGTAATAGATTTGAGAGAACCCCTGCAAATAGTGCGTGAAAACGGATGAGCCGTGCCTTTTTTTTGGTAGAAACGAGTTTATTTCGTTTTGAGTCAACCAAGTTCAGTTGGTTTTGTTGGCAGGTGCTAATTTATTCGTTAATCAACCATTTTTCCATTGGACTCATCAAAAAGTGTCAACCGCTGACTTGAAAAATAATAATTTAAAACTAGAAATACTTTTTTTTGAAAAAATATTCTCACTTTCAAAAAAAAAAGGTTCCGTGATTTTCATCTGTTCAAAAATGCGAAATTTAATAGAATATTGTGATTAAAAAGACTTTCCAGTGATAATTAGGTCTTAGATCGATCTTTTGGGCCCGATTTGTAATCCAGTGAAATTTCGTTGGTTTGATTAGCGAAAAGAGCGAAAATTTATGATTTGAGGACTTGAAACGAACTTGTTAAGATTTTTATGAATATTTAGCTTTTTTAGGTTTGTTTTGTATTTCAGTGAACTTTCAGTCTGTTTGTGAAGTCAAAAAAGGCAAAAAATATGACTTCTACACTTGAAAAAACTATCATATCTTCGGCTTTTTTTTCATGTCGGATTTTCATCTCAGCTTTGAGAAGAGAGACCAGGAAAAACGAATGATTGCAAGACTAAAAACAGAATATCCGAGTTCTTGCTGATTTTCTAAGTTTTCTCTAGATCTGACCTTTCCAACGAACTTTCAGTCACTTTGAGAAGTTAAAAGAGCTTAAACCAATGATCTGATAACGTTGGACCGACTATAGCCACCGAAAAAATGGCTAGCCGGGTGAAAGTCCCTCCGGCGGGTTTTTTGTCCGGAGGGAAAAGGCTGGCGGCGGTGGCTGCGACCGAGGTGTTCTTCCTGCTTTCCGCCCTCTCTCCGTCCCTGCCTTCGATTAACCGCTTCTTTGTGTGGCTGGGCGCGTAGCGGTCCGGCCTGCCCCCTGGCGCTCTCTCTCCGCTTCACTCTGTCCCCATTGCCAGAATCAGCTGATTCTCCTGTCTCGGCATCGACCATTTTGACGCCGTGTCACGAAGTCTTTGGCCTTTTTCCGTAGTTTTTTCGATTCTTGAAGTTGAGCTTCTCGTTTTGGCCAAGTTTGGGAAGTTTTTCTGAAGAAACGGGATCAGCAGCACTTTTCATAGTTTTAGAAAATTTTCTATATTTTAGCTTAAAAATTAAACTTTCTACTTTAGGAATCTTCCTAAAGCTCCTTTGAACTGGAATTCTTTGAACGAAAAAATCTGAACATTCAATTTTATGGCTTGAGAACTTCTCAAGAAGCTTCTTTTCTGAAAAAAAGCAAAATTTTCCAACAAAACACAATCGATTTCGTATACAGAACGTCTGGATCTGGCTTCTTCGAGATATTTCTTCGGGTACTGGATTCTCGAAAAAGGGCTTTTCGTTTTGAAAGATTTCCGACGGTTCTTCTGAAGGAAAGGAATCTCAGAAGGACTTTTTATAGTTTCTAGTAATTTTGGTTTTTTTTAGCTTGAAGTTTAAATTGCAGCTTCAGGAAGCTTCCGGAAGCTTTTTTCTCTGAAGAAAAATAAAAAAAAAGTTCCAGAGAAACATTTGATCAAACGATTTCGCATAGAAGGGTTTTTAGTTTAGGCGTTTTCTGTAATTGTTTCTGGTAATGAACTCTGGAAGTTGAGCTTTTAGTTCGGAACTCTGGAGAAACAGGATCAGCATGTCGACTATAACTGAAAGTTTTTAGGGAGTCGCTTTTTCAGAACTTTTCGTAGTAGTTCTTCGAATTTGAACTTCTGCTTTGAAGAACTCTCCTTTAGAAGAGTTTTCAATCGGAAAAGGTCTCGCCTTGGTCTTTTTGTACTTCTTTGGCATGTCTGTCCCCCCTGAAAGAAGTTTTCAGATAGCTTTTCTTCGTAGTCTCATAATATTGGTGCATTTGGAGATATTTCTCCTCGCAGAACTCAAAGTATTCTTGTTTTATTGGGGTTTCGGTATCTTGTAGCTTTCATAGAAAATGGCGGGTCAATAATTTAATAATTTTGACTCATCTTTTCTGTAATATGCTTTGCTAGTGGTTTCTTGAGTATGAGCTTCTGTTGTGGGCGAAAAATCCATACCTTTTCTCGCCAGTTTGAAGCTCTTTCCTTGCTGTTTTTAAAATGCACCTGGCCTCATGGAGGCGATATTGATGGATCTTTCTGGATTCCCTGATTTTAAAGCTTTAGTATGAGCGAGCCGATGTCTCTTGTTAGAGACTAATTATATATATAATTCTAATGATCATGTCGTCTCATTATAAATTGTGAATTTCCATAGCCACTTTGTAGTTCCCATTGTTAACCCCTTCCCATTCATCAAAACGTGGTGAATAAGGAGGCTTTGTCCGAAATAGCACGGAAAAGTCGATATTTACGACCACGGGAGCCTTTTAAATTGGAGATTTTCTATTATTATTCTTATTTCATGCGTTCAGGAGAAGTTGAGTTTGAAGTTTTAGTTTGAGGCTTCATTAAAAACCGGAATTTCCGGCCTAAAACCTGGAAAAATGGCTTGTCGTTGGCTTTTTCAAATAGGTAAGGCTACTTGTTCATATAAATCCCCTTTTTTTCAATATTTTAGTAGTTTTCCAGTAGTGCGTCGTAGGGAGGAAAGAAAATATTCATCGAACAGCGATCGATCGGAGAAAGGCGCGGCATTTTCTGTGTGCGTCCGAAATGCGAACAGCTTGTATACAGCTGGCTGCTGATTGTCATCGAATTAGGCGTAGATTTTCATTTGTCTGGGGTCTAGACTAATCTGTTTTAATCCATTGAGATGAGAAAGTGAATTAGATATGATATTATAGTTTTCATAGCTTTTCCAGTCTTTTCAAGGCTTTTCTTTTATAATTTTTTAATGCGTAACTGATGATTTTCTCTCAAGAAAGTGCTTCTTTCATTTCGAAATGCAAATTAGGCTCAATTTCTCGTACATTTACACTTAGGAAACATTTTCTTGAAGGCAAATCAATCAATTTTGAAGTTAATACGATAGAAAAGTTATTTTTGATTTTTTCAATTTATATAAGCTCACTTTTCTAATGGGCTGAGCTTCTGCTTTACAGCTTTTCCAATGAAATCGAGAATTACGAGAGAAAAAAGTTAATTCAAAAGAATTGAGTGTTTTTAGGGCTTGATTCTGATCGAATTAGGGTTAGATATGAGTTTTTGAAAACGAAAAACAATTAATTTTTCTGGTTCATTAGAAAAATAGCCACAGAATGGGACGTTATTACCTCTTTCCAGGGTCAAGAAATCAGAATTTTCAGAAATTTAAAGGTTCTTAGAGAAGGGATCTTAGAAAATGTGAAGAAAATTTAAAAAAAGATTAATTTATTTTATGCAGAAAACTTACGATGCATCGAGTACGAATCCGTCTTTTAATAGTTATGAACAAAAAATTTCTTATTTGATAATTTTGATCAGTCTGAATAACGCGTAGATTCTATCTGTAGGAAAAAAAAACATTTTTTCAAGAAGAATAAAGAAAAAAACGTGTATAAAACGTGTGTGTGTGAAAGTTCTCCGAATTTCGTTTGATGATGTAATTTTTTGGACGCGCAGCCACGCACACCCCTTCTACAACGGGGAGGTCAAATCGACTATTCGTTGTGTTTTTTTTTCTGAAAGATCAGCTGCTTTTGTTTCTTTCTCTCATTCTTATCGATTCATATACTTTTTTTCACCTAAAGATGGGCTTTTTCTCCACGTAGACGAGAAAATTGCAGGTCCCCAAGGCGATTTTCTGTCCCATTGTGTTGAATGTAGATAATCACACCTTGTCGTACTCTTTTTTTGAAGCTTGAATGTCTCAAAAACGTATTTTTGTCAGAAGTTGAAAAACATTTTTTTCAATGGAAAATTCACAAAAAAATACTCAAAAAAATAATAAAGGGCTTGGATTGAGATTTTTTTGAAAGAACTTAAGAAAAATATTTAGAAATAGGCTTAAACATGTTCATCAAAAAAATAGATCAGAGTTAGATTTTTCGTCTAATTTCACTATTTTTTTCAGTTTGAAATTGTTACAGCCCATTCCGCGCCAGCTTGTAAAGTTTTTTTCAAAGAAGCATATTCAAAATTTGATAAAAATTGACTTCACTTCGCTACAAGACCTTTATTATTTTTTTTTTCTATCTTTTTCTCCGTTTTGTAGAGAAAAAGTTCAAAAATAGCGGGTTTTACAGTAGCTTTTTTTCTGCTGTTTTTTTTAAGATCTTTTAGAACGTGACCGCCTCGCGCGGAACGCATAATAACCATTTCGTGGCTCTCAGTTTTCAATTTCCTGGGAAATTTCCATTTCATGCGAAACAACGATTTCAGAAAGGCTCTCAAAATTCAATTAGATTTCAATTTTTTTTTTCCTGCGAGACAGATAATTTTTTTGATATCAAAACCTTTTTGTGCACCCTTTCTCTGTTTGAAACTACAAAACAGGACATAGTCGACTTTTTTTTGTCTTTTTTTTCATCCTTTTCTCTCCATGGGCACACCTTTTCTGTTCCCTTTTTCGATCGATAAACGTCGCGGTCCTCGTTGGGGACGATTCGGTCTGGTCCAAAATTTAAGTGATCCGGTTTCGGAATATCACCTAAATGTGTCCTCGTAAAGTGGAAAAGTGGTTTTAAAAGAGGCAAGCAAAAAAAAAAAAATGAAATTTCGTAGCGTCGGTGGAGCAGATTTGCCTCATTGCGTTCGGGGGAGCTTCGCGAAGTTTTCTTGTTTTTTCTTGCGACATTTTTCGTCATTTCAGTTTATTGTTTCGCACGTTTTTTGGCTTCTTTTTGATGTTTAAAACCCCTTGTTGGTCTTTCTTCGATGAAAGTCAACGGATTTCAATAGAGTTCCTAGGCGAAAAGTCATTCTAGTGTTATTTCATGTTTTTAAGGACTTCCAAAACTCTATCGTGGTTTTTTGAACGATAATAATGTAATTTTTATAGTCTGTTTAGGTTTTTAATGTCAAGGGCAATGACGTCATTCAAAAACACTCTCTGGATGGCTCGCTCTCTGATTGGTTTATAGTACCATTAGGGGCAGAGCTTGTGCGATGACTTGACATTCAAAATCTGAACAGACTATAATAATTTTTACCGAGAAGCAGGCAAAATGGGTAAAAGTTATCGAGGTGCAAAAAAAAAAATTTTTGATTCTGATACAGTTTTTCCATTGAAAGAAATTTTTTATGGGAATCACAAATACGTTACTTTTTTTATCTATGGCATCTCTTTGCAACCGGATTTCCTTTAAAAGTCAATGAATTCATAGAATCCTTCTCAATCGGATCATGATTTTTGTCATTCTCTTTAGTAAACAGAATAAACTGTCCTGCAAACTTTTTTCTCGGCCTAAAACATGCAGAAAAACAAAAAATGACGATAACTTGTCCTTATTCTGGAACTTTGACCGACCTCAGAGTTATTGATTCTCTTCTCAATCGCCCGCGCAAACTTTTTTCTTTTTTTCGGTATTCTTTTTTCTTTTTACAAGGTTTAACTTGTTTTTTTAGTTGTTCTCGAAGCGATTTTTAGATTTTTTTATATGAAAAAAATTTCGAGGTTTTTTCGAGAAGTATAGGTGTAAAAGTGTAAAGTATCGAGTCACAAGTTTTCAAAGGCGCATAAGCTGGATTTGGTTTTTTTTTTTTTCAAATTTTCAATACTTGATTTTGAAAAAAACTCGATATTGTTAATTTCCGGTCAAGCTGTAACGCTGGTTACAAAAAGGATTGAAACGGTTCAAAATAGACTAATCCAGCTCTAGTAAGGAGGATTTTTGAAGTCGGAACTTTTTAGCCGTAAGGGAAAGTTGGAATTTGAAGCTTTTTTTCAAAAGTTAGTATGAAGATGTGAAGTTTTGATCAGTGAATTATCATTATACTGCCTCTCAGTTTCCTCATTTCATTCCGAATCTTGTCTTTTCATCGTCCGTTTTGTAAAAGAAATTCCAAAGGAACTAAGCTAACCATGTCTTGAAAGTAACTGAAATGTTCTGTGGTCAGAGGAATCACATTATTTTTTTTCATCGAAACAATTTCGTTAATTTATATATTATAGAGCATACTTTCTTTTCCTCGAAGCATTTTTCAAATTTTACGACATTTACCGTTTTATTGAAATTGCCCTGGCCTTGGCAGAGAGAAAAATGATTATATTTTTTCCAGGATTCGTTTTCTTTACTTTGGGTGGAGATTCCAAGTAGATACGTCGGTCATTGGTTGATAATTAGTTTTTGACAACAACAAAATGGAGGGGATCGACCCCGACGTGCTCCTGGAATGGCTCCAGACGGGTATTGGTGATGAACGAGACCTTCAGGTTCGTTTTGAGAAAAAAAAAGTCGATCTAGCTCCTGTTTTCGCCTTGTAGTTGAGTTATGAAGCTTTAAGAAGGTCTCGAATAGCGACTTTTTCCATAATTTGTGTGATTTGCGAACTTTGGAGCTTCAAAATTTTGTTATGAGGAAGAAGCCAGAAATTTTTTTTTTGTTTTCAAGTTTTCAAGTCTCTGAAATTGGCTGTAGCGAAGTTCCATAAAAGTTGAACCGGAAGCTGGAAAATCTTCCTTTTCGGCGATAATTCAGAGAAATTATTTTGACAAGCCTATGATGTAATGTGTGTGAAAAATGTACAGATGGATTATCAAGTAATAAATAAATAGGAATAATTCAGAGGTTAATTGAGAGGGTATATAATCATATTTCCTTGCAGCTGATGGCTCTCGAACAACTTTGTATGCTTTTATTGATGGCCGACAATATTGATCGGTGTTTTGAATCGTGCCCACCGCGCACATTTATTCCGGCGCTGTGCAAGATTTTCCTCGACGAAACCGCGCCCGACAATGTCTTGGAGGTGTGATTCCGTGTCTGCCACCGTTATCGATTGAATGCAACTTGAGTGAAAAAAAAAATACGCTTCCAGGCAATTTAAAAATAAAAAGAAAGTGTTTGATGCGTAAAACTCATATGCCAGATATTTGAAAAGAAAACTGTAATTTTAATTTTTTGGGATAGTTACCTGAAATAATGACGACTAAGGGACTATAGGTCACGTTTGGCTAGAAATCTCATTTTTTTTTTTAGAATCATCTCATTTAAATCATTGTTTTCAAAGTGATTTTGCGGAATTTAAAATAGCCGTCAGAGAAAGAAAAAGATAACTAAATTTTTGGGAGTCAGAGATGGTTTCGAATGACTAAAGAAACTAGAGAAAGAAAACACTAGAGTCAACCTAATGTTGTTATTGAAGAGGTTACGCTTGAACTTTGTTTCCTTGACGATTTTATCGAGAATGAAATTAAGGTGACGGCTCGTGCAATCACATATTACTTGGACGTGTCCAACGAGTGCACTCGCCGAATCACTCAGGTCGACGGCGCTGTCAAGGCGATTTGCGCCCGACTCGCCGCGGCTGAGATGACCGACAGGTCCAGCAAAGACCTCGGTTCGTTGGGATTGAAATTTGAACAAAAGTGATAATTTTTTGGCTTTCGAAGTTCATTGATACCTTAGAAAACTTTGAAAACATTTGTTTCAAAATACAATTTTGCGCACTCTTTTTCGTGGTTTACAGAAAATTCTAGAGTTTCAGTAATCTTGAGGTGCTTGAGAACTGTTATGAGAAGGGGAGAAATACCTTTGCAAAATAATTCGATAGAATGTAAAAATAATATTCTAGAATTGGTATAGTCTGTTCAGATTTTGAATGTCAAGTCGTCGCTCAAGCTCCGCCCATAATGGTGCGATAAACCAATCAGAGAGCGAGCCATCCACAGAGCGTTTTCGAATGACGTCATTCTACTTGACATTCAGAATCTGAACAGACTATAGCATTCGTTTCAAGACACGATTTTGCGGAATTTTTCCGTGATTTTTAGAAGAGAAAAATTAATAACTTCAAGTGATTGATAACGGTCGTGAGAAGTGGAAAACAACCTTAAAAAGATATTTTGAACTAAGTTGAGATTTTTGAAACTGGAGTTATAATTGTCTGCAATGAAAAATAAACTGGATAAATTTCCAATTCTCAAAAAGAACATTGAAAGCGGGTTTAGACCACAAAGTATCAGGTAATTTTCATAATTTTTGTCTTTTTATAGGTATTTGTTGAAGAAAAAATATATCCATGTTTAGCTGAGCAATGCGTGAAACTGCTCGAGCACGTTTGCCAGCGCGAAACTTTGGCCGTCTATGACGCCGGCGGCATCAACGCCATGCTCACTTTGGTCCGACAGCATGGCGGCCAAGTTCATAAAGTAAAAAACTACAAAAAAGGATTATAGACTAAAAAAGCTATTCTTTAGGACACTATGCACTCGGCGATGTCCGTCGTGACACGTCTTTGCGGCAAAATGGAGCCCAACGATTCAGAACTCCCGAAATGCGCCGAAAGTCTCGGCGCCTTGTTGGAACATGACGATCTTAAGGTGAAAAATTGAATTTAAAAATAATATTAATTAAGTTTCAAGTAAATAAAGCTTAAAAAAATGGTCCTGAAGAAGAGTGACGGTGACTTGAAGAGACGCCAGAGAAATGAAAAATCTTCCTCTTGCGTCTCTTCAACCTGTCTTTGTTCTCTCGCCATGCATTTTTTCGAGGTTTTTCAGTTCAATCGGAAAATATGTAGTATTCTACAATATTTTAAAAGGAACCTTCTTATTAGACATTGAATAATGATGATAATAATGTAACTTGACAACGATTGATACAACTTCCATTAAATTTTGGAGTTCCTAGCTAAATAATAGTTATTTTTTATTTAAAATATGAATTTACTTTTAAATAAACACGCAGGATCAAAAAAATGATAAGAAAAAAAGATTTTTTTGTTTTGAAAAGTAATAAAAGACCATGACCGCCTTTCAGTATTCATGTTTCATATATACATCTTTTCCTCAAGTTTATACTATTTCCCTTCAATTTTCTCTTTTTTGCAGGTCTCCGAAAGCGCTCTCCGCTGCTTTGCCGCGTTGACGGACCGTTTCATCCGCAAAATGATGGATCCGGCCGAATTAGCCCTCCACAGCAACCTCATCGAACACTTGTTGGGCACTCTATCCAATAACGATACCTCAAATTCTGCAAACTTTGTCTCCATTGTACTCTCTTTGCTCAGCAATCTCTGCCGCGGCAGCTCGGCGGTTACCGAACAGATTTTGAGGTGAGTGCGGGTTCAAGAAGATATATGAAAGTGCTTTTTTGGGGTTGTTCCAAATATCATTTCGTCTTTATAATGCCTTGGAGAGACTTGGATATTTTTCGGGTACTATTGTTACAGAACTTGAAGTGGGCGTTCATGAAAAGAAAATAAGACTGTATTGATTTTTTTAGGGCTGTATCAATTTTCGGCATTAAATTGAATATTTTCGGGTGCTATCTTGACAGAATTTGAAGTGAATGGGTGTTTGAAAAAAAGGGGTTCTGTTAAGTTCTTAAGATTCTAACAAGTTCCGACATTGATTTAACCGATTTTCGGGTTCCATTGAAAAAAAAAATGTGTTCCGCGAACTTTTATCACTTTTTTTTATCAAGCACTAGTGTCAGCTCACCTTCTAGAACCAGAGTCACTAGATGAACTTTTTTTATTCTTAAAAAAATTATTCAACTTTTTAGCGCTCGTAACTTGCCTCACAGGCATTTTTCGTCCGTTTTTGAGCACAGATTTGGAATCAGCGTGAAAAAAACTGCATCTAGAAGACTTTCAAATACATGATAGGGACACTGTAAACGGATAGTAATCTTGAATAAAAAAATTGGAAAGAAGTTTTACTTTACATTAACAAGTATCTCTCCCTAAATTCGAATGACTAATTCTTTTTACCCTCTGAAAACGAGCAATTTTTCAGCTCACCAAATATCATGCCAGCACTCTCGTCGGTGCTCACGAATAAGGAAGAACGGGTGGTGACGGATGGCCTCCGGCTCGTCGACCTCTTGTTGGTCTTGCTCTGCGAGGGAAGATCTGCTCTGCCGCACACGGCTGCGGTTCGTTTCGTTTCGGAAAAGCTCTTATGAGAGAGATAAGAGCTAGAGAAATTGAAATGCGAACAAACTACACAAATGTTCACCTGATCGGACCTTGTTTCATTTGATGTTTAGTCAGTTCGAAGATATTTTCTTGAGTGCCTGAAGGATCATAGAGAAAATTCCAAGGTCTTGAGGGGAAGGCTATTGGCAGAAAACAAAAAAAAAATTCAACTTAAAATTAGAATTTTTCATTTTTTGGATTTTTGACCTCAAGAGAATTGGGATTTATCACATTGTTCAAAAATGAACTAAACAAGTGAGCGTTTTCAGAGAAAATTCAACCGTTTTAAGCCCCAATTTGAAAATATCCATATAAACACCTCATTAGCTGCTAGTTTGAAAAAAAAAATATGGAAAAAACGCCTGAATCTTTTCATTTCACACATTATTCTGTCAGTCTTTTTGATTTTTTTTTAAATAATGTCTCACGGCAAAGTTTTATAAATTTTTGAAAAATATATGAAATTTTTAAGCTTGATGCATTTGGAACAATTATATGACAAAATTCGAATTTTTATACATAGTGAAAATAAAGACTGATTTTGATCATTCTGAACGAACTTGAATTTTAAATCTTCGTTTCCAGGTCTCCGGAGACTCGGCAGGACCATCCGGCGGCGCCGAACGGGTCCATCGTCACCTGATCGACGCGATCCGCCAGAAAGATCTGACCACTCTGGTCGACGCCATCGAAAACGGGACCGTCGATGTCAACTTCACGGACGACGTCGGTCAGACCCTCTGCAACTGGGCCTCTGCCTTCGGAAGCCTGGAGATGGTCCAGTATCTCTGCGACAAGGGCGCCGACGTCAACAAGGGCCACAAGAGCAGCAGCCTTCATTATGCGGCCTGCTTCGGACGGCCTGATGTGGGGATTCATCGTCTTTTTGAGCTGTTTTCTCTATTTATTCGATTTGCAGAAAAACAGAACAGCTTTTGAAAAATGAATTGAAAAAGATAAAACACCTCGAGAAGCTTTTCATCGAAATCGATGGTCATTTGAGGAAAATTAGATACAAAAAGGAAAAACTCTGATGAGAAGCAAAGATTCAGTTTCACTATGCCGATTTGAAAGAATCTTTAAGTTAAATTTTAAAAATAGTCCTAGAAAAAAGTGAAAGAATTCGGTTGAATCATCAATTTTGTCTGTAATTTTGCGTTCAAGCGCTCTGACGAATCGACCTGTTAGAGTGAAAATCGATGATCATTTCCGACTAAAATGAGATATTTTCCTACAGACGAGTTTTTTTCTCTTATAGCATTATTGATTGTGCTGTCAAGTCTTCATCTGTGAAATTTGAAAACGATGGTTATTTCTAATCAAAATGGTATATTTCCCTTCAGATCGTCAAGCTTCTGCTCCAACGCGGCGCGAATCCCGATTTGCGGGACGAAGACGGCAAAACGGCTCTGGACAAGTCGAGAGAGCGCAGCGACGAAGATCACACTCAAGTCGCCCACATTTTGGAGAGCCCCAGCGTTTATATGCATGCCAGTGAGCATTGAATTTTCGCTTGTTTTGAGCAATATTTCGAGGGAAAGTGGATGAAAGAAAAATGAGAAGAAAAACAATTCAGAACGTTTAGAAAAAAATTAATAGTTCTTTATTTTTGTTCTACAACTTTTCAAGAAAGGGCAAATATTTCATTATTACGAGCGCCGTGATAAATGAAAATAAGAAAAAAAAAAGTTTCAGAATGTCTAGAAAATCGTGGGAATTTTTCATTTTGTTCTAAAGTTTTACAAGAAAGTGAAAGTTTCAATAATTAAAAGTTCTCAAAAATCTCCCTGTTTTTGCATTATTGTCTGAAGTTTGCATTATTCTAGAAACGGATGAGACTAAAACGAAGAAAGATTCGCCGGCGACTCGAAAAATGAGCACGAACAGTGAACTTCCTGACCGAGCCCTGGTCACGAGAGTTTTGCAGCAACTTTTGCCGATATTCTGCGAAATTTTCCAGGTCTTTTGAAATATTTTAACAGTTTCCTAATGGATAAGACTTTAGAAATCGCTCAACGCAAACGTCCGCCGCACTTCCTTGTCTCTGCTCCGAAAAATCGTCGAACACAGCGATTTGAAACAAGCCGCTTCTAATGGTGCATATTGGGATTGTTTTTCAAATTTACAAGTGAAAAAAGAAAAAAAAATTTATTTGTTCCAAAAACCAGTTTATTTTTGAAGATACCTCGATCCGCAGCTCGCCAGCGGATATTTCAGCCGGCGCCGAAAGTTTGGTGGCCGTCGTTGTCTCGGTTTTGGATCAAGAAGATGATCACGAAGGACAAGAACAAGTTCTTCTGGTAAACAGCCTCAAGTCGAACGGCTAACAGCTATAAAACACGAATTTAGATCCTCTCATCGCTGCTGAGGAAAGACTCCGAGTTCTGGGTCACAGAGTTGGTCCGTCTCGGCGTTTTCGAACGCGTCAAAGCGATGGCCAAGGAGCCGCCACGCGGGTTCGACGACCAAAATGAGGAGGACCTCTCCATGGAGGATACTACGGCAAGAATCAGCTCCTTGAGCAGGTTTGTAAAATATTCAGAGAGAAAAGTGAGTATTCTGAAAAGAAGAAAAAACTTTCTTATGAGTATTCTGGAGCCTTACACCAATAAGTCAAAGTACCCGACTTTTCACGTTATCACATTTCCAGATCAACCGCTTCAACACCATCAATCGCCATGGAAGCCGAAATCGAACAGCGTGCGACGCCGATCGGAGCCGGTGATGAGAATGAACGCGAACGAGTCGCAATGCTGAACATCGCCGTCGAATCCGACGGCGACCTCGTCACAGCCACTCAGACGCCTCCTCCCACCGTCGAAGTCGGCGAGGTCGAGGCCACCATCAGCGCGCCTCGACAATCCTCCGCTTCTGCCATCTTGAACGTCGTCTCGAAGCTCAGCGGTTCGTCTTCCGCCGCCGACAAGAAATACAAGATGAACCTGGTGCCGGGCGTCGCCTACCGCTGGAAGGAGTGGAGGATCTCCCGGGGCACGGAGTCGCTTTTCGTCTGGAGCGATGTCCTTCTGATTGAGCTCGCGTGAGTGTCAGATTTGATGAATGGATGATATCTTGAAGCAAAATAAATAAATAGTAGACAGTTTCATGAAGATTTTGTGAAGTGAAGAGATAAGCCACATTTGAAGTTTATCCTTTAAATTGAGCTTTGCGTGACAAAAAAGGATAGGCTGTAGAAAAGTATTAACGAAAGATGACTCCATGTAGGCCATTCTAAGAAATCTCATGGTATAAATTAAGAGTGTCCGGTTAAACAAAAAAATGGTTAGGTTGTGTGAAAGTAATGTGACAAGGAGATAGCTTCACGATTTCGTCTCTTCCAGGTTCGATAGCAACGGCTGGTTCCGCTACCTGGTCGACAACGAAGTCCACACGATGTACGTCAGCGGAACAGTCGCCACCGAGTCTGCGACAACGACTGACGAGAACTTGCGGAAAGAAATGGTGGCTCGTTGGAAGCTGACCAAAGCTCCCTTCGACGACGACAACGTTATGCCGGCTAGCGTCCTGGGCATTCCCAGCAATAACAAGAAGGTCTTGAAGTTGAGAATATCATTGAGTTGTGAGAAGTTGGGCAGTAAAAAGTCTGTGAAAAACATTTTAGAAACTGTTGTAGACATATTAAGAAGGTTCTGAAAACGATGTTTTTTTGCAGCTGGAAGTGCCAGTCTGGGAGCTGTGGAGCACGAGAACCTCCGAGTTGATGTTCCGTTGCACTCATGAGAACTTGAAGTCTTCTGACAACTCGACGGCCCTCACGACCACCATCAAAGACGATTCCGGCGGCTTTGTCTATGAAAGCAGCTCCGGACGGAAACACAACGTCATGCCTGAGACGGCCCTTCCCAGCGACTTCCACACTGGTTTTTGAGTAGCCCCTGTAAAATTAATGATTATTCGTAGGATGGAGCGCTCACGGCGTTTCGGGACGACGCATCAAGTTCCGAACGGAGATCCAACGCCGGAAAGTCCAAGGACTCGCCTGGAAGCTTTGGATCGACCATCTGAAGGAGGCCCAGGCCAAGCCCCGAGAGGCGCTGGTCCGATTGGAGAAGGCTGTGAAAGTCATTGATGTGGGTAAAAGGAGAAAGAGAAAATTTTATAGAAATCCTGAAGAGTTTTTTGTACTAAATGAGCTTTCTCGAAGTCCTGAACTGCGCATTTCTTATTTTCAGAGTAAAAAAGTGGTTAGGCTCTTATTTCCTGCATGACGTCAAACAAAAGCATTTTTAAGTTTTCGAACTACCATCTAACCACAGAAGATGAGAAGAACTTTTTAAAAGAATTTCAAAAACCTCTCTAAAAGTTGTATACTAGTAAAATCTTTCAGGACGCCGTCCGTGTGGCCAACGCCTCAAGCTCCGCCCTCCGAACCATGAAGCACAAGAACATGAAGCAACCGAGAATCGAAAGGGTCCAGGACATTGTCTCGGCGATGAAAGTCCTCTACGACTCAATCGTGGACGATCGCCGTCTCTCCACCTTCGAGTTCACCGTCTCGGGCATCGTCCTGACTCTCAACCAGCTCCTGGAGCTCGTCGAACGTCATCCGGACTCGTATCCTGCCACCATCTTCAAGGAGACCTTCTCCAACGGCGACGCCTTGTCTAGACTGGCTCTGAAAATGGTCGCCGTCCTGGAGGCTTCCGAAAAGTTCCCCCAGTACTTGTACGACGTTCCTGGCGGTTCCGCCTTTGGTCTCCAGCTTCTTTCCCGTAGAGTTCGCTCCAAAATCGAGCTGGCGCCGCCCGTCGACGGCAAGGAGAACGATGAAAATCATCTCTTGAATAAGTAAGCTTTAAATATACGACAGAAAATCTGAGAAAGAAAAAATGACACTAAACCAAAGGAGAAAATATTTTAGGGTTTTACGGCAAACTTGTGACTTTTTAGGTCTTTGAAAGTTTCTCAGACCTTTTTCTGTAGGAGAAAATTGATTTTTTTTTTCTAGGAGCGGAAAAGTTGTCAAATGCGAACCTTTGGCCTCGGTGAACCAAATGAAGCAATTTTTGCTGAAACTGGTCGCCAAGCAATGGCACGACCGCGAAAGGAGCACCCATCGTTATGTCAAGATGATCAACGACGCCAAGACGAGGAACGAGGCCCTGCCCTTCCGATACACTAGCGATTTCGATGATCAGGGTTTTGAAACGAAAAAAGAATGATTTGCTCATAAGAGTTTTAGGAATCATTTACTGGCTTGGCACGAATGGCCGTGGCGTTTCCGATTGGACTAATCCGGCTTCGATCAATGTCATTAAGGTGAATAGTTGTAGGGGAAGGGTGTGAGAAAAAAAAAATCGAACTTCGAAGTGTAAATTCGGTTTTAAAAGTATGAATTCTACTTTAAATCGTATATTTTCCAGATTATTTTTTTTTTCAAAAGAAATTGTTTATGACTTTATGCTTTTCTTGTGAAAGAAATTATTGGTAGATACTTTTTTTGTTTTAAAATTTCTATGAGAAGAAAAGGAAACTTCAAATTTGATTTTTAAATCCTTACTTCCTTTTTTTCGGCTCTTAAAACTTCATTCAAAGTTCTGATTTTTCCAGGATTACTAAGGCTATTTTAATGTTAGAGCAGCTTCTCCTAAAGATTGTCTTATTTCCTAGCGAAGAGTCTTTTTTAATTTTTCAGAGACCCTAATTTTTTTCCTCCTACTTTTTACGAAAAGCTGTAAGTTCAGATCGCCTCCTCGGACGCCCGACAACCTTTCGGAAAACCAGAAGACGTCGTCAGCCGCGACGTCAACCCCATCAACTGCCACTCGAGCGACGACAAAAATGCTCACTTCACCATCGACCTCGGCCTTTTCGTGTACCCCAACGCCTATTCCCTTCGTCATGCCCGTGGATATGGACGCTCAGCGTTGCGCAACTGGCTTCTCCAAGTAGTTTTTTGGGATTTTTTGGGGTTTTGACCGAAAAATGGAGAAAAACTGAAGTGAAAATCTGGAATTACCCAGGTGTTTGAGAAGAAAAAGTGGTTGTAGGTTGTAGAAGGAGAAGCTCAGGAATTTTCTCAACAAGTGGTCGCTTCAGAAATTTCTTTATTGATGAAAAGCCTTTCTTTAGACCCCTAAAGCATCAGGAGTAAATGATGGATTGTTGAATCAAGTAGTCCTCTCAAGTGGTCACTTCAGAAGGCTCTTCAATATTGCCGGCCTGCAAAAAAAAAAGTTTTTTTTGAAAGACTTCTAGCTGAAGCGGTTATTTTTTTGTTTCAAAAGAAGATCATTTTCGCTGCCTCTAGTGGCCACTTCAGAAAGGCACTTAATAAAGAATTTTCTTGAAAGACATTTAGCTTCTTATTTAAGCTTTACTTTGAAAACTATCATTTTTATTGACTAGGCAATTATAACTTTCATGGTTCTCTTCCTCCACGCCACAGATCTGTCTGTGAGCGAAAAATAAACATAGTAAATGTTTCGATCTGAAAAATTCATTTCAACGTTCATTCCAGGGTTCCAAAGACAAGCAAAATTGGGAGGTTATTCACGCTCACACCGATGACACCAGCCTCGGTGAGCCCGGATCGACAGCTAGCTGGCATTTGGAGGAACGGAAAGACCGCGGTAAATCGACCAGAATAAAAATTCAGATCAGACTCTACCTCTTCCAGGACCCTTCCGCTTCATCCGAATCGCGCAGAACGGCAAGAACTCCTCCGGCCAGACTCACTACCTCAGCATTTCTGGCTTTGAAATCTATGGAGACGTCGTCGATGTCATCGCAGAGAGCCTGAGTGGCGATGAGAAGTCGCCGAAAGAAAAGTCGAAGCTCAAGATTCCGACCCTCGAGTGGAAGACGCCTTCCAGGGGCAATGAGGTAGTAGAAGTTATAGTTTAGCTGGAAAAGTAGAAAATAGCTCATTCACTGCTGGATTGAGGTAATTTTCAATGAGGATTTTTGACTTGAAATTAACACAAAAATAAGTCTCCTCTGTGGAAATAATTATGAAAAGAGATACAACAAGACTTCGATTCCTGAAGTTTGAAAAATTTAACAACGAAGGAAAAAATGTTCTATAGATGTGCTGAAAAGCGTTAGAAGGAGTATTTTGAGGAGTAGTGTGAATATTAACAAGCTAACGGTGCGAGAGATCAGCGGCAGTCAGAAGAGACGTCAGAGAAGTCAGAGGACATTATTTCTCTGTCGTCTCTTCATTTCCCGCGAATCTCGTTTTTAAACTCCTTTTCTTGAAAATTTTCAGTTTTGATCCTTCCACAAAGAACCTCATTTCAATGGTGGAATTTTTTTGAATTTTCCTTCTCCTTAGAAATTTCAACGTATCTGCCCAATCAAAAACCGAGCTTTTTGAGAGCTCTTTATTAGTATCTTTTCACGCAAGCTTCAAGATAATTTTTTCAACGGAGTCTTTTTTTTTCAGTCGAGCAGCAGCGGAAGCGGCCGGTCCAGCACCGTCGTTCAGCCTGGCGTCTCTGCAAGCGCCATGGTCGCTCACATGCCTCAGGGCAAGAACAACAACAAGCTGAAGGCTGGCCTCTCCGTCGAAACGGTCGCTCTGATGCAGTCGCGTCTCCGAATGCGCATGTCGCGTCAGAACAAGGGAGGCGCGTCGTCGGCCAACGATCCGCGTGGAATGCGTGTCGTGCGCGGCAAGGACTGGCGCTGGGAAGATCAGGACGGCGGCGCAGGCTCCCAAGGCCGCGTCGTCAGTGGCGCCGAAGCTGGATGGGTCGACGTCCTCTGGGACAACGGCCACACGAACTCGTACCGTTACGGCGCCGAAGGACACTTTGACATTGAGAACGTCAACGCGAGTGGTGGATCCAGCACTCCGACCAGTGCTACTCCGTCCTCGGTGGGTTTTTCGGAGACTTCTGAAGGAAATAGTTTGCTCTGAAGCGATTGGAGCAGTGAAACCGATTCTGCAGTCATAAGCAAGTAGAGTTCCGAAAAACTGTCAAAACTGATTTTTCAAGCTTTTCTTGAATATCCAGTATCGAGCGTTCTGAAGCGATTGTAATAAGAAGATTGCTTCAGAAGTCCTTTCAAATAATCAGAAGACGTTTATTTAATCGAATTCCCCTAAATTCCTTTTTTACTAATTTTATGGACCAGAATAATGGCTTCTGAAACACTTTTTGAAGATAGAAAAAAATTATTCGAAGTTTTTTCTTCTCCCATAGTTTAGTGGACTTAAAAAAGTGTAGTAAACTGGCGAGTTAATAGAAATTTTTGAACTTGGAATCTTTGCTCTGAAGCTATCAAGAATTTTTCCTGCTTCTTTTCGTACTCGGAGTAAATTTTTTCGAGCAAGGATAACCCCAAGTTCTTTTCAAAATCACGAACACAAGACAAGCTGCGTCTTCCAGGTCTTCGACGCGGTCCGAACTCGCAGCCGTGGCCTGATGGCGAAGACGAGCCGCTCAGGAACGACAGGTATGCGAATTAGGGTAAAGCCTTGGCGCAATGGTAGTGGTGGTGGAGGTGCCGGAAACAACGGCGGCAGTACTCTCTCCTCGTTCGCCTCGGGCCTTGGGTTCGGGTTAAACAAGCAGAAAAAGACGACAGGTACCTCGCATGATCGAACCGATCTCACTATCCGTAGACTGGCCGACTATCTACCGAATTTGAAAATTTTAGGGAGGGATGGTTGCGATCAAAATTTTCACATGGTAGAGATTGAAAGACCATGATGGCTAGACAGTTTTCAAGCGTTTGCAATGAACTCCTGACCACAGAACGACTTGCGCTCATTGGAACTTGAAAGCTTTGAAGCGTTACCGATTTTTAGGCGCATTTTAGAGTTTCAACTTAAACTTAAGCTCGTTAAACCTTTGATTCCGATACAAAGACAGTTCTCCAAGTTCCGGTTCATTTTTTACAGCATTCTGGTCCTTTTTGTAGCGTTATGATCCTTTAAAGGCACAGGGCGTGACTTGAACTTGCCTGAAGCCTCTATCAATGAGAAAAGAAGTCTTTTTTGCCATTCCTTAGTCTAACAGAGTTAGAAAGTGAGCAAGTTTTGACTTCTGTTGAAGAATTTCAAAGCTTAGCTTGTCATAAATTAGATCAGGAAAAATATTATTCATGATTGAAATTTAGTTGTAATTATCTGAAGGAGCCACGGAATCAAATACTTTTAAATGAAATATTTGTTCTTTTTTTTTCTGAAAAATTATTTTCAATAGCCTTCTCAAAAACTGCCTTGAGCTTGATAGGAGAATGATTCATATGAAAGTTTAGATCACTCCAAACAAAACTCTAAATAATTCGGTAGATAGTATGCCATTTTTATCGATCGTGTTGTGTTTGGTCAACTGTTGTCGTCGTTATTTTTTGGCCGTCGTGGTGGCTTCTATCGCACTATCCTTTTCATTTTCTTTTTTTCAATTATCCTCATTCATTCATATGTCTCCCTATTTTCTTCATTTTCTAGCTTCACCCGCCACCTCGACGCCTTTCTCGCGTTTCTCGACACCCCGTGGAACAGCTACTAATGCTTCGGCCGCTGCGTCTTCTTCAACTTCTACGCCTGGAGCCGCAAATTCTGGAAGCATTGGTATCTTTTAGTGGTTATTTAAAACAGTTTTAGAGATTTAGGTCTGAAAAATTGCCTATTAGGTGGATATTTACTCGAATTGAAATGCTCATAAAGGAATTTTCGCATGTATTGTTCCATTTTGCGTGGGAAATTTTCGAAAAATGCGTTTTTCTAATCATTTTGACCAAAAGGTAACCTTGAAGACAGACTTCTATTTTTGATAGCGGCGCAAAAACTTTGAGCCATTCACGTGCGAATGCAGTGTCGCGAGTCGTAAGGACTATTGAGAAATTATAAAAAATTATAGTTTATCAGCATTTTTTTCCAGGCAAGAAGTCCATGTCAACTACCAACCTCGTCGACGAGAAACAGCGCCGAAGCGGTGTCTCTGTCGCCTCCACTGGACAAGCTGCCAGCGCCGAATCTCTGCAACACCAGACTCCGTCGCTTGAGAATCTCCTCGCCCACGCCAGACCTCCCACTTTCGGCCGCATCGCTGAGAATCAAGAACAAGAGGTTTTTGACAAGAAAAACTGAACCTTGAATAATTTTTTCTTGAAGGATCGCGAAGACGAGCCGATGGGCGGAGAGGAAAGCGATTCGGCTGCCAGCATGCATTCTGCCGCCAGCTCCCACGCCGACATGTCCATCAGCTCTTCGCAATCTTCCGTCGCCGTCGACTTGACGCCTAGAGACTCGGCCGGCACCCCCTCGACGCCCCAGGGCGAGAAAATGAACAACCTGTCGGTCTCGGCGCCGGATCTCGCCGCCGCGAGGCAGAGACAGCAGTCTTCCGACACGGCCGACACTGCCGACAAGCAGGCGACTGACGAGGAGGAGGCTGTGGACGACGAGGACGAAGACGAGGAGGAAGAGGAGGAGGCTGAAGGTGAGGGAGTGGAAAAAAGGCCGTTATTGGTCAATGTGCGCTTTATGGATAAAGTTTCCCTTGGGTGAAATGAAACTAGGAAATCGGCCAGGATCATCTTTTTTTATTCCTTAGAATGGTTAGGAGTTTTTGCAATCTACTCAAAATTTTGGAGTTCTCTGAAAATTTGCAAAGAAGTGCTAGATTAAGGTTTTGAAAGTCTCTTACCCTAAGAAAATTCCTAATTTTTCCGAGGAGAAACTTCAGACTTACAGCTCTTTCACAGCGTATTGATCCAATGCCTGGAAAAAAAAATCGAATTCCTAGGGATAAATTTCAACGAAGAAATAAAAAACTGTCTTTTTCAGACATGGTCCTGGACGCTCTCCAAAACACGGGAGAACGACGAATCATCGAACGTCTCCGTGAGGTCCTCGGCACTGAAGAAAGCCTCGACCAGCTCCTCGGCGTTACCGTTGCCTCGACCTCCGCCGCCCAGGAAACCTCGTCTTCCAGCAGCGCCACCACAAACGCGCCGCCCAAGAAAAAGTCGCTCAAATCCAAGATCGGAAGCTACGCCGACGTGATCAAAGGACTCATGCAGACGGTAGAATTCAGGGTATTTACAAAAGAGGTGAAGTTTGGAGGTCTCTATGTTTTTGTCAAAAAATCTTCAAATGTCGTCGGGTCTACCTGCGCAAACTTTTAGTGTTGGAGGTGTTCAATTTCAAAGATGCGGGAGGGGGGCTTAAAAATAATTTAAAAAGTATTAATTAAAAAGTAAAAAAAAAAAGTATCGAATAAGAAAGAAATTTCATAGGGACATCCAAACTTGACACAAAAATGACCTCTTCTATAAGAAGAATAACAAGTGGAATATTGTTCAGATGATGGATCCTTCGTCGAATTCGATGGAAATGGATGAAATGATGGACGACGACGATTACTATGACTATTCGGAAGAGGGCAACGAGGATGAGACTGATGATGTTAGTGCGAAGAAAAATGAGACGATTAAGGTTCAGGAGATGAAAAATGGAAAAGAAACTGGGAAACAGAAAATTTTACGAGATAGTGTAGTAAAACGAGAACTGATTTTTCCAATTTTTCCATTAGATCTAGACTCTTTTTTCGCACAATTTCCTCAAAAATGACAAAAATGACTTAATAAAGGTGTCAAGAATGCTTTTTTCGGATGAAAATTTAAAATTTCTGGGTTTTTAGTGGCTTGAAAAGCATTGAAGTCTTCAAAATAAAATTCTCCAAAAATTAAAAATCAACACTTAAAGTTTAGAGAGTATAGTTGAAACTCCTCATTTAGCCATAGAATCTAAGTCCGAGATCTTAAATTTTGATGAAATTGAAGGAAGCTTCGTAAATTGAGAAATTATCACCAGAAGATGTTGTTTTTCATCAATTCGTGATCATTAGATATGATACGATTTTCATTAATCATAGAAAAATGTTGTAATTTTCGAAACTTCATTTTTCCAAATTTTTCAGCGTCGCCAGGAGTTGGCTGCTCAACTTGGACTGCCCTTCGAATCGTTCTCTTCGATGATTTCTTCTCGAGGAACTCTCAGCTGGAAGCAGGTGATAAATGCATTTCGAGAATCTATGCGCTTTCTAATTCCACCGAAATGTCCCCATTTTGAAGCTCTCCCAACTGATGACCGGCTCCTCTGGCCGTGACCGATCCTCCGGCCGAGCTGGGCAATCGTCGGGCCGTGGATGGGAGGACGAACTCGTGGTGAAGTGCCAGTACCCGGCTCTCATCCCGGCCTTCGACCCTCGCCCTGGCCGCTCCAACGTCAACCAGACACTCGACGTCGAACTCCCGACCGTCGTCCAGGAAGCCTCCAAAGTTTCCTGTGTCAGCATGGTGAATATAAAGTCACATCTAAAAAATGATTTTGGGAAAATTTTGAGCCATTTCCTGTGTCAGCATGGTGAATATAAAGTCACATCTAAAAATGATTTTGGGAAAATTTTGAGCCATTCCAAGTGCGGTCGTGGCATTTTTATTACCACTAATGTTCAGAAAATATGTTAGAAATGGGCAGAAGTTTCCGATGTTTGATTCCTTAAAGAAATCGCCACATTTGAGCCATTCCAAATGCGGTCATGGTGTTCTTATTATCAGTTATGTTAGGAAAAATATGTTAGAAATGAGCTAAAATTTCTAATTTATGATCCCTAAAGGGAGCGCCACACTTAAGCCATTCCAAATGCGGTCATGGCATTCTTATGACCATTTTTGTTAGGGAAATATGTAAAAAAAGAGGGCTGAAGTTTCAAATTTTGATTACTCAAAGGGAGCGCCACACTTAAGCTGTTCCAAGTGCGGTCGTGGCATTTTTATTGCCATTTATCTTAGAGAAATATGTTAGAAATGGAATAAATTTTCAAGTTTTTGAATTCTTAAAGGGCGCACCATTTTTTAGCCATTCCAAATGCGGTCATGACCTTCCAATTTCCACCTTTGAAAGAAAAAAAAAAGTTCCGGAATAAAGCTCCGGAATATTCAAAGTTTTGAAACGTTTCATTTGACAATTTGAAATTCAGAGCGAAGAACAACAACTCCGTCTGTACCTCCGTGGACCCAACATGAGCGGTGTCAATAACATCACGATCGAGATGAAGGACGACGACGCCTCGGTCTTCAAATACGTCCAGTACCTCGTCAACACGGTCAATTGGACGACGGTGAGTTGGGAGATAGAAAGGAGAAGAAAAATGAATAGTTTGAAGGTTATGAGCCATAGATCAATATCATTTTTCAGAAGAGCGACAGAACCCGCCGAATCTGGGAGCCGACCTACACGGTCATCTACGAAGACGCGTCTGAAGCCAAGAGCTCCATCGTCGCCGATGAGCTTCTCCCGGAGGAAGACGCGATCCCGCCTCAAGTCAAGAACGTAAGAAGCCCTTTCCCGCCCATCCAAACCCTATTTTTGACCATTTTCAGTGCCTGGAAGTGATTGGCCGCCTGTCCCGTATCGGCGAACTCATGCCTGAGGCCACCATCAGCCCGACGGTCTTCATCAGCGACAAGCTCACCCTGAAGCTGACCCAAGAACTCTCGGATGCTCTGGTTGTCGCGGCGCGAAGCCTGCCCGAATGGTGCTCGCACCTCGTCTACTCCTACCCGTGCCTCTTCTCCGTCGACACGCGCAACATGTACATGCAGGCGACCGCCTTTGGCGTCTCGCGAACCGTCGTCTGGCTTCAGTCGCGCCGCGACGCTGCCTTGGAACGCGCTCGTGGAGGCGCACAATCCGCGACCAGCGGCTCCAGCCGTCCCCACGATCGCTACCATGAGTATCGCGTCGGACGCCTCCGACACGAACGCGTCAAGGTCACAAGATCCGAGGAGCTTCTCCTCGACCAGGCCGTTCGCCTCATGAAGTTCCATGCCATGAGGAAAGCCGTCCTGGAGATTGAATACACGAATGAGGAGGGCACCGGATTGGGACCCACCCTGGAGTTCTATGCTTTGGTGAGTTTTAAGAACGGCTGAAATTTTAGATCAGTTTCAAAAAGACATGAGCTTTCTAGGCTACTTGTGGATTTGAAGTTTTCCTTTTCGACAAAAGGAGATCCTACTTAAAAATTGGAAAATGCAATCTGAAATCTGAATGAAAAACTGCATTCAAAAGAATTTTTGTTCTTCATTATTCCTTGAAGATTAGCCAAGAGAGTCTCTTGAGTTAGAAGTTTTTCCATAGCTGATTCACGACTGACTTGAGCCATTGAATAAAGGGTCCTGACACGATAATGCACGAGATAGTGCCTGGCTCGTGGAGAGCTCAGACATGTGACGCCCCTTTAGCGTCCCAAGCTAGCCGTGAATCAGCTAGATTTGAGCTTCGATAAGTCAGTTTTTGACCGAGGTTCGGATGATTTTCAAATTCTAGTAAAGATTATAATGTTCTATTGCTTGTAATTTTCTTCAAAATGCTCGAAGAACCCCTTTTTTGAGCTCTTGATCAAAATTTTTGACTTTTCAGGTTGCGGCCGAAATCCAACGCAAGGCGCTGGCCATCTGGGTCTGCGACGACGACGACACTCAACCGAAGAACGAAGAACGTGAGCTGGACCTCGGCGAGGGCAAGAAACCCGCTGGATACTACGTCCGACGACCTGGCGGCCTTTTCCCTGCCCCTCTGCCGCCTCACACGGACGAAGTCAAGGAGGCCGCTGAGATGTTCCGCGTCCTGGGAATCTTCTTGGCCAAGGTCCTCCAAGACGGCCGTCTTGTTGATCTGCCCCTCTCCCGGCCATTCATCAAGCTGCTGGTTCATCCGCAGGTGAACAACGACTCGGAGGCCAACCCGCTTCGTGTCCTCACCCTGGACGATTTTGAAGAAGTCAACCCGGTCAAAGGTAAGCGTTTTTGGTTTATTTGTGAAGGAAAAACTTCTTTGGCGGTTTTCTGAGTTTTATAGGTTTGAGAGAGGTTTTAAAGGATTAAATATTTAAAAAAGACTTGAAGATTTTTTCAGAAGTTACTAGGAGTCAAGGTTTTACTATAAATGTTTCATTAAAAAAACATATTTTGATAAAAAAATTTTTGCTTCTTTTGGTCTTTTTTTGGAAATCAGAAGACTGAGGGTTATTTTTTTTTGAGAGTTGAAGGGATCAGATTTTAAAAAGAAAGTGGAGGAGAAAGTAAAAAAAAGTGGAAATTTCACAGCTTGACGTAACCAGAAACTGTTTCGTGTAGTTTTTTTCATTGATTTCTTTCTTCTTCTTCAAATTTGAAGCGTTTTTTTCCATCTGAAACATTCTCTAGAACAAAAAAACCATTTTCAGGAGGCTTCCTCAAGGAACTCCGCGCGCTTGCCCAACGCAAACGAGCCATAGAGAACGAGCCGAACTTGGATCTGAACGCCAAGAGAAGGAAGATTGGCGAACTGAAGCTGCATGTCAAGGGAACCAGCTGTCGTGTTGAAGAACTCGCCTTGAGTTTCACGTTAGTAATTGGAAAAAAAGTTTTAAAGGGGATATGGAAAATAGAAATGAGAAATTTGAAAAATCACGTGAGAACTTGTTAATGGAGCAATTTTGCCGCTCATTTTTAAGCCATTGGCCTAAAGAAATTTCCTACTTCCACGTAGATTTTATGAATCCCGATGAAAGTATTCACAAGGTGCCCTCAAAACCTTTCGAAATTGTAAAAAAAAAACCTCCAAAACTTTCATTTTCAGTGTACATCATTTTTGCAAAGTGTTCCTTTTGAAAGATGAGAGCAGTCTAAACAAAAAGTATAGAAAAAAATAATCGAAAAATCACGTCGGAACTTGCCCATAGAGCGCTGCCCGCTGTGAAGTGAACTTTTCGGTCTGAGTTTTCAGTCTTTTAACTTTAAAAACATGGAATTTACAGAGTAGATTTCACGGATTTCATTAGACATTTTACAAGATGCCTTCAAACCTAAAAAAAAAACGAAAATTTCTGAAATTTCTCCTTTTTTAGTGTCAACCCTCCCTCCAAAGTGTTCAAGTACGAAGAAATGGAGCTGGTCGAAGGTGGAGCCGACATTGACGTCACCATGGACAATGTCGAGCAATACGTCGAGAAATGCGAGGACTTCTACCTGAACAGTGGAATCGCCCATCAGGTAACAAGGCTCAGAAAAATAATCGAAAAAAAAGTGAGAAGGTAGAAAATTTGGTAGATCTAGATTTTACTCCATTTTTTAATCAATTCATTTTTTTAAAATCAATTTTATTGGAAGCGAAAAAAATCAGTATTGTTCGGGTCCAATATGAAAGTTGGATAATTGATCTTCTGAACGATATTCATTTATTTTTCACATCATCGAAATCCTCAGATGCGAGCCTTCCGCGAAGGATTCGACCGCGTCTTCCCGCTGAGCACCCTGAGAGCCTACAGCCCCGAAGAAGTCCAAAGGCTTCTCTCGGGCGAGCAATGTCCCGAGTGGACCCGCGAAGACGTCCTCAACTTCACCGAGCCGAAGCTCGGCTACACCCGAGAATCGCCCGGCTTCCTGCGTTTCGTCGACGTCATGGTCGGCCTCAACGGACAGGAGCGCAAGAACTTCCTCCAGTTCGCCACCGGATGCTCCAGTCTGCCTCCAGGTGAGGCTTGGGAAGATTGATGAACGGGAAAATAGGATACATTTATAATGAATGTTTAAGGAAATCTTGGGGCTCACTTTTTATGGAATTTGAAAGCTTATAGCTAGTTTTGTGAGCGTTTTAAAAGCTCAGAGCAGTTCTGAAAATGATAAAGTGTGGGAAGACCATGAAAAGTAGGGCAATTGGGTTGAAAGTAATAAGTTATAAGAAAATTAATAAATTGGAAACATGAAAGTTAGCTTTGAACGTAGTTAGATTGGAGTTGCTCTAAAAGAGATTATGAATATAAAAATTGATTCTCAAGGTATCTAGAAAATCTAGAACTAATTCTAGCCCCTAAAGTTCACTCTGACAGAGTTTTAGCGACTCTGAACCAGCCAAATGAACTTTTGAACTGAAATATCCAATTCAAAGAAACCTTCAATTTTTTTCAGGCGGTCTTGCCAACCTTCACCCAAGGCTGACTGTTGTCCGCAAGGTTGAGAGCGGAGATGGCAGCTACCCATCGGTAACTGATCAACCTCCCTTTCCCAATCAATTATCAATCTTTTCAGGTGAACACCTGTGTCCACTACCTGAAGCTTCCGGAGTACTCGTCGGCCGACATTCTCCGCGAACGACTCCTGACGGCCGTCAACGAAAAGGGCTTCCACCTCAACTAGACCACTTATTCCATTTTCTGTTCTTCTAATTTTTTTTTGGAATTTTATTCTATTAACATTTCTCTATGTTCCGTTTTCAATACATGAGCAATACGTGTCTTTCGTTCGTCTCTCGTTTCCAAAAAGGAATTGTCGCAAAACACCTGATTTTTTTAAAATCTAAATCGAGAATCCCCTGGGTCGCTTCTTTCTAAAAAAATTCTCTTTCAAAAATAAGATGTTTGAAATTTTGCGCTCTTTGCACATGATCATATCGAACTTTTCGAGCGCACTCTGTAGGATCGAAATATTTTTTTTTTCATCATATGTGATTTTTTTTTTGTTTGTTTTATTTGGATGGCCTTATACCCCCGTTTATTTGTTTCTTGTGAGAAATTGGCGCATTTATTATCGTTCCGCAATACTCTCGACTACTACTACTACTATCACAGGAACCAATTTTCTCATCCAAATCAAAAAGTTTTATTGATTTACTCCCCTCTTTAACTCAATTGATTTCTTTTATTTGGTTGGAATTTGCACCCTGCGCGAAAACGGTCCTGATACATGTAGCTTTTTCCTCGTCTTGATAAAGAATAATGGCCTTTTTCATGATCCCCTCCAAAATAAAAAATTTTGAAAAATTGATGAAAACAGCGTGGTTTGAGCTGATTATTCGGCGTCGCGTACCTTTATTTCTCGAAAAAAAAAGAATAATTCAAAACGAAAATGATTTCATGGCAGTCGGTTTTGCATATATTTGACGTCGAAAAGAGACAAATGTCCATGGCCGCCGTCGTCAAGGACGTCGCTCTCATTGGCGAGCAACTTTTTGATCATACCCCCCAGGTACATTTTTTATAGTTTCAAATTTTTCCAAACCCTTGAGTGATTACTTGAAATTCTTTGGAACATCCGACGTTGCTTTGAGGCATATATGAATTAACTGTTATAACTAAAAAAAGGAACATTAAAAAAATTGTTTTTTTCTATTTTTCTCAATCTTTACAGGTTCGACAAGAAATCGAAAAGTTTGTCGACCGATTTGAAAGGAATGAGCGACATCGCGAATTCGATGGAATTCTGCGAGCCAGCCATGCGGTTTGTCAATTATTGATCGAAATAAATGTTTTTGAAAAGAATATAGTAGTGGAAAAAATATTGATAACTGAACTTCTTGAATATTTGTAGATTAATGTTCTAGCAAGGGCTATATAAAGTTTCTATTGGCTCAAAAAAAAAATTTTGAAGTTCGATTCAACTATTTTTGATAGTTTTAAATTTAAAAAGTCGATGAATGTTTTTAGCGGTTTCTTTTCCACTCCCAGCCATTTTTCAAGCTATACATAACCTATTTTCACAAAAAAATTTCGATTCCAGCTCGTCGAGGCCGCAGAAACACCTGTCGAAGCGTTGTTCGAAGCCGGAAAAATGACGAAATTGATAGATGACGTCAACGAAATCACAGCGAAAATCAGCGCTTTGACAACGCCCAAATTTGGAGAAGTACTTCAAAAATCATATGTTTCAGGTCAATTTCGAAAGCTTTCAGGAACACCAAACCTACCTAGAGAACATCAAAACGACACAAAAAGACTACGTTGAGCTTTGTCGACGGGAAGCCTTGAAGAAAATGCGCGCCATGGCAGAAACTCGATGACACTTATTCAATGTATTTATTAATATTGCTAAAAAGATTTACAAAATATACATTACGAAATTGCTTATGATTTCCTTCGATCCATTTCGCGCCACGTCGCTTTCACCTCAGAAATGACGAATAATCGGACGTTGGCGTCCTCGACTTGGGATTCAATTTCTTTCAGGATTTTCTCCCGATGGCCGCCATCTGAATGCTTCTTCTCTGAAAGGATGGCTTTGGTTTCTTTTTTCAACCTGTGGATATGTAATTTTGAAAAGTGCAGCGAAAAAGGGCAAAAATTGGTGTATTCGCAAGAGAAATGGAAAATGTAAGGAAAGCTTTTTTTTAAAAATTTTTTTCTAAGTTGTCTGGAAAATTAACTTTGTTGAATTACGCAGGTCAGAATCAATATAATTCTGCTCTTTTCCTGATTTTTTCGTATTCTTATAGCATTGGAGAATCTTGGAGCAGGATTTTCTTTTTTCTCAACGAAATAATGAGGTTCAAAAGTTGAAAATTACAGCCTCTTATGAATTTTAAATAGAAAAAAACGAATGCCAATCAAAACTCACGATAATATTCGATAAGCTCATGGGCATAGGTGATATAGATGCAGTTGGCGCATCCTTGTCCACAACAAAGGCCCGGAATCGGCGCCTCGGGGTGTTTCTGTGAAAAATTCCTTTCTTTTCTATTTATTCTTGCTTCTGTAAGGCTTATATAGAAGTGAATCAACCATTTACCGGCTCAGTTAGATGCTCATTTCCCATGTCATCGACATGAACACAAAACCGTCGCCGCTGAACAACTTGTGCGCGGCATTTGGCCATCAATTTTAGCATTTAGCATGTAAATCGATGTTTCTGAAATAATCAGAAGTGGAAATTCAACTATATCCATTCTAGAACTAACCAAAACCACGAAGATGAAAGCTTTATAACCTCTGAAAAGGAAATGAATAGAAAATGACAACTATTTAAACGTGTTGTTTTCCACAATTTTTGTTGACGCAGAACTTTGGTTCTTGAGAAAAGAGTGTTAACTGAACAAACCGATCGATTTCGATCAATTTTCACTTATAAGAATGTATTGGAAAGAAATGAAACTAGCTTTTTCTACTTCAAATGCGTTTTTAAGGTAGAAAAAAAACGAAAACTTTTTCTTGGAATTGAGCTGGAAAGAAACGACTTTTTATTTAAAAAAACAATATAATTTGCTATTTCAAACAATTTTTCTATGTTTCGACATGTTACCTTAAAAACTAAGCAAACCGATTTCGAAAAATAAAATTAGACAAAAAATAAACAAAAATTGAAAAATAAATAAAAAGTAGGCGTCGCGCGGAGTTTGCGGAATTTTTGGTTACAGTAGGCACAAATAGTTTCAAGCTTTTCGCTTCGAGACAAGAACTGCGCATGATTGAATAATTTTTTTCAATTATTCAACTCAAATTTGATTTTTTTATTTTTTTGTTTGGCAGTCTTTTTTTGTAACACATTTTTTTCAAACTGTAAAAAAATACTTTTTATAAACTGTACTGTGAAGTGCGCGTAAAACGCCACAATGTAGAATTTCTGAATATTTATTGATATACTTCTCAAGCGATCTATTTTTGTTTAAAAAATTGATTCAAATATCGTGCAAGACGGCTGCGAATTGAAACTCCGCCAAAAATCGGATCGAAAAGAAGATTCTGTTCTGTCCAAAAGTTTTGACCCGACATCGTTGGGGTCAAAAGGGAAAAGGTTCGAGAATTTTTCGAAAATCGGCGCCAAACGGCCAGCGTAGAAAAACAATCGTCATTCTTCCTTTTTTCTCCGTGCAGTGCGGCTAGTTGCTGTTCCGTGTCCTGATTTTTCACTTTAATGTCGTATTTGTTGATTTAAAAAGTGTTTTTAATTCAATCATTTCAATTATTAAAAATAAAATTGCGTCATTTAGGCACTTTTTGAAGATTTTTCGACGCAGAAATTTGAATATTTTTTTGTGAACTCCGTTTTTTTAATAAGAATCAAAAAAATGTCCTGTAGCATCGTAATTGTTGGATAACACCTAGCAAAGTTTTTATAACGTTGAAATCTATGTTCTTTTATAAAATAGAGCTTTTTTTCTTCCGAATTTCTTTCTTAGTATAGATCATCATGTTCTTGACCGTTTTTTTGTTCTTTAATTTATTTTCGATCCTCAAAAGTATTTTTCAGATGACGTCGAATGGTACGCAGGACGAGAAGACCGATTTAAGAATCATTTCTGAGGTGTTTAAAGGAGCAGAGTTAAAACAACGCTCAAAATCGCTTTTCTTCTGTTCTTCCCTGTAGTAATTTTCGTTATGCTCCTTTAAATCCCCAGCAAGGATTTTTCAAGCAGAAAGTGGAAACTCCGTGATTCTGAACTCTGAAGATACGTTTTAAAATTTCTTTTCTGGACTTGCCTCGAAAAATTGTTCTGATTTTTCAGAGAATCACTTTCGGAGAGGCAAGACAACCATGAGACAAATGGCGCGGCTCACATATTTTTTCTTCTTTCAAAATTTGAGTTTTAAAATTTTTTTTATGATCTAAATTTCGTTTTTTGCTAGAATATGCGAAAAATGACGACTTCACAGTAGACAACGACAGGATTGAACGACTTCAGGACGAAGAAAAAATTTGGTAGCTTTGAATTTTTTTCGATACCGTTCCTATCTTGGGATTGGAATCGTCCAAAACTGGGGCAACCTGGACGTCTTCTTTCCAGGAAAATTCTCGAAATCAAACAATTTTCTTAGGGAAAAAATTACGTATCCATTTTTTGCCAAGAAGTTCAGCGATTTATTCAAAAAGAGCGATTTTTCACTAAAAATTTAAATTTCGATCACGTTTTTATAAAATTTTTTTAGATGGAACCCTGTAGAATAGTCCTTGCTGTGAAGGTTAAAGGCGCAGTCGTCATCCAAATCCAAAAAAAACACCGAATCTTCGTCTCAAAACTGATTTTTAAAAATTTTTTACATTTGCCTTTAAACATCACAGCAGGGATTGTTTACCAGACTGTATTTTTTAAATTGATAGTTCTTGGCACAAAAGGAGAAAACATTTGTTTATCAGACTTTTTTATCTTTGACATTTGACAATTGACTTTTAGGATAAGTTGTGTGAAAAAATACCTTGGGTTATATTTTTCATTTTGATTTCTATTGTTCGAGTTGATGATTTCTTCAACAGCTTTTATCAATTTTTCTTTAAAGTAGCAGATTTTGCATAGTTTCGCCCTAGTTTTGAGATAATTTTTTATTTAAGACGAGTTCAAAGGTTGTTTTCATGCGTTATTTAGTTAGTTATATTTTTTTCAAACAAATTGTTCGGTTCCGAGGATTTTTCCTGGAAGAATGGCCCAGGGTCGACTTCTCTTTTTTTGCGGGGCCTTGGGTGGATGGCCGGCTAACGGATACAAGTGTTTCGCCAAACGATCGACTGATTTTTAATTTATAAACTAACAAAAGTTTGCACTTGTCGTTTTGGTGAAGATTTTGTGTTTCAGACTAAATTTTATCCTGTTTTCTAGTTTCAGGATCTTTAGAGAGTTGAGTTGGATTGAAGAATGTCCAAAATTTTTCGAAAATATTTTATTCTTAGAATGATTGTGAAGCTGCTCGCGAACTATTTAGATTGAAAAAAAAAATTTTGGAGCGTCAACACTTTGATTTTTTTTTATTAGTGTCATTTTTTTTCTCGACAAGTCAAAGATTTTTAGGAGAATTTATACGGGTTTTTGACTTGAGAATGAAGTCGTTGTTTTTTTTTTCTAATTTCAAATAGTAGTTTTTAGATTTTTTTTACTCTGAGATTTTCATTAATTAAAGTTCTTTAGAGCTTCTTCATTGCTCCCTGGGATCTTTTGATTTCATACTCTTTTTTTTTTCGAGAACGAAATTTCAAAACCTTGTCTCAAGTTAGCGGAGATAAAGCTATGTAAAATTGAATTTTTTTTTCTGAAATCTTAGTTAAAATTTTCAATTTGCAACACAGAATCTTCACTAATATTTTTTTATAAAAAAATTTTAGTTGATCGCTTGGAGACATTTGTAGCCATTAGTTTAGCTGTAAACTTTTGAATAAAGAGTTTTTTTGTGGAGTTTCACAAGAAAGCCAAGAGGAGCTCTCCAAAAATTGAGACCTTCTGGAAGAGCAAAGCTTGTCAAGTGATTCTTTGGCGCGGTGTATGGCGAAGGGAATTCCGACGGAAGTTCACTTTCTCTGATTTTTGAAGTCAATGCTGGTTTTGAAATTCAAAGTCCTGATGAAAAATGTCAATTTTTTCTCAGAACGCTCAGGAGTAAAATTTTTTATTTGGAGTTGAAGTAAATTCCATCATTCAACTTTTTCATTTCAAAAAAACAATCGAAAAAGGCTTACATTTTTTGATAAATTCAAAAAGTTATTTGATCCTCTTCAATTTTTTTATTGAATTTTTAATTTTTGAATGCTTGAATTCATTCAGGAAGCTCTCAAAATTGCGGGTTCGCTTTTGCAATTAAATTTTTTTTTTTCAAGAACTTGTTGGAAAGGCTCAATATGAGCTCAATCATAATCATTTGCTTCAGTTCCAACCTTTGAACAAGTTTTTTGACAGCCTTATTTTGACTTTTCATTAGGTTTTTGTTCTTTCAGTTTTTTCAATAGCTTCATTTTTTAGAAATGTTTCAAGGGTGAATTCGCAACACTTGTACTAAAAAGCTTTCACTTCAACAAAGATTTAAAAATAACTTATTCTTTCATTTTTAGATGCTTTTGATGCTGAAAACTTGTAATGATTTTGAAAAGCCTCAAGACTGCGAGCTCACCTTTGAAAATCAAAAAAGCTTTAGGAGACCTTTGAAAAATTTATTCATACACTTGCAAAATTCAAAAATAAAAAACATGGCTTCACTAATCAAGAGGACTTTGAGCTTTTGTCATGACCCTTAAAGAAGTAAAGGACCCTTTGCCATTCAGCTTGTTTGAAGAGCTTCTCTTGGCTTTCATGTGTGACTTCGCAAAAAAAAAAATGACTCTTTATTCGGAAGATTTCAGCCAAGACGGTCATGCAGCCAGGCCTTTGCAAAAAAAGAGAAGTTGGCCTTGGGCCATTCGGAAAAGACATCCGGGTAGCAACCGTTTGGGACGGTTTCAGAACAAGAGAGGAAGGGACTAATGGGGAGGAGGTTTTCAGGTCGAATGATGTGACGGGATGGATGCCGGTCGAGACGCGAGCCGGGATGGATGCCGGACGACGTCGTACTCCGAGGGCGGCATCGAACCGGACACTCTGAACCATGATTTTGAATAAAGTGTTCTCCTTCCCCTTTTGTACCTGGTTTTTTTCCGGCAGGGTCAGAGCCGCTGCCGGACTCTCCTCTCGAGGCTCCTGTTGCCACTCGGGACCCCCTTCAGACTCCACAGTCCTATGAAGCCTGAGGCGAAGTCTCCAGCTCGGGCCTGAAAGGCCCAAGCCAGAAATCTCAGCCTCAGAATCTACAGGCATGCTGTGGAGTCCGAGTCGGAGGCCTCGACCTCAAGCTCCAGAGTGCAGTGGAGCCTGAGGTCGAGACTTTGGTAGGAGGCTTCAGGCATGGTGAGGGTCCTGTGAAGCCAGGCTCCTTTCTACTCCAAGCTCGTCAATTTACAAGGTCCCTAGAAGTTCCATGCGCCTCTTGTTTTTTTTTTTCACAAGTTCTTTGCTTCACCTCAAGCCAAGTGAGCTCCAACTACTCCAGCTCTATCTCCAGACCTTTTGAGACATGCTTGACAAGTCCAATTTCCAAAAAATGCTCTTTTTATTTAAAATTAAGCTGTGATTTTCTTGAGCTTCAAGCTTTTGCTGAACAATCATTGTCTTCGGATATCTTTCACAGTTCACTCAAGTCAACTTAGTAATTGAAATGGATCAAAATCTTTGAAAGGCAGTAAAGAGGAAATGGAAAAATGTTTACAAGTTTTTGAAAAAAATTAAAATTTTCTCATGTTTTCTGCTTTTTTTTCTGTGTAGTGATGAACTGGAGATGATCTCAAACAGCAAAATTGTTCAACGTAAGCTTGAAGCTCAAGAGACTTGCCGAATGATCAAAAAGTTTTTAAGCGTTTAGAAATCTTCAATCTGATTCAAAGTTCATCTTTAAGGCTTCTACAGTATGTCGAAAACTGTAGTTTTTTTTTCTCAAAGTTTACCGAAATCAGTAGCTTCATGGGTATCCCAGACGACTAGAAGATAGATAGCTCAAATAAGATGATCAGTTAAAAAAAAATTTTTTTTTAAGCTATTGACTTTGGTGAACATTCAAAGAACTTATTTTCTCAGACTGATTAAAAATTTTGAGATTCTCGAAGTTATATAATGAAAAGTTCGTTTCCAACTGATATCATTCAATTATTTTTTTCGATAGATATACAAAAATTGAGCGAAACATATTTTTATTGCGAATAAGTGGATCTATCTCTCCAGAAATGAATAAACAAGTTTCATTTTTTTCCTTTTCTCTTATATTATGAGCTGCTGCCTGCCATCAAATGGAAAACCAGGTAGCCTTGCAGATGAACTTTGAAATAAATTGGATAATTTCAAATTTAAGAGCATTTTTTTTTTCAAAAAGAGCGAATGTCTTGCATGTTTGATTCAAATGGTCTGAAGATCAAGTAGGAAGAGTTCGAGCCCAATTCGCTCGAAGTAAAACTCAAGATTTGTGAAAAAACAAGAGGCGCATGAATAACCTCGCAAGACACTGTCAGGTGGCGCCCAACTCATACAGAAAGTCCCAAAGCACAGGTTGCTTCAAAAAATGATCTAACCAACATACTCTTGAACTTGGAAACTTTTAAGTGTTGAAAAAAAGCACTGGAATTGGACTAGACGATAGGAACTACGTACCTAAAAAAAAATTTTGAAAAGGGTTCGAATAAATTTTTTCCAATAAAGAAATTTTTATAGTTAGGAACGATGTACGATCAGCCGCGAGAAGCCCAAACAGCTCAAATTGGTGATCTTCGTGCACAATTAAAATTTTCAATAAACTAAAAAATTATCGAAATTTGACAAAAGTTCATCGTATTTCAATTGAAAAAAAAACTAAATTTACAAAGAAAAAAAAACCTTTCACTATTAAGTTAGAGAAGCTTGAACCTAGTGCGGCTGAACTTCCAAAAACCGAAAACTGCTGTACTCTATGAAAATTTAGGAGAGTTGAAAAATCTAACACAAAGTAATCACCTTTGGAATTTAAAATAAACAATTCAAAAGGCTAAAAAAGGACTTTGAAAATGAAAGAGTTCCACAGAGCGCCCAATTTAGAAGGGCTTGAGACAAATACGACTAAAAAGTTTACAAAAACCTAGTTCCTAGTTTTTAAAAAAAAATTTTGCCGGAAAGTTGAGTAAAACTCCGAAACATTTGAAAGATGACAGTTCCATTTTAAACTGATGGTCGACTCCTAAAAGTAAAAAAAAAACCAAAAAATCTGCTGCCTTCAAAGTTTCGAACCTTCGTCCTAAGTTTTCCAAACTAATTTATTAACCACTAAACCAACCAGCAACTTGGGAATTTCCGCTTGAGTTAGGGGATCTTAATGGGTTGTATACGAATAAACTCCGTTTTTTTTTTCTCTGAAGGAAGTAATTACAACTAATTGAAGTATAAAAGCTACAGTAGTTCAAGAAACAACAAAAAAACTAAAACCATAACGAGAAACCGTGTGCTCTAAATTTACAATCAATAAATGAATTCAAAACCTTTAATTTTTCTCTTTTCGTTAAGAAATGTTGAGTACAAAAAATAATTATCTCTCAAACCATTTACAGACTCAAAATTTTCACACAATCGATTGCAAGAAAAAAAAAAATTTTAAAGTTCGATTTTGATTAAATCTTGAGAAACATCATTTTGAAATTTTCCGGTTTATTTAAACAGTTCAAAAAGCGCTACAAACTTTCAACTCTTTCGCTGATAATCTCTAATGACTAACACTGTAACAAATTTGAAACAAGTCGAAAACCTCAGAAAAAACAAACCAAATTAATTCGTACACAACCCAACCTACTAAACGCCACCTTCGCATTGACGAGCTTGGAAGGAAAAAAGAGCTTCGCCCCACAGTACCCCACCGTACAGAGAAAAAGGCGCATATAGGCTCGGCTTTAACCGGCGAGAGAGAATGGAAGTCGAGGAGACGCCAGACTACAGCCCTCCTCTTTTTGGGTACTCTTTCTTATCAGAAAATGCAGAGAGATACAAGCGCCTTTTTCTCTGCGCCGCCACCGACCAAAGGCCCGAAACCGGCAACATTCACAACGAGAGGACGGACAACACATAAAAATGGACAAAACAAAATAAAATTTTTTTTCTCTTCTCGAAATTTCACTTTTTTAAAGATATCATTGATCTATAATAATATTATCGCATGAAACCAATGATAGAAAACTACTCTCATTGAATTAATCAAAATCCAAAAGTGAAACTAAAAAGCTCTAGAAAATTTTTTTTTGATAAGCGGAAATAATGATCGTTTTTTTCTTTCTATGAAATTATTGGACCAAACTTCGAAAAAATTAAAAGATGTGAGTCACGGTCGCGTCACGGCTCAAAATTCAAAAATTGATTTTTGACCAGCTTGTCAAGCCAGGAGCTAAGTTCCTTTTCAAAAGTTGATCACTTTTTATTGAAAATTATTCGAATGGCAAGGTCAAAATAAGAGTTATTTGAAACGCTTTTTCAAACAAAAAAACTCTAAAAAAATGTTTTTTTCAAATGAAAGATCAATGACAATTTCGACGCAAAAATTGTACTCAAGACTTGACAAAGCTGGTCTTTGACGACTAAAAATTTTGCTTAGAAACACAAATACTGAAAGAAACATTGACAAAAAAAGAAGTAGTTAATGGGTGACCGCGACGCGACCGCGTTGCATCCTGACAGGCTTCATGCGATAATATCTGAATAAAATATTAGATAAAACATTTTTTTCGTGAAACTCGAGAAGAAAAATTTCAGGCTACTTCTTACGTTGAAAAATATCATGACTATTAAAAAAAACGTGAAAGTTAGCTTTTTCGAATTTTTTCTCAACGCAAGAAGCATCACATACAGTTATACCTATCCAAGCGTCCTGGTCCAAAATCGCCGCTTCTTGTCGGAAGAATCCTCGAAACCGGTGGAGGCGTCCAAAATGTGATAATCACCCTCAAAAATGAAACACTAGTTTCCATTCAAGACACATTTTGACTTATCTTTTGAAAATTCCGGTAGAAAGTTGAAACAGTCGTCACTTCTATTCCAGGCCATCGAGAGTTGCCTGAAAAAAAAAATGGAAATTAAGACGAACAAATACACGAAACGATATAAAACGGGAAAAACAGGAAATCAGGCATTCCTTTTTTTTCAAATGTATGCCGTAATAGTTGGAAACAACTACAACATTTTTGCTTCTCTTGAAGTTAAAAAACCGTTTTACAAACTAAAAAATTTGACAGTTTACATTAGTTATGGACATTTTTTTAAATGTTTGCTATCAGTTATGAAATTTCAGTTTCGAAACTCTAGAACAACGTTGGTTCAAATTCACAATCAAATTCAACCTGAAAATCCGGAATTTCTATGTTTAAAAACTCTTCAAAAGTCCTATAAGATGCAATTTGATTGTGCTAATTGAAAGAATTGTATTAAAACACTTACAACAAATACAACATTAAAGTGAAAAAACAAGACACGGAGCAGCAACAACCCGCACAACACGGAGAAAAAAGGAAAAATGACGATTGTTTTTTCTCCACCGGCCGTTTGGCGCGAATTTTTGAAAAATTCTGGAACCTCAGCCGTTTTGACCCAACGACATGGGGTCAAACCTTTTGACCAGAACAGACTCGTCATTTCAATCCGATTTTTGGCGGATTTCTTCATAAAAATGCAGTTAGTTTTTCGAATATGTTGCGGATTTGAAAAAAAAAAATGAGAAACGAGTTAATAATCTCTAAATTAACTCAAACTGAAAAATTCCGCTCACTTTTTTTAAATGTTGTACTTTTTCGTGCCCATTCAGTTCGATAATCCATTTTAATGAGCAAATTTGATGGAAAAATATGTAAGATTCTAGCCAGAGCAGATTATTTCAAAAAAAGACAGTATAAAAAAATACTTTCAATTCAACAATGAAAATTTTCTATTTGCATTCATAAATATTTGGATTAGGCAAAAAAACCAAGACAAAATAAAAAAACACAACAATGGTCGGTTCAATTTTTTTATTAAATTTACGATAATGTTTCACGAAAAATATTAAAAAGAGTCACAATAAGAAAAAAAGTAAATATTTACAAAACTGCGCGTAAAAAATGCGAATATCCCGCGATGACGTGATGTACACGGCTGATTGAGATACCGAAACCTAAAATTGATTTTAAAAAGCATGGAAAGTTATTTTTCCAATAAGTTCAACATTAAACCCCTAATTCATCGCATCTTTTTCCAACTTCGCTCAAAAATTCAACAAAACGCGATGTTTTGAATATTTACCATTCTGAAAACTTTTACTCAGAAGCTGTAAAAAATAATTCTAAAAATGCATCAGGAAAGAAAGTGCAAAGTCGAAAAAAAATGGTTTGAAATTCTCGAGAAAAGATGTACGTATGGCGGCTAATGAGGCCGAGCTCATAAGGACACATAAAAGTTGCAAACATCATGAGCTTTTCCTCCTATTCTTGTTTTTTCTTTTCTTTACGTCAGAAAAATTGATAGGTAACGTCTTTGAGATGGATTTTTTGAAAACAAAGTGGAGGTTTTTAAAAAGAAATTGTAGCGTTGATTTTTCAGATTAATGATTGAATATCTCTATAACGGTTTGAAGTTCTATTAAGTCCATAAAATCACGGGAAAACGTAATGAAAAAAGTTTTTATTGTCGAAAATCAAATCTGATTTCGATTCTGAACAAGATTCTGCGTGAAAAAACGGTCGAAGCACAAAGTGCGTCATGGTGTCGCGGCTTAAATGGATACCGTATGCCTAGAAATAAGAAATTTTTTCTTTGACTTTTTTTTTTGAAATCTTTGTATTTCAAATTGCTCGTTTGTCAAAAAACTTGAAAATCAGAGAACTTTTCTATAATAAGGTGCCAAAAAGGTCACAATAAGCTTCTTAGTCCAATTTTGTGTCAAGATCACTACAATGCCTTTTTCTCACTATGAAAAGGCTATCAAACTGTTCCAAGTCTGATTTTGTTCACTGCCGGAAGTATAGGTACATGGCATTCTGCTGAGCTAGTTTCCGACCGCAACGCGACCGCGCCGCTTCTACCCATTCCAAATTCACTTCCTCCCCTACAGTGCCGCGTCCAATGGAAAAAAGGTGGGCGGAGCCTGTCGGGCGGTTCGTCATCTCCAACCACCACCAACACCGGCATGTATGGAAAAGGGAGAGGCGGAACACGTCGGAAGGAAGAAAAGTGGGCGGAGCCTGGCCTGTGCAGTGGTGGGCAGCGGCTCGGTTGATTAGGCACGTCGTCGGCTGCTGAGAGGCGCCATGGAGCAACTTTGGCGCTCCAGTTATTACCCGTACCCGGGTCATGCACTTCCAGTCGGCTCCGCCGTTTTCCCAGCAGGTTCTTTTGCTTTTTGTCGTTTCTGAACTTTTGTTTGAAAGTTTCTTTTGAGAGAAAGTAGAGAAAAATGAGCTGGATTTTGAAATTTTTAATAGTTCTAGGGGGCTCAGAAAGCTTGATGAGTTGTTCCAAAAATGAAAATCACTACAAAACAAATTTAGGCCGTTATTAAATCCGCCTATTCCAAAAGTAACGGCAAGCTTTTTTTTTCATCAAAATTTACCAGATTTCAAGTTTGAATTTGTGGATAACTATTCTGATCTACGTTCTGAAAGGGGGAATTAGAAAAAACTATACAAGAAAATAATTGGAACTAAATTCCAAATGAAACTCATTTTTCTGGGCTCAACTCCCCAATAGTGAGTTCATGCTAACCTTATCCAGCTTCAAAAAATCAAAAAAGCCCACATTTTCGAACCTTTTGCTTCAATTTCCCCAAATTTCAAGGCTTGACAAGCTTTTTAGAACGGATAGTGCATTCATCACTGTTATAAGGCTTATAATCTTTGAACTCCAAACTTTAAACTGTTATCAATATCCTCATATTGATTTTTTAAGAAACCTCAAGTTTCAGACAGCGGCCACACGGGCGGTCAACCAACTCGGCGGCGTTTTCGTCAACGGCCGGCCCCTTCCGGATAATATTCGGAGTCGGATAGTTCAGATGGCTCATCAGGGCGTTCGGCCGTGCGACATTTCTAGGCAACTTAGGTTATTTTGGGCTCTTCGATAATTTTTATCTAACTTTTCCTTCTGAAACTAGTTTCTTAATAATTTAATGTCCAGTAATGAGTTTTTGTAGGGAAACTTGTTGATTTCAATCTTTTTCACAAGAAATTGGACAAATTGGACATGATTCACGGACTGTAAATTCATCATTCATTCCTCTGAGGACTCGAAAACGGTAGTAAAATCAAAAATCCTAATTTGAAAGCTGTGACTCATCTTTTTTCGCTGCGCCCGACCTTTGTGACTCCGTCAGAAGCGAAATGTAGCCGTCAAAAAGAGCTCTAGAGAAACGTTCCGAAAAAAACCACAGAAATAGCGGTTCTGAAAAAAAAGGAGTTGAAATTTTATTGTGATCATGTTCTGCGACGGTTATGAACGGACCGTTAAAATTTTCATATTCGGCTCGTTGTTCGTCAGAAAACCTAAAAATCTTTATCAGATCAATAGTATAAAAACAGAAGTTTAGTTTTCGGAGCCAAAAATTATTTTTTCGGATCATTTTTTTCGAAAGTGGCTATGATAGGAATATCCAGAAATCCTTCACTTTTTAAAAAAAGATGTTCATTTTCAGGGTGAGCCACGGGTGTGTTTCCAAAATCCTCGGACGGTACTATGAAACGGGTTCAGTAAAACCAGGTAATCCATAAATTATTGATTTTGCCATAAATTTTTTAGTCGAGAGAAAGATTTTCTATTTCCTGAGAAAATTAGAGAGATAGTGTGCAAAAAAGAGAGAGTTTCACAGTAACCTACGCTTATTTCCTGAAAAGCTAGGATGAATAGACTACATTTCATTCGTTCGAAACCTTCAAATTTTCCAAAATTTCCGGCGGTGCCCTCGATCCGAGGAGGCAAAACACACAGACATTCGAAAATGGAAGGAAAATGTGCCGACGGCCGAATCAAGGCCGCCGCCGGGGGGTTACGGTGGCTAAAAGTCGCCCCATTGACAACTTTGTTGCGTGTAGGCCTTCTATGAATCCTCGATTCACTGCTAGCTTGTCACAAAGAGCGTTTATGGGTTACTGTAAGTTGCTGAAGGAAAACCTTTGTCTCGAGAATTTTTTCAAAAAATGAAAAATTTTCTGCGTAGGCCTTCTACGGTTACTCAATAGCTCGTTTGTGAAAAATAGAGATTTGCAGATTACTGTAGATTGGACACGTTTTCGCCAAAAGAAAAAATGACTTAAAAAACCGACAAGTAAGCCTGCTAGGACGACATGATTGCTAGCCACAAAAATGAGAAGATTACTGTAGATTTTTTCGTTTCAAGACCCTTTTTTTTTTGAAAACTTCACTACTTTTCTGAGTAGGCTCCGATTGCTAGTTTGTCACATAAAATACATAGGTTACTGTAAGTCGTTACAATGCCTTGCTAGCTGGTCTAAAAATTAAGATTACTGTAGATAGTCCCGGGATCCTTTTTCTCAAAAAAAAAACGATTCCAAAATGAGAAAAATTTGCTACTCAAGCCTGCCAGGACGACTTGATTGCTAGTTTATCACAAAAATAAAGAGATTACTGTAAATCGTTCCAGGATCCTTTTTCCTCAAAAAGATGATTCTAAAAATTGAAAACTATGCTACGTAGGTCTGCTAGGGCTTGATTGCCAGCTTATCATTAAATATTCATATATTACTGTAAATCGTTCCAGGACCCTTTTTCTAGTAAAAAAAAATTCATAAAAAAAAACCAACTTGAGGCGTGATCGGCGGATCGAAGCCGAAAGTTGCGACACCGCGTGTCGTTGGCTGCATCGCCGCCTACAAACGCGCCAACCCGACCATGTTCGCCTGGGAGATTCGCGAAAAGTTGCTACAGGTTAGGAAAAAGTTAATTCTTATAAAGAGGTATTAAAATTCTTCAATCTCACCAAAGACAGAACACAAAAAATTTTTGAAACCGAGTATCCAAAAAAATTTGAAGTCAGCTTCTCCGGGCAGTCTAAAATTCAAAGACGAGAGTAAAAATTTCTCTAAATTTACAGGAACACGTCTGCGATCCAGACAATGTGCCGTCCGTTTCATCGATCAATCGGATCGTCAGAAATAAGGTAAAAATTTGTCGATAAAAATATTTTATGACAGTTTTTCTTCTGAAAAAAATCTGATTTTTCGGAAGAATTGAGCTCAAAAAAATTTGAAAAAGTTCATCTGAATGCAATATTTTTGCTGAACTTTTTTTGTCATTCGAAAAAAATTGTTAAATTTTGCGCTTCTCCATTGAGCTAAAATTTAATCTTCAACTAATTTTTGACTGTATTTCCGCACCTTTTTCTCGAATTTATGAGAAATTTATCTACTTGAATGATTTTTCCTCCAACAATCCCATTTTTCCAGGCTTTCATGGCATCGACAGCCTCGTTAGACCCGCCCTCACCTCCTCGATCCTTACCGAACAATTTCCCTACTGCTGCAGGTGATTCTTAGTTGATACTGTTTGAAATTATAATTATTTTGAAAAAAATCTTAAAATTTAATAGTGAGTTTGAAAAGTTTGATTTAAACTACCCCAATACTCTCTGAGGTTCGCCATCTTCTCAAAAATCTACTTTTCGAGATTTGAATTTTTTTGAGTGCTTACATTCAGTATCAGCTCAAGGTTTCCAACCAATAAAGAAATTTTGGAGAATCCTAAATATAAATTTAAAAATTCACACTTTCCGTCTTTATGTGGATTTTTAATTCACACCTTGAAATATGTTTGAATCAGTTCCTAGAACTTCCAAACTTCAAAGAAGCTTCTCCTCTCCTCAAGCCAATAATTAACAAACTATCCAACTTTCTGCAGCCTACTCGATCAACGAACTTCTGGGCTTCGAGCAAAAGCACAAGGAATGGCTCCGCGAGCATTCCAAAGAGTCTCAACAGCAGCAGGCTCAGCAGGGCCCTCCAGGAGTCCCGCTACCGCCCTCCTTACACCCTCCAGGGGTCTACGCCTGCGATGATTGGCTGCGCACGCCTCTTGGCACCTTGCCACAGGCTTACTGAGTTTTTTGGCAGTTTCGAAAAATAACTTTGAAGAATCAAGAAAAATGAGCCGCCGAAAATAGCCTCAGCTAGTCGAAAACAAACGTTAGCGCTTTTTCTTTTTTTTTTATTTCTGACGGCTCATGTTCTGTACAAACAGAAAAAAAATAGTGCATAAATAACAGCCGCGGAAAAACAGTCGACTAATGCGCTCAAGGAATAAGTTAAAGGCGCGAAATTGTATAAATCAATATTGTGTCGATTTTCGTTGATTTTTCCCATTTTTTTCGAATTTTTATCTCAATCATCTTTCAATTGTTTCAAAATCTCAAAAAAATATAATAAACCTGGAAATTGCTCCGAAATGATGTTTCATATCAATCCATTTATGACAATAATGCCATTCTAAAACAAAAAACTCAAAGAAAATCGACAGAAAAATGAAAATTCAGAAATTATCCATGGAGCGCAAGTGCCTTTGATTCAAGCGGCTATTTTTCTCGGTTGTTTTGCGCTCTTTTCAATCAACGGACTGACTACCTAAGCTCAATTTCTGTGTGTACCTTTTCTTGACATCCCTTATCATTTTTTAAAAAAAATATCATCTCAATGTACATTCAAATGGCTCAATCTGTGTGTGTGTGTGTTCATTTCTGTGTTATTTTCCCTTCAACCTGTGAAAATATCTGTCTATTTTGATAATTGGAGAGTCGGGAAAGTATGAAATTGCTTTGAAATTACTTTTAAGTGATCACTGAAGGTTTAATGAGCCAAAAAATAGATTCGGACCCTCACCTGACCACTTCAAATTCGCAAAAAGGGTACATTCTCTCTTAAGTCATTCCTTCATTCCTCGAAAAGCGATCATGGAGTCTATTTTAGTCCTCGTTCTCTCATATTTCAGTTGATCTAGCGTCAAGTGGTCACTTAAAAGCCCTTTTTCAATCACAGAAAATTTCCCCGACTCTCCAAAAGAAATCTCCGATTCCCAATGCCTTTCAAGAAAGTGTATAAATGACCCCCATATATATTTTTTGTGTGTTTCGAGCCATACGACGTAAAATTGAATAAAAAGACGAAGAAGACTGGAAAATATAATAAAATGAGAGTGACGAGTGCGTTCAAAAAAAAAAAGCCAGGCGATTTCTTCAATTTGATCGGCGACTTTTATGGGCGCACGTGTGCGCGTTGAGGAAAAGCTTTCAAGAAAATAGCAAAAATTGATTGAGCAATGGGTTTCGGTTTTATGGACCATTCAGTGTTGGTTTTCGATTCGAATGAGTCCTTTTCAAAAAGGAGAATATTTGAGAGATGTGGGATTAGATATAAAAAAAGAGGTCTAACTTTTTCCAAAAGAAGAAAGACAAACCAAAAACAAGTCAATTTGAATGATTGCCTTTTCGAAAAGGGAAAAATACTTGCTAAATGGAACCAAAAAAATGGAATTTTCAAAAAGAACTTTTTTCCTTAATCACCAATAGTTCAAGATGTCTGAATCCTCTTCTCAAAACCCTCAAGTGGCCTTCAATTCTGTTCTAAGTGATCACTTAAAAGATTTCACTTTCTGCTCAGAAATTAATATTTTTGTCCGCTCAAAGTCTTTGAGAGACCACTAGAACTTTTCGAAAAGCTGTATTCTTTGAAAAAAACTCGTACAAGACTTTTCATAGATTTTTTTCAAAAGTTGAAATCTGAAATCTGATAATTTTATCAGCGGAAAAGCAACAAAAACAACAAGAACAAGGAAATAACAATTTGGATTTTTTCTTTTTCAAAACTTACCCATCGAAAGTTTCATTCAGTTTCTCAAATACCGAGGCCTTCGGAAGAGGAAAGGTCGAAATCGACGCTGAGTCCAGGAATCGCGGGTTTCACGAGGTTCAGTTCCACCCGGGGCCGTTGCTGATTTTTCTCGTTCACGTAGATTCGGACCTTTACGCGGTCTGAGGATTATAAATTAGATTTGAGAGAAATAAGAGTTGGAATTATGAAATTATAGTCCGTTTTTTTCGGGACTTCTCTGCGCTCTCCTCGTCTCTCGATTGCTTACGCGCTATTTTCGGGTTTCTCAGACCTCGCCGGTGAGGGAACAGAGAGACGCAGACACTCGAAAACTGTCAAATCGCGCTGGACGAACTATTTTCATTTATGATTTGGAAAAAAAATACTTCTTTTGATCTGTTCCCCTCTGAAGACCTAGTTCGGAAATATAGAAATTTGCGACCCCAAACTAAAATAAAAGCTGATTTGAAACGGTTCGGACCGAAAACTACTTGCGCCTGCGAGTTGTGCATCAAACGACTTAGTGTCAAGTCGATTTCATAATTAAATCCAACCGCAACGCGACCGTGATGCTTCAAGACAGTTAAAATCACTTGAAAAAGGGTTATCTCAGCTTTATCTCATGCCGTGTTCAAAGTAAATTCGCGAAATGCAAAATAGCCGTCAGAGAAAGAAAAATATAACTAAATTTTGGAGAGTCAGAGATCATTTTGCATTTCGCGAAATTACTTTGAACACGGCATCAGCTTTCTGCAAAACTGAAGATCTAAAACTTTATGTCTTTTTTAAACTCGTGTGAAACGTAAAGCGCACTGTTTTCCGTTTCCGATAAGGTTCTAAGACCGCTATAATGTTTTGCTATGTATATATTTCGAAATTACATCTTGAACCTTATTATACAGAAAAAGGTACCAAATTCGCGGACGGTGACGTCACCGGATCTGACACACAGCTCCTCGACGTCAATCGTCGTCTCGGCACTCGTTTGCAGGACGATTATCGATTCGAGTCCGTATTTCGGGACAAAGACCTGAGAGTTCAGGGTGAAACTGTGGAAAAATTTGAATAGGTACTGAACAAAAGTTGACTATCGAAATGGAGTTAAAAACTTTAGCTTTGAAGATAAATTTTTTTACAAAAAGTTGAATTTTTGCGTGTTTTTTTCACCCTTGTAAAGTTGATACATGATAAGTCAGCGAAAAGTTTTTCAGAAACATTTATTTTTTTGGAAATTTTTTTATTATTTTTTTCTCAGAATCCGGATTCTGAAACTGTTCTTATAGGTCTCAAACATTCAGATTATATCGAGAAAAAAAGCCTAAAGATTTGAAAGCTAATGTTTTTGTCAATTTCATATTCTTCTTCCTATATAAACCCATGAAAAAGAAAGAAAAATCAAAAAATCAATTTGTCCACTTGAAAGCCTACTATCTTCTTACTAATGAAAAACTTCTGAAAAATATTTCTCCAAAGAAAAAAGCGAAGGACAACCTAAACCTACCCTAAACGCAATGACACGTAAAACAAGCAATGCCTTGTGGTTTTTTTTTATCTCATTCTTCCGGCGGGCAAGAAAAAACAACCTGAATGCCATTGCTGCGGACGCCCAAAACGAATCCCTCGCAGGTTTCCTGACGCCCGCGGAAGTACCGCACCACGTTGAGTTGGACCGAGGCCCGGCCGGCGTATTGTGCTTGCTTGTGGCTTAAAAGGAATAGTAAAAAATGAGATTTTCTTTTGAAATCGCTATTTTTCTCTCGCGAAGTACTCGAAAAAAAAAAATGAGAATCATTCTGATTTTGAAAAAAATATCAGGACATGATTGAAATTTCTTTTTTTCAATAAAAAAATATAGGCGACTGAAGGCTGGCTTGAGCCATTGAAAAAAAGGTCTTGAGACGGTTGAAACAGCAATGTTGTCAAAAAACCTTTTGAAAAAATTAAGACAAAAATCACTGTAGAGTATCGATTTTTCTTCTGAAGTTCCGTTTCACCTACTTATTTCGAAGCCTTCCTTGGGTAAAAATATTTTTTCTCACACTATTTCAAAAAAGTCAGCCTCAAGGTGAGCTAACAAGCGAAAATTTTTTTTCAAAGATGTTTCGATTTTTTTTTTCGTGCTCACCGATAGTTTATATTGGCGCAGAGTTTTTGGACTTTGGCCTGGGACAAAAGTCCGGCGCCGATATCGTCGGCTCCGATCGCGGCGGCCAGAAGACGATGGACGACGACGTCGGCGTAGCGACGGATCGGAGACGTGAAATGCGTGTAGATGGCGCAGGCCAGTCCGAAATGTTGGTACTGTGGAACGGGTATCGTACCTGGAGAGTCCTTATAAATAAATGCAGCTTTTTCTCAGAGGTTTGCTCAGAAACAGCCTCAACGCGGCTGGATGGCCAGATTTTCATATCCCATTTTTTTTATCATACAGATTTTAGGACAAACATTCTACCCACAAGATCCATTCCAAATGCAGACTTTTCTCGAAGATTGGCTAAAAATAGCCTTAAGGCACATTTCATAAAACCTCATTATTTTTTCTATCAAAAAGAAGATAAATTCTCATTTTTTCTACCTGACAAGCCCTTCCAAATTGAGCCATTCCAAATGCGGCCTTTTTTGTAAAGTTTCGTTCGGAGATGGTCTCAACGCTGTTATGAACATTTCACGAGCCTCATGACTGTTTCTATCTTGAAGCAAAAAGTTTCTTGTTCAGTTTTTTTTAAAAATTACTCTAGAGCCATTCCAAATGCGGGCATCCCTTGGGGAGCTGTTCGAAAATAGCCTCGATGTGGCCCTTCAAATTTAGATCTCTGAGCCCCGGTTCTACAGTTTATTGTAAAAATCCAAAAATTCCGATTATCGTTAGAGCTAACAAGTTCAAACAATTAGGGCTCTTTTTCTCATTCATTTTATTTTTTGCTTCATCAGTAAAAATACTGGAAATCAGCCTGCTTTTGCATAATTTCCTCGACTCATCTCTAATTATCTATAGGGCGCAAGTTTCAGCCCTGACTGATTTTTTCTCAGCCTGGAAATGAACTTCAAAATTTTGCTCGAGCCCATTTTTTATCTTCAGAGCGCAAGAGATCATTCCAATACGGCTATTTTTCTTCATTTTTCAAACCCAAAAAAAAAACTCGTTTTGAACAAAAAAGAAAAAGAAGGGTGTACTGTAGAGTCGGCGCGACGAGAACAAGTCAAAAAGACAAGAAGACATGGTCGTAGGGTCGGTTACGGTCGCCTGCGTTCGACACAAGGAGAAGATCCGCAGAGTCATACAAATCGGCGCCCTTCTCGTTCAACAAAAGAAAAAGCGACGCGTTGAGTTGCAGAAAAAAAAGAGAAAACCGGGCGTGATATTGACAAAAAAAAAAGAAGCAAAATCAGGAATATACTGGGGTTTTCGAGTTCTTTTTCAGAACTTTTACGCGACAAAAAATAAAGTTTTTTTTTTGTCAAGGTATTTGAAATTGAAGTTTTGTTTGTTTACTGAAGAAGTGGGAGAAGAAAAAAACTGGAGTTTGAAAAAAGAAAAACGAGAGATCAACAGCCGTCTGAAGAGACGAAAGAGAAATAGAAGAATTCTCTTTCTCTGGTCCCTCTTCCGGCCACACTGATCTCTCGCTTCCATAGAGATAGAGCTCTTTGCCAAACTTTTAAAAATATAAATATTGATTTTTTGGTATCCGAACCTTTCTAGAGTACCCATTTTTGGAAAGGACACATTTTTTCTAATTAAATTTGAACCAGGGATTCTCCTAGAAAACAACTACAAAGACTAGTTGGGTATGTCAAAACCTAATTTTCAATTTAAACCAACTTTTCAGCTTCACAAAAAAACACACCAGCGCTGAAGTAGACGGCCTGGGTCATGCACCTCGTCGTGAGCATCCGAAGAAGTCGATTCAGCATCGGATTCGTCTCATCTTTGCACCGATCGAGACTGTCCGCCAGCGCTTTCCCGCTCTCGACGCTTACTTCGAAACCACGATGCCGAGCTGCCTGGAAAAGTTAGAGAGGGTATTACTGTCACTGAACTTCTGGAAACTGTAAGCAAAAACTTTAAAAAAAACTGCTTTCTCCCCTGAACCTTGGTAACACGAATCGGACGTTTCGGGGCATTTATAGTGACCACTTTAGTAGCATCAGCAAATATTTTGCTCACTGTTTGGCAACTTTTGAACGTTTTGAAAGGCTCGAAGGTATAGCTAAATCACAATAATTCCTAGAAAAAAAAGGCTTTTACTTAAACTCTCTAATTTTCGCCTTTTATCTTTTTGAGCCCAAGCTCATTAATTAGAATCTCCAAAAAGGATTCACCCAAACTCTCATTTTTTGCTCGTCCATCGTTCCAGGACCTATTTATCAAAAACTTCCATTATCCTTTAAACGTTTTTTTAAGCCCTAGCTCATAATTAAAATCTCCACAAAGACTTCATAAAAATTCACAATATTTTGCTCTTCAATCGTTCCAGGACCCAATGATCAAAAACTACAGTGATCTTTTGAACTTTCTCAGTCTTTAGAAAGTCTAAAAAAGGCAACATTGGGCTCCGAACATGACCCATCCCATCGCTTACACAGGTAATTAATGCATCAGCCGGTTGTCAATTGGCGCATTGAATTTGCGCCTCGTCGTTTCCGTCTGGTTATTATATTGCGCGGAGGCCTGGAGGACAACTTGTCAACCGAGTTGACGATGAGCGATGTCCGGCCCAATGTTTGCGCCAAAAAATCGTCCATGTTGCATGCACCAACTGGTTGATTTGATTGCGAGGGGACTTGACAAACTCATTTATTGAATTGATAAGACTTATTAAGAAACAAAAATCAACTTGAGATTTTTTTCTGACGAGGTGTTTGTTTAAAAAAGGTTTCAGTTTCCGCGACTTCAAAGATAAAAACTACAGAAAATTTAAATTATCATTTCACTCCTTTCTCGAAAAATTCTGAATACTTTTTCTACAAGTTTTCATTTCCCGGTCAGCTCGAGCGCCTTTTTTTTACTAGTATAGTCTCAAAAATTTTTTTCGGGTATTAAGTAAGAAAATGGATATTTGAAGTTAATATTCTTGAAAAAAATGTAATTTTTTTGGGTTGAGATTTTACAAGAACAACTTTAGGGATCATTGATACATTTTAATCAACTTCATTCTTTGTTTTTTTTTTCAAAGTTCACCGTCTTTTCGGCAATGTTAAAAGAAGTCTTGAAGTAAAGTAAAATTTTTAGAGATACGTAGTTTAGCTGAAAATTGTTTTCTGGCTTTTTATGTATTATGAAATTCCCAGCAATCAACCAGACTTTCCCACGTTTACAGCTTGTAATGCAAATGAGCCGCCATGGTTTTTTACGACAACGATGCTCCGTGTGGACACGGCGGTGGCAGGTATGCCGCTTGCACGCAATTAATTGGAATAATTACGGGCGGTACAGAGGCCAGAACTATCCTCGGCTGCAATCATGGGCGGGGGGCAGGATCAGCCGCCGTTTACCCGGCAACAACCGCCGTTCGTTCCGATGACCGACCACCGTAATCCCATTGTCGTCGGATGCGTTTCCGACTGACCCTCAGGGCCAAACAACAATGTTGCAAATGATCGTGAAAATTTATATATAAGGGGAAACGTAAGCCGAAACGGAACGGATTTTCAAGGGATTCTCAAAATCTTTGCGTAGCCTAGCCGGAAAGGCGTCGGATTTCGATTCAACTGGGGGAACTATGGTCGAAGAAATAATAAAAATAATGCCTAATTTATCGTCTTGGGATCTTCATACTAGTACTCTTTCCAGTATACATCGTCTTTCTTGTCTGTAAAACTGTAAGAGCAAAAAAAACCCAAAAAAGTGGGAAAAATCTTGCTTTTAAGGGGAAAAAAAAATCGACTTCACAAAACTACTCATACTTCCCATCACCCTTATCAAAAAACTGTCCACGAATTTCCCTTTTTTCTCAGATTAACCTTACTTTTACAGTCCCCAAATGGAAAGATACTGTAGAGGTAAAAAAAAGTCTATTTACCCTGACTTATAACACAAAATGACGCATTTCCACCAATACTTTTCACTCAAAAACTCCAATTTCCGGTGAGAAACATCTCGGTTCTCGAATCATCGAAAAAAGTCATCGGCGAGGATGAAAAGAAGGCCTCGATTTCTGATTCCCCTTGTGTGCGCGCCGTCAAAGATTGCTAACAAATAGAAGCGAAGGAAAAAATGGTTCTTTTCGCGCAAAATACAATTTTCCTCGCAAATTGATACATTTCTTCCGGTTCAACGGGTCTTGTGAATTAACCCAGGCCGGGCCAAAAAGCCTAATCGAGTGAGGTCCGAGGAAAAAGCTTTCTTCTTCTTTCTCGCCTACACGTGTGTTAATCGACTTTGTCTTGAGTGACTGGTAAAATCCGATCAAATGAGGGTTTCGATGGCATTTCAAATGGCCCAGGGAGCATGGAAAAGACGGAAAAGAATGAACAGTTCTTAATAAATTTAAATGATGGGTTCACAAGAGAATTTTGAAAAGAGGAATTCGCATTCGGAAGATGATTTCTTAGCCGTGAAAGGCATTAAAACGAGCAAGAAGATAAAAATTGTTGAGATTTCTCAGAAAAGTAATGAAATTTCGATCCTTGAGCCCTAGAGGTAGAAAATTTTCAATTTTAACTATTACCAAGCCCCAAAATCGTGCAAGGCTCTTAAAGCCATGTTTTCCTTGCTTTTCTCTCGCCGGAAATCGCTCAAACTACCAAAAATAATCTGATTATGTACTCAGTTTTCTACCTGAACTCTCGAGGAGAAAAATTTTTATGAAAGCTCATTTTCCGAGCTCATACCACTTCTCATTATCACATTTTCACCTCCCGAATGGTCGGTATTCATTTCTGCTCTCGCTTCAGATTAACTCAACGCCTGCCAGCATTAGACGAGCTAGGCGTCATACTGCTCCTACATGGAGATGAAGCTGACTACTATCTCAAAAAGTTCGAGACGCTGTTCTTGATCAACGACAGCTTCGCGAGCCGACAAACAACTTTTCAAGTATCCCATGATACAGCAAGGAATATTCTCTGATGACTGGATAAATTTGTAAATGTGTACCTCAACCAAGGGTTTGTAGCTTTCCTTGAGTGGAATCGGATGCCGTCGGAGCAACGCACAGTCAGGATATTCAGAAAGGATCTGAAAATTGATATTCAAATTCAAACATGCATATCTGAAGGGCTTTAGAAAAATGGGTCGGTTTAGAAAAACATGGAAAAAAATGCATAAAAATCAGTTTTAACTTCTGGAAGTTTCCGGCGGGAAAATAAAATGGATTTTTGGGGAGGTAATACTGACTTTAACATAGACACACTAAAAAGAAGGTTATGGCGACCTTCAAAAATGATCTTATCATGTATGTTAAAAGCTAAATTTTCAAATTTGAGAAAAGGACTAATTCGCCAGACTTGACTCGGACATTGGTAACGTGCACCGGACGTTTCTGGACATTTCTAGTGACCACTTTAGTAGCTTCAGAACTCTTAAATGGTCCCTAGAAATGCCCAGAAACGTCTGGAGCACGTCCGTTTCGCGTTACCAATGTCCGAGGAAGGAGTCTGGTTCAAATTTCGAGTGAAAAGAAAAAGAAACGAAAAAAAATTTTTTTGCTCACAACTTCATTATGCGGATCTCAATCTATCTAAATCTATCGCTAAGTTTTTTTTTTCTTTACTCTGAAATTTTATCAGAGTGTTACAAATTCCAGAAAGTTCTAAAAGGTTAAAAGTCATAAAAAAGAAGTTGTGATGAAAAAGTGCTTTTTCGTATCTTTTCTCTTCTTTAAGTCTACATAACCATAATTTTCCAGAAAGTTATGAATTCAATGAAACATTCAAAGTGAACAGTTTAAAGATCTAATCCTTGAAATTTCGATAAACTACCTTTTCCGCCACTGAAATATTCGCCAACAACATGAACTCTTCGACCATGGAATGCGTGTCCAAATGGGCCTTTTCCATGACTTTCTGAACAGAAAACGTTAAAAATCGGATGGATATTAGCTGAAACTTTGGGCGTTTTCGTCTCCCAATCCATATCGAACCGAACTTCCGACGAAGCCAGGGTCAGGGCTCCGTTTCCAAGTCGCCGACTGTTCAGGACTTTTGAGAGTTTCATGAGGCCCCGGAGGCTTTCTGCGACATCTCCTTTCTGAATTATCAACATTTTTTGCATGGATTTGTTGTGAAAACATTATTCAAAACGCATTTCAACAAGCTAAAGATTGGTCTAGTATAGAGGTTCGAAATAGATAAAATGTCAAAAAAGGCTGAAAACCCAAGAGCGAAGTTACAGATGTCTTCAAAGGTATTTTGGAGCTGAAAAGCTGACGCAAAAGGCTAGAGGAGCTCCGAAGAGACTCCGGAGGGAGAAAGAAACTCCGACTTCCTTGGTGTCTCTTCAGGCCACCGTTGTTTCTCGCTTTCACTTTCACTTTCTTTTTCAGGAGCAAAAAAGACCGAATATTTAGCTATTCTTTAATTTTCAACTCTCACCGCTTATTGAAAAATTATTCAAACAGGCCAATTTTTGGATCTAAGGTCGCTAGAACTTTTCCCTTTGATCTTTAAATCTGAGCACAAAGAAATGCATTATTTAAATTTATAAGAGACATAGTTTTTTTCAACAGCTTCGGCCGCCGCTTGGAGCGAGCTGATTGTCAAAATTCCACTTGTGAGTCTAGCCAGTTCTACAAAAGTTTCCCCAATCCTCACCTGGCTGCTATCGTCGATGATCTCCTGGGCCCGTTCATAAGTGAGCGCCGCCTTGGATTTGATAAGCGATTTGTGATATTTCACGCTTTGGATGTCCGCATTCGAGGTCATTGTCCAGATGCACGAGAAGGCATAACTTGAAAATTCATTTGTGAATTTCTGATTTTTCTATTGAAGGCCTTTTTCGGTCAGTGAAAAACGAGACCGAACACCATTTTGTACTACAGAACTTTTTCCTTCCAATTTTTCAACTTCCTTTTTCAAAATCTTTCAAAAGTCACAATTTTTCTTGGTGGATAAACTTCAAAAAAATCTTAAGAATCCCAAAAAACAAAAACTAAAAATTCACCCAAAGCTGTGATAGTACTGTAGGTAGAACAAAATGATTTTCATATCAAAAAAAGTTTGGAAAAAAATCATCGAAAAATATATTCATGTCAAAAATTTTTAGCAATCCTCATGATGAAAAACACAAAAAAATGAATACAAAAATCTGAAAAAAATAAATTTTTGTGTCTACCTTTTTGGCATGAGATCAAAATAAAACTAATCCGATATTCTAAAAATTTGGAATTTTACCATTTTTTTCGAGTGAAAAGCTCTGAAAAACCTCTACAAAAAGAACTTTTTTTGAATTTTAAAAACCCCTTTTTTTCTTTAAAGTTATTTTTTTAGCCTTTATCCCATTTTTACCGTTCTTCCTCGCCTCGAAGGGAGCAAAGGTTGCCGCTGAGCAAGGCAGGGAGCATATCGATTCGTCGATCGCAGAGATAAACCTTGAAA